GAGAGGAGAGGGAAAGGAGAGTGATTGATAAAACCTCATGGAGATAATTCAGTACATCCGTGACTCCATCATGTGTGTACTCGTATCCGAGAAGATGTGCACTGCATTCAACAATCATCACCAACAAAGAAGAAGACGACGACGACAACAACAACAACTATCACCGTCATCATCATCACCACCGTCATCGTCATCGTCGTCGTCATAATCATCATCATCAACAACAACATCAACGATCATGATCTCTGTGGATCCTGCAAGTACAGATCACCTGTAACCGAGGAAGTCTGATCGAGTGACTGTTCCATCGATGTCACAGACAACAACCTGCAAAAGGAACAACGTAACTATCTTTCTCCTGCTGCTCCTCCTCTCCTCCCTCCTCCGCCTCTCCCTCTCGTCCTCATCCTCGTCCTCGTCCCTCCTCAACCTCAACCTCTCCTCCTCCTCCTCTCCTTCCTCCACCACCTCTCCCTCTCCTCCTCCTCCTCCTCCTCCTCCTCCTCCTCCTCAACCTTATCTGTTGAGTTCCACAGGTAGATAAAGGCCCTGATCTCAAACAGCGCCTTCTCTCCCAACACCTACAGCAGACAAGGACAAGATGAGAGGGGGGGGGGACAAGTTTGAAGTCAACCTGATATCTGACAGAATTTCTTCCCGACTTGAGCAGCTTCCCAACCTCCGCGATCTGCGGAAAGGAGGTGGGACAGAGGTGGGACCGGAGGAGGGCGAGCAGGAAAGCAAAACGAGCAGAAGGGGAATGTGTGTGTAGGGGGGGGTAAGAGGGGGGGGAGGAGAGAAGGGACGAGAAGGGAAGGGAAGAGGGGAGGGAACAGGAGGGGGAGGGGAGAGAAGAGAAGAGGAAGGGAGATAGGTGGAGGGAAGAAGGTGGGGAGAGGGAGAGGGAAGGAAGAGGTGGTGAAGCAATTCAGTGAAGGAGGAGTTGGCGTAGGAAGAGCAAGAGGAGGATGTTAGAGGTACAAAACCTGCTGAGGGGTTGGCTTCAGGTTTCCTCCTTCGAACATGCAGCGGTGATCCTCCTATCTTCAACTGTCAGCTCTCGACCAGCTGGGGATCGAGCAAGGACTTGAATCTTCATGGAGAGGCTCGTCTTGGTCTCATTGACGAAAATCTCCACGGTGATGCCGGTGAGAGTCTGAGAGCGAATGAGCTGATGCCTTGTTGAGCAACGAGTTGGGAGGGGAGGGGAGGGGAGGGGAGGGGAGGGAAACGAGGAGCTGGAGGGGAAGGGAAGGGAAGGGATTTACCTGCCCAAGCTTCGAATCTCGGCCAACCTGGATGAAATCTTACAAACGATGCAAAAGCAGAGGGCAGGCGAGAAGAGCATTGGATGACGAAGATGTAGATAAGAGAGGCAGCAATATCACACGAAGAGCTTTGACAAGATAATTGGTAGGGTGCAGTTGACATGCAGGGCAGTCGGGTATCACATGAACGTGGAAATCGCTGCAATAATACACGAGTTTCCCTTGCTTGGCATCTGCTTGCTCTCCTCACTTTCATCAGCAACAACTCTCCCTCCACCTCCGTGACGAACAAAGACGATGTCGGCAGCTCCGCTATGCCTCTTCAAGATGCTCCCGCTGCCTGCTGCTGACACCTTGTCCTGTTCGAGGTAGTCACGTCCAATAGAGCTCCGAGCGCTCAGTACCTTGATGAGCTGGAAGGTCTCTGCCATGCCTGGTATGGCCGTCGAGATACCTCCTGGAGCTGAACGGAGAGATCAGTTGTTGCTTTCATCATTCCTCCCACCTGAGTTGCCTGTCGCATCCTTCGAGGCTCCGTTCCGCTGCGGCGACATGGGCTCACTAGGCATGCGGGGACGAGGAGATCAAGCAACCTGCTCTTTGAAGCCGCTCATGTTCCCATACCCCTGTTGCGACTGGGACCAAGTGAGGACATTGCCTCCAACCATTCTCTCTTCCCTGCCTGCCTGCCTGCCTGCCTGCCTGCCTGCCTGCCTGCCTGCCTGCCTCTCCCTTCCTCTCGCTTGCGGGCACTTGCTCCATGTCCGCATCGTGTACACAAGTTATGTAACAAGTTGAAACTTTCAAACTTCTCAAAGTTGAAACTTTCACGGCAAACTTGCCTCCGAGTCCGCCAGACTCGCGGCACCTCCCGGAGTCCGAGTCACTGGCTGACACTGGGCCCGGCCCGGCCGGCCGTGAACGCCGGACGGACCGCGGCCGCGCCAGCCCCGCGGCGACACGGCGCTGTCACTTAGTAAACCAGTCAATAGACTTTACTCAAAGTTAAGTTAAAAATCAGTACGAGGACAATCAGGAGAGTCGAGGAGGCTTGACCCTGACACTGTCGCACAGGCCAAACGGCGAGAAGAGAAAAGACAGCGAGAACCAAACCTAATCCTGCCGACTGCTGTCCCCCAAACTTAACTGATACCTTCACTATAGACCGTGGCTCATAAATAAACTGTCTGAGTGTGCCCGCCCGCCCGGCGTCGCAGCGCGCCGGCCCGGACCTCGGATCATCACTGACCCGGTCCGACCGTCGGACACCGGTGTCCTTTACTCTCCAACTGTCATAGCCGTTACGAATAGATTGACTAGGCATAACGGTACCTCCGGTCCCTCTAGCGAAGAGACGATGGCGCCTTGGAGCTCGTGTCCTCTTGCCCCGTCCTGCTCCTGCTGCTTCTCTTCCACTTCCTCCCCCATCCTGATCCTCAAGTCACAACTTGCCTTTGAAGCTTGCTGAGCTTCTCCTCCGTGTGCTCTCCCTCCCATCATCAAAAGTTCAGCCATGACAGCTCCTCGGCTCTCCTTTGCTTCCTCCTGTCTCAAGTTCTCGGTATGGCTGCTCGTCCTAGTCTGTAGATCAATACCCGTAGCGTCTGATCCCGTCTTCAGTATGGCCACTGTCAAACAGTCGAATCCTTTTGTCAGTGGTGAAAACCTCCTCATGTTCTCTTTGAGGATAAATGCAACGCTCACAGCAGCGAATCTGTCCAACGTTACCGTCATGACATTCACAGGCTTACACAACCGAAGTGAGATACACCTGCAGAATACAACAAGTCCAGCAGACATGCAAGCGTTCTGCTCATTAGCTGTCTCTCTTGTACCAGAAGGAGCATTGTTTCATCTCCAGCTTTGTGAAAGTTTTGTCCTGTCAGCCAACATAACATATTATTTTCTGTCAAAGTCTTCAATCCGCCCAATCCGCAATCTTCTCCCCAGCTCTACATCTCTGCCTCTGGAGCTTTCAACATGGGACCTTTCTTGATGACGAGGCTGTCAGGGTCGCTATTTGGTATCAGCGCTGCCGAGGAGCCATTGTTTATTACTATCCCGAAATTTGACAAGCTTCAAATATCCCAGTTTACTCCAATAGCAGGCATACGGAATACCATCTTCCTTTCCCTTCAAACTAATTTCGAGTTGAGCTCAGATGTATTTCAGAAGATAACGATGAGGATTGTTTCACAGGCGCTGCCGGCCAACTTGGTCAATTCTGTCTTTGGAAATTTCGATGATACATCATTCTGTGATTCCATGGTTAACAATGTCAGCGATACAACTTATCTTGTAGATCTTATTCTTTGCAAAGGGGCAAAGTTCAGCCCTGGTCAAATGTACACTTCAAATTTTGTTTTTGTGAATTTCAACCAGTCCATTGATGCGAGCGCTGATTTTTTAGTCTCAGCGCAGGGGCAGTTGAGGATATCGATCTTAAGCACAGCGGTCGCCAAACCAGGACTATCACAGTCAGCTCGAGGAGTCTCTGGAGGGAAAGATCCCTTCCTGACTATCATTCCTCGTTTTTTGGTGGGTAAACTAAGTCAAGTCACCCCGCTTCCTGGGGTAATGAACACTTTTACTGTGGAGCTTATGACCAACGTTGATATTCTTTACGAAGACGGAGAAACTATCAGATTGTCTGGTACAGCACCGTCTCCCGTTGAAGTGATACCTGTTGACCTGGACCATGTGGTCGGAGGGAATGGTGGGAATCAATTATTTTGCGCGCGAGGTGTAGTCAGCACTCTTTTGATATCCTCAGATGGTCAGACGATAAACCTTGACTTGAACATGTGCGGATCCATACTGAGAGCCAATGTAAAATATTCTTTCAGTTTCACCTCTTGGAATATGATGAACTCTCAACCAGCCGTAGATTTCCAAGTGTCAGGTCAAGGTCTATTCCCTTTCTCTCCTCAACAAGTTGAAACGACGAGGGGACTCTTTGGCTGCATCAGTGATGGGCTGAGCCCTTTGCGGGTGGAAGTTCCTCGTTTCGTGGTGGCTTCCATCGCTCAGAGCAATCCGTTTCCAAATCGACCCAACCGCATCGAGGTCGTTTTCCGTTGCAATTATGGCCTCAGTGGTGCAAAGTCAGCAAGGTTGATGCTTGGTGGGATCCCTTCCCTGGTGTTGTCGGGAACTCAGAGGATGAACGTGGGCGTGCGGAGCCAAGATGAGCTGGGAAACTTTGTGACAGAGGAGAATCTCTTCTTTGATGGCTCGCAGCCCCCTGCCATGGGCAACTACGGGTTGATGCATTATCAGTCGGGTATGCTCGAGCTGTTCGTTCAGCCTCAGCAGGAGACCCTCTGCTCTAGAACCTACTACTTGACGTTTGAAGTCAACAACGTGGACTCACCAAGGGCTGGTGCGGACATCTACATGAACGTGAGTCAAGATGATTTCAATATTCCTCCGGAACAGGTCCCAAACAATCTCCACGGCCTTTACGGGGTTGAAAACGCGTCTCGCCCTTTCTTTGTGTTCCAGCCATCAATCATTGACAAGACAATCTATCAAGTGTCTCCTTACATTTCAAGTCCAAACTCCTTGCACATTGATTTCGCAGTTGATGCCGACATGCTGGGATCCGAGGCTTCGACCATCGTGATCGCTGGATTGCAAGGCATCAGGCTCAACGAAAGTTTCCAAATCCTTGGCAACAAGTCTCTCTTCTGTGTTGGAGACGTGACAGGACGAGCAACCTGGAGTGGACCCAACGCCTCCGTGTACTTGCGAATCTGTCGGAATGAAACTCTCCCAGCGCGAGCCAGGGTTGCTGTCTCTTTCACATTTATGAATCCTGCCGTCAAGCAGCCCTCTCCTCCCATAGAGATCAGCTGCGACGGAACCTTCACAGTGACTGCCGAGTTGATGGTGCCCGCAAAGTCTCTTCTGCCCTACAACTTCTCTCATCCCCTGATGTTCGTGTCGAGCTTCACCTGGGACTCTTTCTCTCCCTCCTCAGCTCCCAGCAAAGGAGGGATGCAGGTCACAATAGCTGGAGTGGGATTCGAGGAGGCGAGCCAGCCATTCTTCTGTGTGTTCCTGTGGCTGGACGGCAGTTACTCCTTGTCAAGTCAAGTCAACTTGAGCGACGGCGTCAGGCGTTGCCTCCAGCCAGCGCTCCCATCCTTCGAGCAAACCTTCCAGCTGCTTCTCAGCTATGGGGGGCAGCACGTGGGTCTCAGTCAGACGGTTGCGATCGACCACAAGGACGAGGTGCTTCGACTCTCGCCCAGCTCCCCCTCCCCCTTCCTCTTCTACGAGGGATGGGATCGAGTTCAGCCCACGGAGGCTCTTGCGAGCGGAGGTAGGACGCTGAGCGTGTCCGGCTACGGGTACAACTGGCGCAGCATCTACAAGTGCAGGTTTGATCGGGGCAACGAGACTGAGTGGACCACGGCTATCGTGAGGTCCCAGAGCCTCGTCACGTGCCCGACCCCGATCTGGGGGAGGAGGTTTGCTGCGATCCCTGACCGGGAGGAGGGAGCGGTGTTCCTTCATGTCCACAACGCGATGAAGAAGCTCGTCTTCACCAACTTCACCCTCTACCCTGCCGACTGCTCTCGGCAGAACTTCAGGCAGTCCTCTTGCGCGATCTTGTTCTCTCCCGTGTGGACGACATACGGAAAGCTCCAGGTGCTTCCCCTGCTGCCCACCCACCCGACCATCTTCTCAGCTGTCGGAGGCGATCAGATCCTAGTTAGCGGGCTCGGCTTCGACCTGTCGGAGGAATACACCTGCTCCTTCTCCTATCAGTTCGGGACGGACGTGTACGCCTCTGAACCCTCGTACGCTCTTGTGTTCAACTCGACCTCCATGCTCTGCAACTTCACCCTATGGAGTCACCACGCTGTGACCACCGCCACCTTGACCGTCCGCCAGGGCACTGACGCGCAACTGATGCCGTACGGGGACGACCGGCCGATGCAAATCCAAGTGTGCGAGGACTTCTACGTGCTGTCTCCCTCCCAGGGCTCCATGCTCGGCGGGTATCAGGTGACTGTCTACGGCTTCGGCTTCGACCGGACGGCCACGTACTCCCTTGGCAACAGCAGGTTCACGTTCGCGTCCTACCTGACTGTCAACGCCATCACCTTTGACGTGGGTTACCAAGAAATCCACGAGCCTTTGGAGACCGTTGGCCTGCACATGACTGGAGGAGAGGACTCGTGCTCCTCCCTCGACAGGATAACTGAGTTCCAGTTCAGCTTCCTGTCGGCCTGGGTCATGAGATCCCCGAAGCATGTCGATCCTCTCATGGACCAACTCGTCATCGAGATGTACGGCGTTAACCTCTCCCACACCTTCCGCTGTCTCTTCTTCGGCCCCTACAACGCTTCTGTCAATGGGCTCCTCCTCCCTCTCGAGAGCAAACTCCTCTGCGACTTACCGCAGGATGAAAACTCCACCTTCGGGTACGGCGATCAGTTCCAAGTGCAAGTCTTCGATGACGACGAGCAGCAGTTCGTTGTAGGGGTGGGCGACCTTGCAGTCATCATGGTCCATGCTAATCGACCTCCTACTTTTGTGCTTGATTTGCCCTGGAAGAAAGTCGACCAGGAGACTGGTTTCACCATCTTCCAGCTAGCCTCCAACATCTCCGTCGGGTTTGATGGGCCGCTGGAGGCTGAGCAGACTTTGACCTTCGTCGTTGACTACCAGCCCGGCTTCCTGCTCGCCCGCCCACCCCAGCTGTTCCCCAACGGCACCTTTGTCATCGCGACGAACGTGGCAAAGAGCGGAGTCGTCACCATAGACGTGAAGCTGGTGGACAACGGGGGGACCCTCTATGGCGGGAGAAACGAGTCCCTCACTCGCAGGTTCTACCTCATCATACGGCCCAAGGGCTCACTGCAGCAGGTCTCGACTGGGACCTCGGTGACTGTGCGAGAAGGGGAGGGGTTCTATCAACTGTTTGTCAACATCTCGGGAAATTTTGACGTGTACCCTCTGCAAGACTACTCGATCACCAGCCGGCCGATCTCAGGATGTGAGAGGTACATGTTCCAGCCAAACTTCGAGCCGTTGGTTGAGAATGACGGAATCTTCACCTTCAAGACTGAAGAGTTTGCCTTCGGAGACGCTCTTTTCTCCTACGAGGTCCGGACATCAAACAGCGCCTCCAACTCAGTTCGGCTCTCGGACTACAACATCTCAATCACCGTTGAGCCTGTCAACCAGCCGCCGACCTTTAGCGTCGCTGGTGCTGATCGGTTTGTCATGCTGGAATGCACTTCAACGGCTTGTCAAACTCTAATTCCCAGCGCGATACACTCGAAGTACCCGATGGTCTCATACACCACGTGCGTGTTAAAATTCAGCCAACTGCTGCAGGAGAACCTGGAGTGCCAGCCATGGATCGTCGGCTGGTGCGAAGACGATCAGAATGTGTCGATGCTCTTCAACTACTCGAGCGACCTGATCTTCCCTGGATCCATGTTGATCGAAGAGTCCAGCTCGAACCGATCTGTCGCTGACTTGCTCTTTAACCTGGTCCCTCACAGCAACGGCCAGCTGCTGCTCCACCTGCAAGCTGTCGACTCCTTAGGAGCGTTCTCGGATGAGCAGACGGTCGAGCTCGTCGTGCTGCCTGTCAACGATCAACCGAGCATCGGGCTAAATGTCTCAGCTTGCTCCCAGCTGGAGTCTGTTGGCATCAAGTGCACCATCCTTTGCTCTAAGACTGGTGATGGGTTGACCGCGCAGGCGGAGGTGACGTGGGTCGAGGACTGCGTCAACGGCAGCCTGTCCGTGGAGGTCAAGGTGGATGAGAACCACCAGTGCTGGAACGAGAGCAGCTCGCTTCCCCGTCCCTGCCCCCTCCATCGCCTCTTTGTTGGTCGGCCGTCAGCCTTCGGGTCTAAGGACGAGGCGAGTCAGTTGACAACCTTCGAGCTGCAGGCGACAGGGGACGGAAGGGACACGTACTCAAGCCTGCTGAACTTGTTCTTCGAGGATGGAGAGCTTCTCCTGCAGCTCGTGACTGACGCCAACGGCAACGCGACCTTCGACGTCTTCCTCTTCGATGACGGCGGTACCGCCAACGGAGGTGTCAACGTCTCCCGCAGCATCGCCTTGAGCATCGAGGTCACGCCCGTCAACCAGCCGCCTTCCTTCCTCCTCTGCTGCAACGGCGTCGTCACGTTTATCGCAGGCTCGCTGGTCCAGACTCATGATGGAGCTTTCGTCAACATCAGCAAGGGAAGGAGGCGGCCAGACGGGGAGGACCCCGAGAGCAGCCAGCAGGTGTCGTTCGTGATCGAGTCTGTAGCTGGAGACGAGCAGATCTTGGCGTCGGCGCCAGTGATCTACAGCAACGGGAGCCTGAGGGTGGAGCTGGCGGAGGGGAGGACGGGGGCGGTGAACGTGAGCGTGGTGCTAGTGGACGACGGGGGCTGGTACGGGGGGGGGAGGAACAGGTCGGAGGCGGCGGTGCTGGTGATAGCGGTCGTTGACTTCTACGTGGAAGTCGTGCTGTGTTCGTCGTCCTGGTCGTCACAGGAGCTTAGAAACTTTTTGCATGTCCCCTGGTCGTCGTGGGTGGTCGAGACGGGTAGTGACTTGCTAGCTGGATGTGTCAACGAGTCTCTAACCTTTGACGTCTACTCAACGTCTCTGGCGGTGGCTTCGCAGCTCCAGAGTCAGCTGGACTCGCTGCTGGAGGGGCTGGTGAGGAGGCCGAGGATCCTGCTCTTCACCAATCGGTTCAACATCCCCTCCTTCGTCCTCACCGCCACCAGCGTGACCGTCCTCGAGTGCGTCGACCCGGAGGGAGAGTGTAACAAGAACGTGTCGCTCGTGACAAACATCACGTCCCCTCCCCTCACCCCTCTGAGCCCAGCTGGCGAGGAGCTGGTCAGCTTCACCTTCAGCCCGCTCGGTCACCTCCTGCAGGGGCAGAGCGAGTGGGTCTACGACGAGACCGACGGGGGCCTCCTGCAAGCTCCGGCGAAGTTCGTTGTGGACTGCGGACAACATGACGTCTACCGTTGGAGGTCCTTCGGCAAGTGCGCGACTGCTCAGCTTTTCTTCAACATCAGCAAGTTTTTCGTGGGGTCTGCGGTGTACGAGGTAAGGATGGTTGGGTCGAGCATTGCCTTCAACTTCTCCATCGTCGTCGCTCCTGTCGTGCGGCTGCCGAGCTTCTCCTTGCACGCTGCCGAGCTGACGCTGCTGGAGCACCAAGGGAGCATCTTCAAGCCTGAGTTCTTCTATGACATCTTCCCGGGAACGTACGTTGACAGCGCCAGCCTCTTGCTCGTGTTTACCGCAGACAAGAACGTCGTCAGCAATATTCATGCTACGATCAATGCCAGCAGAAGCACAGCTGACTTGAATTTGACCACCGTCGGTCGACTCAACGGCCTAGTCATCTTGACAGTCAGGCTAGAGGGGTACGACTCAACGTGCAACTGCACCGTCTTTTCGGAGAGGAAGAACATATCTCTTGTTGTGCAGCCTGTCAACGACGCTCCTTCTCTCACCTTGAACTGCTCTGTTGTTGAAAGTTTCAGCAACATACTGTCCACTGACTGCTGCACGAGCTCAAACCTCGCTCCGTGTTCCCTTGTCGTGTCTGTGGATCAGAACTGTGGACGCTGCCCACCGGGCACAGCAACAGAACTCTCCTCCTGTGCTACAAGTCCTTTCGTCCTCCCCCGTCTCTTCCTTGGCAGTCCTTCCATCTTCTCCTCCGTGGACGAGCAATCGCAGTCGCTTTCCTTCTATGCAGTTGACGCGCATCCTTCCCTCCTCTTTGACTCTCCTCCCCAGCTCTCTGCATCTGAGTTCTACTTCTGCCTGGGTCAGGACAGGAGCGGCAACGCGACCTTCGACGTCTTCCTCTTCGATGACGGCGGTACCGCCAACGGAGGTGTCAACGTCTCCCGCAGCATCGCCTTGAGCATCGAGGTCGCGCCCGTCAACCAGCCGCCTTCCTTCCTCCTCTGCTGCGACGGCGTCGTCACGTTCTGGACGGGTCCGGGGTCGCAGTTGATGGCAGATGTTGCGAGGAACATCAGCAAGGGGAGGAGGCGGCCAGACGGGGAGGACCCCGAGAGCAGCCAGCAGGTGTCGTTCGTGATCGAGTCTGTAGCTGGGGACGAGCAGATCTTGGCGTCGGCGCCAGTAATCTACAGCAACGGGAGCCTGAGGGTGGAGCTGGCGGAGGGGAGGACGGGGGCGGTGAACGTGAGCGTGGTGCTAGTGGACGACGGGGGCTGGTACGGGGGGGGGAGGAACAGGTCGGAGGCGGCGGTGCTGGTGATAGCGGTCGTTGACTCATACCTATCGATGGAGATCCGGTTGAAGGATTCGATCTTCACGCCGCAAGTGATGGCAGAGACGAAGAGGCTTATCGCCTCTCTCCTTCACCTCCCGTTCCTGTCGTGGGTCTGCAGCTGCGAGGAGAGCTCGTGCGATTTTCCGCTGTGCAGCCGTATGACAAGCTTACAGTACCCGATGGCAGTCGCGGTTGTCAACGTCAGGGCGCTCAACGCTACGGATGCCATGGGATACCTCGAGGCCTCGCTCAGCGTCGCAGAAACCCTGCGGTCTCAAGTGTTTCCTGGCCTGGGAGCCATTGACATCAACTCGACTGCCTTCAGGAAGAACCTGAGGCAGACTCCCTCCTTCAACATCGACACCTCCACCGTCGCTGATCTCCTGGAGAACGTGGAGGAAGATGCGAATGTGACAGTTATCCCCAACTTCATCGTCAATATTGTTGCGCAGCCCGACACTCCCTACGACCACAGCGGCAACGAACTGATCTACTTCTCCATCTCCCCGATCCGCCACCGCCTGTTTCTCAACAACTCATACTCCAACGACTCGACTGACGGGGGCCTGATGGCTCAACCCCCCAACATTTCCTCTGTCTGTCACGTCGTCTGTCAGTCAGCGACGTTGAGCCTCCTCCCAAGACGCTTCTGGAACGGCCTCGTCGAGTTTCAGGTAGTGATGCACCAGTCGGAGATCTCCCACACCCTCCTCCTCCAGATCCACCCGGTCAACCAGCTCCCGACGTTCCTCGTCCAGCCGCAGATCTATGCTCTCTCTGACTCCAATCAAATCCTCCGCGATCTCGTCTACAGCGTGTCCGCTGGCCCGCTCGAAGAGTCTTGGCAGGTCTTGACAGGCTCCATTCTGCTGCAGGATACTCTCGTTGGCGAGACTGTGCTGCAGGGGGTCAAGGGAAACCTTCACGTCAATCTCAAGGCTCCTCCTCTCGCTCCTGGTTGGAACAATCTGACGATGCGGGTCACTGACTCTGCTGGAGGGTCAACAGAGCAGCCCTTCCAGCTCTACCTGTTCACCTTGAAGGAAGTCCCTCCCATATACGGCAACGATCAATGTATCTTCTCCTGCGAGCTCAGCGGCTTCCTCTCCCCGATCCCGACACAAGGACCAGCTCTCAACTACTCGCTCCAGGTGCCCGACCGATCGCTCCTGGTCTCCATGGACTTGAGCCCGACGGGGTCGCTGTACTGGGTCACCAAGAGGAACGCTCTCGGCAACTTCAGCATCATCGTTAACGTCACCTGGTACAACCCGATCTTCCAGCGCGTCGACTCCACCTGGCAGCTCCTCCTCCTCACCATCGCCTGCGCCAACCAGCCCCCCGTCTTCTCCCTCGATCGCCAGCTGCTGATCCTGAACCAGCACGACGAGGGCCAAAATCTTCTGGTGGGCCTTGCTGGGGACGTCAGGCCCAGTGAGGTGGTGGACGTCTGCGGTGAAGCACAACAGCTCGTGACCTTCGAGCTTGTCGACGTCTCGAGCTCCACCGGCTCCTCCGGCTGCGGCGTCGACAGGCTGTCGATCTTCCCTCCGACCTCCTGTGCCTCCTCCCCGCAGCTCCTCGACTTTATCTCCCCGCCTGCTGTCCTCGCCAACGGCTCCATCGTCTTCGAGCTCGCGCCCCGCGCCTTCGGCCTCTCCTCCTACAACCTGACCCTGTACGATGACGGGTCGCCGCCTGCTCGCTCGCCGACGTCGGAAGTTTGCATCCTCGTGCATCCGGTGAACCATGCTCCCTCCTTCAGCATGCTCGTCAACGAGGTGACAGTCCTCGAGTGCACAGCGCAAGAGGCCTGCGCACACACGCGGCTGATCGTCGAGAACATCTCAGCTGGGGTCGACGAGGCGTGTCAAAGTCTCTCCTTCCTCGTCGTTCCGTTCTCAGCTCGCATCCCAGCAGTCCCCCTCAAGGAATGGCAGAGTGTCGAGATCGACGAGCTCAACGGAGCCAACCAGCTTCACGGCGACCTCCAGCTGTTTGCCAGCTCGACGGACATAGTCGTGGACGTGGCGAGTGGGAACATCTCCTTCCTGTTGGAGCCGCAGAGAAACGGGCGAGTCGTCTTCAACGTCTTCTTGCGCGACGACGGAGGGGCAGCCCATGGCGGCAAGAACCTCTCGCTGCCTGCTCCACTCCGTCTCATCGTGCTGCCAGTCAACCAGGCGCCCACGTTCACCCTGACCTCCTCCATCTTCATGTTGGAAGAGGCAGAGGCCGGGAGCTCAGTCACGACGGTGATTGCGAGGAGTGTGGGAGGAGGAGGTTGGAGGGAGGATTATCAAGTCCTCTCCTTCTCCCTCCTGCAGACCTCTGGACCCACCGGCGTCTTCTATCCGCAACTGACTCAGAACGGGACTGACCTGCTACTGACCGTCTCCCTTCAAGCCGCGAGGTTTGGCAACACAACATTCCAGCTGACGTGCGAGGACAACGGAAACTTGGACAGCATCGGGGAGGGCAAGACCGTCGCACAGCTGCATGTTGACGTGCTGCCGGTCAACAGTCAGCCATCCTTCGAGCTCATCACCAGTCAAGTCGCGCTGTTGCGGGGGAAGGAGTGCAACTGCAGCCTCCGATCCTCGTGGCTGGCGGTGGAGTCAGGGATGACGTGCAAGGCTGGCAGCCCACAGGACATGAGGAACCTCGAGACTCTGTGCGACTGCACCGGAGGGTCAACCGAGAGCTCCTACGAGTCTTTCGCGCGATCGATCTCCCTGGGAGAATACGAGAACGGCTGCAGAGGAGGCAACGTCTCCGATCCCTGTTGCCGACCCGCCTGCGTCAACTTGTCCTCTCCCTCCTACGTCGGGTTCCCAACTTGTGGTTGCGAACGGCAGAGCGGACAGTTTCATCTCGTTCCTCTCCCTTCCTCCCAGCCAGCCAATGAGCTCTTCGAGGTCATGCCCTCTATCAGCTTCCCTTGCGGAGATCTTGTCTTCAAGCTCAGGACGAACGCTGTCGGCCGCCAAGTGTTCACGATCCTGCTGGATGATGGGATGAGAAACTCGTCCTCGCACGACCTGACGCTAGTTGTCATGGACTACAACCGCGCTCCTTCCTTCACCTGGCTCGAGGGCGACTCTCTGGCGGTGCTGGAGGACAGCGGCTTCTTCAACAGACTCTTCGTAGTCAACGTGTCTGCCGACGGAACAGCTTCCAGCACCTTCGAGCCCCACCAGAAAGTCTCTTTCACCCTCTGCCCGGCAGGGACAGACTGCCGTTCTCCCCAGCTCGATCTCTTCAGCCTACCGCCCAGCATCGTCGTCGCTCCGTGCCGGCAGGGGCCCTACCTGTGCGGCAACCTCACGTTTCAAGGGGCGCGCAATGCCTACGGGCGGCGGAGCATCTCCGTAAACCTCAAGGACGACGGAGGGGTGGAGAACGGGGGGGTTGACACCTTCACGAGGTACCTCACCATCACGATCCTCAACGTGAACGACCCTCCCACCTTCTCCATCCCCGGCCAGCTGGACTTGACCGAGTCCTCCTTCTACCGCCTCCCCTCCTTCGCCCAAGGGATCGCGCCGGGGCCCTCCAACGAGGGCCAGCAGAAACTTACCTTCTCCGTTGTGGCATCCAGCAGCTTAGACCTCTTCCGCCAGCACCCCCAGATTGACATCAACGGCCAGCTCACCCTCCACCTGTCTCCCTCACGCAGCGGCACGTCGTACGTGGTCTTCATGCTCAAGGACGATGGAGGGACAGCCTACGACGGTCACGACTACTCCACCAGGAACGTCGTCATGACTGTCCTCCCGTCCAACGATGCCCCGGGCTTCTTCCTCCCTTGGACCGTCCTCTGTACCGACATCACCGTCCCTTACACGCAGTCCTGCAACTGCTCCGCCGTCGTCGCCAACCCGACAGGAGCTGACTTCGTCAACGCTGGGCAGGTCTGCCAGCTTTCCGACCGCTCTTCCACCTACAACTCGTTCGAGCAGGCTACGACGACCGTGCAAGTCCTGGAGAACGCAGGGAACAAGTCGATTCCGAACCTTGCCTTCTTCCCCTCAGCCCAGCACGATGCCTTCCATGGCAGCTCCCTGACCTTCGCCCACACTTCCTGGAAGTCGCAAGTCCAGCTGACCTCCATCAGGAAGGATGAGATCTTCACTACCCCAGGAGCTGAGTACGTGACTGCCTACCACCAGAGTGACGACGGCATCACCGCCTACGCCCTCGAAGCCGATCTTAGCTGCCTTCTGACGATGCGCAAGAACCTGACGGCGGTAGAAGGATCAACGTCATGGTACATTTCGGATCGAGTCTGTGAGGGAGGGGAGCGACTGGAGCTGATCTATCAGAAGAACCTCTCCGTCGGCGACGCCTGCGGCATTACCCCGTTCGAGGTGGAAGGAACCAAGTACCTGCTGCCTTCAGTCGGCTGCCCCTCCTTGAGCTCGTTCCCCGGCAACCAGCCCTACGGCTTTAACGTCTCTTGTCAAGAGGACCGTTGCCTCGTCCCAGGCTGCTGCGCCCGGATCAGAGATGCCTTGAGCGGGTACTGGGAACTGTCCCCCGACTTCATGTACGACCTCGAGCAGAGCATGCTTATCAACCCCTTCCCACCTGGACCCCAGCAGCAGCTCAACTATACCGGCAACAGCTCTTACTGGAGGTACAGCTACATGATCAACTCGTCCAAGCCCGCCTTCGTCCCCGACTACACGGTCGAGCTTGCGGCGATCCGAGACCTGGCTGGTGTGCTGGGAGCTGCCCTCTTTCGCGGGAAGCTGCCAGTGAACGCCTCGAACATCGAGCAGACGAGGTCGTCGGCCTTGGACTTCATCATGACCGACGGCCTGCGTGACGCGATGCAGTTTGACGGGGACTTCAACAGCAGGCTTGTCATCTCTGACAACGTCCTCCTCCCCCCCTCGTATGGCCAAGAGTCTCTTCTCAGTCGCATGCCTGGGGGGCAGGGCGATCTCTCGGTAGAGGTCTGGTTCACCATCCAAAGTCTGGCGACCGGAGCTCAGGGTCGCGGGCTCATCAGCAGCTGGCAGCCTCTCACTACCTGCGAAGCTGGTTGGAAACTTTTCTACACGTTGAGCGACTCCTTCCAGCTGCAGTGGGCGGTGACGAGCCGGGAGCTGATGACCAACGCGAGTGTCCGCAGGGACCTCGTGGCGACGCTGAGCCCGCCTGTGCTTGGGAGATGGTACCATGTGGTGGCGACGGTGAGCTCGAGCGAGATGCGTGTCTACGTGGATGGGTCAGAAGTCGCAGCTTTGACAGGTTGTCAAAGATGCTCAGCTGGTCAGTGCTCGACGGTTTCTTGCGGGTCAATCTCCTACTCTCAGTGCAGCAACTTCTCCACACCCTTCGCCATCGGCTCCATGTGCGTCGCACCAGCATGTGCGATTGCCAACTTGTCAAACTGGTCGTCCCATGTCGGAGCCATCAAGAGCGTCAGGCTGTGGGACAGGAAGATCAGCGAGGAGACTGTTCGTGATCTGTACAACCAGCTAGCAGGGAGCATGGCAGCAGTGAACACACTGGCATACTGGTCTCCTACAGCAGTGACGGACACTTACATCGACATCCAGGGGAGGTTCAGCTCCTCCTCTCCTCCGAGTGCCTTCCTGCAGCTCGGGAGCTACAAGGTCTCAGCAGCCGTGACGGTACAGACGGCAACGACAGCAAGGATCGCCATGCCCAAGTGGAGTGGGCCGATGGGGGGAGCAACAGTCTACCTTCAGAGTGGAGGGGAGAGAGTGTGGCAGCGGAGATGCCTCCAGTACTTCTGTAACAGCACTGGCCTGTCGCCGCCCACGGTTGTGACGTCACTGTCTGCTGGAGCTCGTGTGTCAGTCAGGTTCTTGTTGAACTCTTCTGTCTACCTCTACAACTCGAGCTCTTTTGTGAACCTCTCAGGGACTCTGGATGGAAGAAACGCGTCGGGAGCTTCGTCATCGCACTTTTTCACCTTCCAAGGCTCGCCCTACCTCGCCGTGTCCAAGTTTTGGAACGTCTCCACTACCAACTTGACCTCCAACATCTACAAGCTCGACTGTGTCGTCAGCAACACAACCTCCAGCTGTCTGCGAGCTCGGGTGACCGACTCGATCATCACACAAGGTGCGAGGGAGGTAGCTTACTTCACCTACTTGGATAAGTCCTACCTCGCCGTCGCCAACTACCTCGGCCCTGTGATGGTTTATCCCCTCCAGCCTCCCTCTGGCTCCCTCCTGTCTATAGTCAACCAGACAGCAGGGCTGCCGCTAGACGCTGATGTAGGGGCCACGGGCCTTAGAGCTATCCGGCACTTGAGTGATACGTACTTGGTAGTGTCAAGGTTCAACCCCAAGGCCGAGGGCTTCCGCTCGGAGTCTCGGATGTTCCGGATCAGCGGAGCCACTTGGAACGTGACGAGGCATCAGACGTTCATGGTGGCGGCAGCGTTCGGCGTCGACCAGGCCAGCTACGGCAGCCTTCACTTCATCGCCTTCTCATCTGCAGTCTACGGGGGAGCCTCTGACGTGTACGTCGCCAGAGCCGATGCTGCCACCCTTCACTTCGTCCTCCTGCAGAGTTCTCCTGCTGGGCCTTACGGAGTTTCATCAGTCTCCTTCTTCTTCCCCCAGCTGGGCAGCAGCGGGACCTCTCAGACCGTCGGGCTGATTCTTGGGGCAGTGCAAGGAAACTCCCTTGCCATGCGATGGAACGGCTCCCATTTCATCAGCCTCCCCAACAGCCTCACCCTCCCCTCCGACTGGATCCTTGGGGAGCAACTTGGTTACGCTGTCTCCCCCGGGATACAGGCAATCGCAGAGCTGAATCTCTCCTCCTCCTCGTCGACTTCTTCCTCCTCCACTTCCTTGATGTTGGTTGCCAAGGGATACGACGCGCCTTCTGCCCGTTTCCAGGCAAGCGTCATCTACTCCACCAGCCCGTCTTCTGTCTCAGGGCTCAAGGCGCCTACGTCGGTGTTGACGATACGGATCGGCAGGGTAGAGTACGTGCTGGTGACGAGCAAGTACTCTAGAGGGATCTCAGTCTTCTCGCGGAATAGCAACGACAAGCTCGTCTACCTGTTCCAGTCAAACTCGACTTGTCCTGGGATCTTTCAAAAGTCTGGCTTGACTGTCCCAGGTTGGTCAGCCCTGGCACTGACGCCTGACCAGCAGCATCTCTTCGCCGTGAGCCCCAGCTTGAACGTTCTGGCCTTGTTCTCCATCGTCACTCAGAACGACAAGCTCGACTCGTTTGTCTGCAGGGACTTTCTGTTTGACAAGATGGAAATCAGCGGTGGAGTCGTCGACGGTCTGGACGGAGCCTCCGACGTCTCCTACGAGGCGGCTCGCAGCCTCGTGTTTGTGACGGGCTGGAGGGACCAGGCAGTTGCTGTCGTTCACTTCAACGGCACCGCCCTCAACTACATCGACAGGATCAAGAACGGGGAGCGCAACGTCTCCTCCCTCATCCTCAACAGCTCGTTGACCCGCGTCAACAACAACGTGAACGGAAAGTTCCCGAAGCGACTCTTCGCGCTGCCGGAGCCGTACAACGAGACGCTAGCAACCGCGTCCTGGGAGGAGGGTGCCAGGAAGTACATGGCAGTAGCGACGAAGAGGAAGGAGGTTGGGGTCGTGGTGGTCATGGTATGGGATGAGTTCATCGCGAACTTCGTTACTGTCCAGGAGATCACCAACAGCCTCTGCCTTCCCAGCTCCCTCCTCTCCTTCTCCACCCCCGACCTGGACGGTCAGCAGCAGCTCTACCTAGTCGTCGGGCACCTCTGGCCGGACTCCGTGCCCTGCGATCCCATCAAAGTCTTCCGGTGGAACGCGACCAGCAGCTCGTTCGTCCCTCATGGCAGGGTACCTTCAGCGCTCCCGAGTGGGCAGAGCTACCTGGCAGACTACGACCTCTGGCTCCCCTCGCAGTTCTCAGTGAAGGAGATGCTTCACTTTGACATCGATGGGTTCTCCTACCTTGTCACTGTCAACTCAGAGGAAGGTCAAGTCCGTACCAACCTTATCCAGTCCTGCTCTAGAAGGACTACCTCCTTCTCCTGCTCCTCCAACTCCTCTGTTTCCCCCTGGAACCAGTCCAGCAGCAACGTCACCTGCCCTCCGGCAGATGCCTTTGACAACCAGACCGCACACGCGTCAAGTGACTTCACCTCGGAGTGCACCAACGGCACCTCCTACGACACCAATTTTCTTGACCTAGTCAGCTGCTCGGGCGCGACTGAGCTGAACGTGACGTGCGTCAACAGGACTACCCATCGAATGTTCCTCAACACGACAACGTGCTACAAAGAGGACGTGAAGACATGCTCTGCCAACTACACGTTCAGCTGTGACTGCAACCGAACCATCATCACAAGGAGGGGACCTGCCCGTGTCGCTATCATCTACCGATGGAGCAACTACGGGTCTGCAGTGGCTGCAGGGGACGGGTTCCAGATCTTTCAGGTTGTCAAGCTCAACAGGTCAACCGACGTCTCCTTCGCCTCTCTGCAAGGCACGTCAAACTTCCTGACGTTCGTCGACGACGCGAGAGAGGTCAAACTCTTCTCCTACTCTCTCTCCGTGTTCAACAAGTTCCTGCAAGCTCGGTCCGGTCTGTTCACTCTAGTCGACACCATCATGCTCCCCAACGTCGCTGCTGTCGCCATGTACGAATGGGCGGCCGTGAGCAGTGTGCTGCTGGTAGTCAGCGGTACCTCTCCCTCCCAGCTCGACCCTTCCTTGCTTCAAACCGGCTTTTCCCTCTATCGCCTCACTGTGTCTCCCAGCGGTGCACACAACCTGACCAGGAAGCAGACGGCTGTGCTCGTCCCTGATCTGGGAGTGGACACTGTGCTAGACATGTTTGAGTTCCAGGAGGAGCTCTACCTCGCCGTGGGCAGCGGAGCCTGTCAGGCGGTAGCACAGAACGAGATCGTGAACAGAAGCTCGTGCTACAATCGTGCGTTCGACACCAACGTCTTGCAGTTCCTGGAGCCCTCAATGACGTTTGGAAACCTGACAGCCATCACGAGGGGAACCAACAAGGCTCTGAGGTACGAGCCGGTGGCAGACAGCGAGCTTCTCATTCACAGCCGCGCCTGCCCCTTGAATTTGGGGCTGGTCAGAGACTTGCGAACCCTCCAAGTGACGAACGAGACCTTGTTCCTCGTGACCGATGGGAGCAACTCCCTCGTCCTCTATCACTTCCACTTCGACCTCGTCGTCGGCCTCGCCGGCGCCTCCTCCCTCTCCAGCTCCTCCTTCCTCAACCAGTCGTACGTGTACGTCACTGCAGACCTGGACAGAACCTTGTCCATGATCCGTTACGACCGCAACAGCTCCGTTGCCCCCCGTCAGTCTGACTTCTTCTTCCAAGACATAGTCTCCATGGACCTTCTGCAGACCGACAAGGTCTACCAGCCGCTCGCCTTCGGCCTGTCACGCTCGGTCAAGACGCGAGCCAAGTGCGGAGCTCGAGACGTCGTGCTCGAGAGCTCCGTCCAGAAGCTCCTGCAGCTTCCAGGCTGCACCGAAGACTGCCTGTACATGCGCTACTGCACGTGCAAGCAGACCTACTGCGACGTCTCGGTCGTCGGAACGGTCGACAGGGCCGAGTTCACTTGCGCCCCCTTCCCACCTCTCCCAACTCTCACCCACGTGGCAGACGGAAGCATGAGCTTTGACATCTTCCCCCCAGCTTGTCAAGAGATCTCATTCCAGCTGAGAACGGATGCTACTGACAACCCGAACCTCCTGTCAGCTCCACTCGAGCTGGGGACTGATGGCTCGCTCTCCTTCACTCCCAACGCCTTCCAGAACGGCGTCGTCGTCTCCTCTACCTTGCTTGAGGACAACAGGGGAGGTGCTTCAGCCCTCAAGAAGGTTCACCTGTCCGTCAACCCAGTCAACCAGCCTCCCTCCCTCGACGTCCGCAACCTTGTCGTCGGGGAGGACCTTGGCTCCCAGCAGCTAGTGTTCGCGACCAACGTCAGCCCGGGCCCAGCTGACGAGGCCAGCCAGAAGCTCTCGCTCAGGTTCACCTGCACCAACCTCGACCAGTATGCGAAGCCTCCTCAGCTCCTCCTCTCCTCCGACGGCTCCAAGACAGGCATCATCACCTTCGCCTCCCTCCCAGGCCGTCGGTTCACTTCCGACATCGTAGTAACGGTCATCGACGACGGGCCTATCAGTCAAGTTGACGGCTCGGTCAACTTCGTAGTGAAGAACTTCACGTTGACTGTGGTCCCTCGAAACCACCAGCCCTTGTTTGACCTGGCTGCGACCAAGGTCACCATGTACGAGAGTCAGGGGCTGCTTGTCTTGCCCAACTTTCTCCTCCACATCGACCCCGGCAGTCCTCTAGAGCTCAGTCAAGACTACACGTTCGACATCCAGCAAGTTCGAGCTGTCCATTCTGCCTTCAGCCCCTCCCAGCTCATCACAAACTCCACCTTCTCCCCAGCTGGCAGGTCAAGCTCGAAGGCCCTGACCCTCACGACCGCTCCGTTGGTCAACGGGATGTTCGAAGTCACGATCAGAATGCAGGACAACGGAGGGACGATGTACAGCGGGGTCAACGCGTCGTTCAGGAGCTTCTTCCTCTTCATCGTCCCGGCCTACAGCTACCCGGAGTACCAGGTGCTGAGGTCGATCGAAGTGAACGAGAGCAGGAGCCAGGTCAGGGTCCGCCAAGTGGCTGTCTACGTCAACCTATCCACCATCCCCCTGGACGAGCGGAACGAGACTTATAGGTAGAGCAGTGACTGTTGACCACCCAACCATCCTCTTCCTCCTCTTTGACTTGACAATTGTTTACCTGTTTCCTCCTGCTCTGCCTTTCTACTCGACTGCATGTTGACTTGTTTTCGACTTAACTTGTTACGGCATGCAAATTTCTCCTTGTCAAACTTGTTTGCGCATTACTTGTCTTCATCTCTCTACTTGTCTTCAATTGCACTCGTCTCGTCGCTTTCTTCTCACTCTCTCGCTGCAGCTTCTACATTGTCTCCATGAACTCCAGCAAGTTCTTCGCGCAGGATCCAACGGTCTACCTCAACGGCACAGTCGACCTGCTGCTCAACGCCAACGTCAGCGGGGCAGTCGCGTTAACCATCGCCCTCAGGAACAATCGCAGCGCGACCGACGGGTTCAACGACACCATCACTTGGGTCTACCCCTTCAACGGGTCTGTGGCCAGCACCACAGCTTTCATCAGGCAGGATCATAGCCCCCAGCAGCAGCTAGTTGTTGCCGTCGCCGCCATCAACAACCCGCCGTTCCTCTCCGTCATGCCGAGCGTCTCGTGCAGCGAGAGAGCGGAGAGGATCGTTATCCCCGGGTTCCTCCTCAACTTCTCCGTAGGGACTCCGGACGAGTTCCTCCAGCAGGTCTCCTTCGCCATCGACGTCCAGGGAGTTGCCCCTGGCTTCTTCCAGCAGCAGCCCAGCATCGACTCCAGCGGCTCCCTGACCTTCCTGCTGAACCCCGACATGCACGGCGAGCTCTTGCTCAAGGTGACGCCGTTTGACAACGGGGGGACCCAGCTGGGGGGGAGGAATGAGGGGCAGTCGGTTTACAGCAACCTCAGGATCTATCCTCACCCAAGAGTCTTTCAGGTTTCTCCCGCCGTCTCCCCGTCGTCTGTCCCAGTCCGCCTGACAGTGACGGGAGTTTTCTTCGGCTCCTTGTACAGCAGAGGCTACGAGGCCTCGAGCTACAGCGACCTGTCTGTCCTCGTAGGCGACCGGCCGTGTGTCAACGTCTCCTTCCTCTCCGACGTCGAGCTCCACTGCTCCACCTCCGACGTCGTCGGCCTGCACAACGTCACGGTCACGGTCATGGACGGATCGTTGACTCGCTCGGGAGTCAAGGAGGCAGCTGCGTCTTTCAACGATGTCTTCCTTGCTGATGTGGACGAGGAGGGAGTCGGCAGCCTCTGGTCAGGGCCCGAGCAGGACGGCTACACGCTCTTCACTGATTCCCGACTGAAGCTCTCCCGGTCTGCGCTCTCCCTCCTTGCTCGCCCCCACCATGTCATCGTCGGCGGCTCGTTCCTGGACGCCTGCGGCTCTAGAGTCAACCACATCCTCTCATGGGATGGCTCAGCTTGCACCAAGCTGGGGAACGGGCTGGACGGAGCAGTGCACACGCTGGTGGAGTACGGGTCCTCCCTCGTTGCTGGCGGGGTCTTCACTCGCGCCTACCAGGCCAAGGCGAGAGCAGCCAACACGGGAGGGCTGGCGAGCTGGGATGGCGGCAGCTGGAGTGCAGTCGGGTGCCGGCTGAACGGGGTCGTGCTGAGCAGCGCAGTGAACGGCTCGTTCCTGTTCATCGGAGGACGCTTCAGCTCAGTCTGCAACGTGACGTCTCAGGGGGTGGCTGTGTGGAACGGGGAGGAGTGGCTGGGGATGGAGGGAGGGGTCAGGGGGTCCGTGCTGGCCATGCTCGTATACGAGGACCAGCTCTTCCTCGGCGGCGACTTTGTGGGGGCAGGAGGCAGCGTGGCGGCTAAGGTGGCCAGGTGGGACGGCAGTCAGTTCCAGGCGCTGGGGGTGCTGGACGGGGACGTGCACGGGCTGGCGCTGTATGATGGGGTGTTGTACGCAGGAGGGACGTTTGAGAGCGCAGCAGGGAACGTCTGCCCGCACCTTGCGAGGTTCTCGCACGGCAGGTGGGAGGCAGTAGGAGGAGGTGTGAACGGACCCGTGTTCTCCATGCTCGTCCTCAACGACTGCTTGCTCATCGGAGGCTCGTTCACTGCGGCAGGGGCAGGAGGAGGGATGAATGCGTCCTCAGCAGTGCGCTGGTGTCCACAAGAGCAGATGTTCAAGTCAGGAGGGCTGGCTGGAGCGACGGCTGTCAGGACTGTAGTGAGAGTGCAGAAGCAGTAGCAGCCCATGTACTGAAACCTCTACGTCCTCTCAATGATAATTCACCTCCCTCACACACGAGCTTGGAAAACTTGAAAGTTTCCTCCCCCCCCCCCCCTCCCCTTCGGCGCCCCGCTGACACGCTCCTCCTCTCTAACTTGCTCGAACACCTTCCCGTCTTCTCTTCCTCCTCCCTCACTTGATCTTGTGCTGAAACTTCAATCCTTCCATGCTGGCCCCGCCGTCTCCACCACCTTCAGCAGCCCGTCCACCTCCCGACACATGACCGCAATCGCTGCCCTCCTGAGACATCGACCTCTTATGATGCTCCTCGAAAAACTGCCGATGGCTCTGAATATTGAGCATCCTCGATTTCACGGACTCCAACGAGCCTTCCGGGGGTTCACCAAACCCTGACGTCCCTCCTGCCTCCGACATCTCGACAGCCTCGGCTGCATGCTCCTCTACTCCACCCCCATGCTTCTTCACGCTCCCTGCCCCCTCCTCCGGCTTGGTCGCCTGCTGCCTCTCCGCGCTTGCTGCTCCATGCTCTGGCTGCGGGTGGCCGTTGCCGCCCTGCTGGCTTCCTGCCTGGGCTGCTCCGTCTGCTGCCCTGACCCCTTGGCTCTCCCCGGCCCCTGCCTCGCCCGTGGCCGCGGGTCCCGCCTGAGCTTGTCCCTTGCTCTGCTCCTGCTCCTCGCTCCCTGCTGCCTCCTCCGGCCTGGTCGCCTGCTGCCTCTCCGCGCTTGCTGCTCCATGCTCTGGCTGCGGGTGGCCGTTGCCGCCCTGCTGGCTTCCTGCCTGGGCTGCTCCGTCTGCTGCCCTGACCCCTTGGCTCTCCCCGGCCCCTGCCTCGCCCGTGGCCGCGGGTCCCGCCTGAGCTTGTCCCTTGCTCTGCTCCTGCTCCTCGCTCCCTGCTGCTCCTCTACTCCACCCCCATGCTTCTTCACGCTCCCTGCTGCCTCCTCCGGCCTGGTCGCCTGCTGCCTCTCCGCGCTTGCTGCTCCATGCTCTGGCTGCGGGTGGCCGTTGCCGCCCTGCTGGCTTCCTGCCTGGGCTGCTCCGTCTGCTGCCCTGACCCCTTGGCTCTCCCCGGCCCCTGCCTCGCCCGTGGCCGCGGGTCCCGCCTGAGCTTGTCCCTTGCTCTGCTCCTTGACAGCCTCGGCTGCATGCTCCTCTACTCCACCCCCATGCTTCTTCACGCTCCCTGCCTCCTCCTCCGGCTTGGTCGCCTGCTGCCTCTCTGCGCTTGCTGCTCCATGCTCTGGCTGCGGGTGGCCGTTGCCGCCCTGCTGGCTTCCTGCCTGGGCTGCTCCGTCTGCTGCCCTGACCCCTTGGCTCTCCCCGGCCCCTGCCTCGCCCGTGGCCGCGGGTGCCGCCTGAGCTTGTCCCTTGCTCTGCTCCTGCTCCTCGCTCCCTGCTGCCTCCTCCGGCCTGGTCGCCTGCTGCCTCTCCGCGCTTGCTGCTCCATGCTCTGGCTGCGGGTGGCCGTTGCCGCCCTGCTGGCTTCCTGCCTGGGCTGCTCCGTCTGCTGCCCTGACCCCTTGGCTCTCCCCGGCCCCTGCCTCGCCCGTGGCCGAGGGTCCCGCCTGAGCTTGTCCCTTGCTCTGCTCCTGCTCCTCGCTCCCTGCTGCCTCCTCCGGCCTGGTCGCCTGCTGCCTCTCCGCGCTTGCTGCTCCATGCTCTGGCTGCGGGTGGCCGTTGCCGCCCTGCTGGCTTCCTGCCTGGGCTTTATCGTTAGCATCTATATGCCTCTCTATGTTATGTGGTGTCAATTTTTCCTTTGTCGGCTGCTCTGCTGAGGTGTTGGGAATATCTTGAAATTTGTTTGGAGTTGAAATTTGTTTCAATTGTTCTTCATTAATAGACGGTGACTGTCTTGCTGCTGCTTCATTTGTTGGCGGCAAGTTGATTCTCTGTTTGTTAGTATCGGACTTGATCAGATCTTCGTGTTGTGGAAGCTCAGTTGGTTCGGCTCGAACTTGCCCTGAATCCCTCATGTGAGCTTGCGCCTCACTGGATGAATGATCATGCATCTCGACGTTTTGCTCCTTTGTGACTGCAAGTCGGGGTTCCTTGAGTTGATCATTGTTCAGATCGATATCTCCAAATGAATGCAGTTCTCGCTTCTTGTCCGTGTGGCTATTGACAGCAATCCTTTCTGATAAAGAATCCTGTGCAGAGTTGCCATTCGTGACCGATTCATGCTGAATTCTGTTTTCAGATTGAGGGATCGTCATGCCTGGAGTCTTGCGTTCTCTTTGAAGCTCTGTAGGATCCTTAACTATCTCTCCTTGAACACTCTTCTCCCTTGGCAGGACGGTCGGCTGCTCTTGAACAAATTGATTGCTCTCAGCTTCCTGCAACCGGTTTCCAGAATCTTCAGCCAGGTTCAAAATATCTGCTTGAAACGTCACTGGACCTCTAAAACTCGTCACTTTTCTTCGGGACTGACCGTCTGGCATGAACTCGTCCAAGTTAAGAGGATGCATGGAGCCCTCCCTGAGAGACTTCAGTCGCTCCCTCATCTCCTTGACCTGCTCGTTGAGCACTTCAGCTCCGATTCAAAGGAGGACTCGAACTCACCTCCGCCTCTCTGTTGACTCCTGCCCTCTTGAACGCTTCCACAGCACGATCGAGCATGCTCTCTGCCACATGAATGTTCCTCATCCCCAGTGCCTCACCGAACTCAGCGAGAGCTCGATCTCCGACTTGTTCGTTGACTCGTTTTAGGTACAAGCCTTCTAGCTCAGACAGAGTCTGCTCATTATGTGTGTCCTTGGTGACTTCGAGATGGGCTCGGAGGAGGGACAAGTCTTCTTTCACTAACTGCAGCGATCCTCGTTTCAGGCGATCTGTGATGTCAACAACAAGTTCCTGAGTCTGCGCTTGCAATCTGGACAGATCTGCCGTCTCGTTGCCAGATTGAGTAGGAGGAAGTGCAGAGGAGAAACCTTCAGTTGAAGAATCATTTCTTGTATCAATATCTGCCTCCTTGTCTTGACCCCCAAGCTTGGTCTCATCGTTCAACAGCTGCTCTTCTTCCGCTTTCCCTCCTCCAAGTTCGTCTCCTCGTCTTCCCTTAAAAGATCGAATGATAGTCTTTGGTCGTTGAACATCCTTCAAAGATGAAACTTTCCCCAACTGCTTGAATGAAGGGATCGATGCTCGTTTCTGAAAATCATGTCTTGATGAGAGATGAGTACAACAAAAGCAACGGGACCTCTTCTCTGATTAACTCTTCCCTCTTGCGCTCTGTTTCCTCTTTCGCTGCTTTTCTGCAGAACGCATGAACAAAACACACCACCTGAGATCTTTCACTTACTCTCGTCGAATTCTCTCACTTGCCTCTTGCTTCATGCGTTCTCGAGCTTGATTGAGCAGCATACGCTTCTTCAAGCTCTTTTCTCTCTCATCCGCTCGCCTTCGATCTCTCTCGCTCCGGAAGTTTTGCTGCAGGAACGTCAATTGGAGAAGCGAAGTATGCGCAAGCATCACCGGATGGATGTCAGAAAGAGGAGATTCTGAGGCAGCTTCTCCATTTTGACGGGGATGTTCACCCGCTGACGGCATGCCTGATGCTGAATCGCTGGTCATGTTTGCAACTTTTGCCTCGCCGGTTGACAACGATCTAATGTTCTTGACAGTTCCTTGAGGTTGCGCCACTTCTTCATGGTCCAGAGACATTGATGGATCTATTTGTCCAACTTCTTTCTCGACAGGTTCGTCGAGCTGGTTATTTCTTGCTTTCCTATGATCAAAAATCTGCTATGTTTCTCATTCGAGCAAGGTAAGCACACGAGTTATCGACCTCTTGCCGTTTCGTTCTCAACTCTTCATCCCTCTCTTCCTTCATCCTCTTGATTTCTGTGCGGCAAGTGTCCAACTCCTACATGAAAAAAGCCCTCAAACAAGCCAAAGACACACTGTGAACAATTTGCAAGGAAGGGGTCACTTCACCTTCCTGTGGAGCTCAACGAGAGACTCGATGCGCTTCTGGGTGTTCACCTCTGATTCCTTCCTCGACAGCTCGACCTGGCAGATCAAATACATCTCAGAGAGACAAGTTCTGTCGACACTCCCTCTCTCACCATATCGTGACATGTATTCTCAAGTTGATGCTTGATAGCAATCAGACTTGACCTTTCCACGTTGAGGGCCGTGATAGTCTCGTATTGATCCCTGAGCTTCCAGACGGCAGCCGAAACCAGCAACAAAGCAATCATCACTGTGAACTTGTTTCTCCACAAGCACACCAATGTCTGAAACCTAGGCACACCTCTGTCACTAACGGTCCGCATCGTACCCTTACAACCCACCTCTTCTTAGTCGGCGGGTCTGTCTGAATGTTGACATCCGCCTTGTTCTTGTGAGCGATGTAGTCATGAACGTCTCTCACTGAGAAAACTCTCCTCTTAAGATTGTCCTGAGCTACGCTGGTCAAAGGGGAGCCCGCAGCACTCCACGAAGTTCTCATGTGCGGCATCTTATCGACACTTGTGTTCATCCCGTATCGCCCTGCCCCGGCTCCCCCGTCTGCCCCAGGTCCTCCTGACCCCTGTCCTGCCGCTGATTCCGCTCCCGCTGCTGATGGAGCCCCTGCCTGTCCTCCACCTACCCCTCCCACGTGTGAAGGATTGAAGAACAGTCGATGACTTTCGATCGAATCCACCGAGAACTTTGGTGAAGACGAGACGGATGACTGTTGCGAGCTGCGTGCATGTACAATCTGCGAGTTGAGAGGAGGGGGATGCATAGGAGGCGTCGGGGTGATCTTGGCTGAACCGGTGGAGGACGGAGGGCTGAGGAGCGGGGCAGGAGGGTGACTGTAGTCAGTGCCATTGTAGCCAGGATGCTGGAAGGGTTGGAAGGAGACTGCAGAAGCTGGAAACTGTTGCTCTGCGTGGTAATCATTCCTCTGCTCGGAGAGGTCTGACCGCTGCTGGTCTCTCCTGTCCATGACTGAGCAAGATCTCACTGGATCTTCCACCACATTCTATCAGCCATGAGCCCTGAAACATGGTGAGATCAGACCAGGTGAGGCATTTGTGCATGCGGATTCTAGGATTTTGAATATCCTCCATGAAAATCAGTCGATCGACCTTTCAAATTCTACCCTTCATCCAACACTTGCCCTGTCTTGGAAGTGAAAAGTTCTAGAATTCTGATAACCTCAAAAAGTCTCTATCTCGATTTCTTGTCCTTTCCCTCCCCATGAATGTGCCTTGATCTGCCGTTCCCCTCATTCCTTTCTTCTGCTCCTCTCCTACCTCCTCCTCCCCTCCCCCCCTCCTCCTCCCTCCCTTGCTCAGTCTAGCCAGCATTTTCATCGTCATTCGCACATCTCTACCCTCACCCCGTCATCACACATTCCCAACCCACCCATGTTCTTCACCCTATATGTCAGAATACCCCCTCTTTTCGACAATAGTACCCCCACATTTACCAATAAAACCTGCTACTTACTATACCCTACCTATCTCATCTAAATGAGGACAAGCACCCCACCCATGGCAATTCAACGATGCACCCACCCCCATTTGTCGAAGAGAACATTGCTTGCTTTTGTGGTATATTACCACCCTTTGAATCGTTATGACCCAGGGAATAACAACTGATTTTCTTAGAAACAAGGGGTAGGGTGCATGACCCCACCCTTCGATAAATGCATACCCCGACCAACTAACACAAACACAGAAAGCTACAGTGCACTTGAGTTCATTGAAAGTTTCAAATTACAGAGTAACATTCCAATATTATTCGCTTCCCTCCAATCTTCAACAAAGTCCAGTCTCAGCAGGAATTCAATGCACGCAAGTGGCCGACTTCAGTCGGAACGACTTTCATGGTGTGTAGGAGGTGAAGTAAAGTTATCAGATACAACTGCATTACTTGCTCCCTCCTCTCTTCATCATATTCATTAACTCCATCACTTGCTCCCAGGCTCCTCTTTTCATCATATTCATTAACTCCATCACTTGCTCCCAGGCTCCTCTTTTCATCATATTCATTAACTCCATCACTTGCTCCCAGGCTCCTCTCTTCATCATATTCATTAACTCCACCAGCTACTCCCAGGCTCCTCTCTTCATCATATTCATCAACTCCACCACTTGCTCCCTCCTCTTTTCATCATAATTATCAACAAATTTCAATCTTCCCCCGAATGCTCCCCTTCTCTTCTGCTGCTCCAAACGTCCCCGACAGGGCAGTTTTGGTCGCACCATCCCACGAATTCTTTGAGCATCACCTGAGACAGCAGTGAGACAGAAAAAGCATCAAGAACAGGCCCATACCTGCAGAGCTGCTTGAGTATCCCTAGCCCCCTGCAGACCTTGAATAATCCTCTTCTCAGCCTGCAGCACACCGTCACCATCCCAGGAGAGCCAGCTGAACAGAGCCCTGCTGACTCACATCCGAGAATTCATCCGTCGAGTTCTTCTTGGCGTATTGGATCAAATCTTCTTCCCACAGTCGCCGATGTATCTCGATAACACGCCGACGGTACTCGCAGCTCAGGTCAGAGCTTGACGAAATGGGTCCTGTCGGCCCGCAGGGTCTGTGAGAGGAAGGAGCTTGACAGGGCGAGAGAGCATGCAGCCTCTTCCTCCTCCACACACTCAGCTCATCATGCACGAAGGGCCAGGAAGGGAGGGCCGTCCTTGAGACAAGGTCCCACTCCCGCAGCACCTGTCCTCCACGTCTCACAAGAGAACCGCCCCTTCCTCTCTCGCACCTTAGCTTGAAACTTGGGTCCTGCCGTCTCTCCGTGCGGACTCAGCGACTTGAGGCTCCCCGTCCTCCCTGTCCACTCCCCGACGTAGATGAGCGTGTCTCCCTTGTACTTCTCCAGCGCCTGCACCAGCTGTGAACCAGCAGCCTCGTCAAGGAAGCAGAGGACCTGCAGGGCGAGGAAGATGCTCTCTGTGTCCTGGTCCTTCCCACTCTCCTCGCACGCGGAACACTCCTGCTCCTTGGGCGGCCAGCAGAGCATGAGAGCGCGTGATGGGAACTCGTCGACCGCGGCGGCTCCTCCTTCATGGACCTTGTAGAATGGCGCAGCAGTCGCTGTGAAGTGACAGTCAAAGTCCTGCAAGCAGATCGAGCTCCTCAGAGCATGCTGGGAGTTGATCTTCGCGTGCCCTTCCACAGAGTTGTGAGAGCAAGTGTGAACATGAGCATCGGGAATCGTTTGCCCTCCCTCCTGCCTCTCCCCGAATCGCACTGCACCACTGACAGGCACCCTGTCATAGCATACAACTGGCACTCCTCGACTCCTCAGCAGCGAAGCCCAGTAGCCAGTCCCTGCTCCCAGCTCAAGGATTCCGTTGGGTGAGGCCTGAGCGATTGATCGCAGAGCTTCCTCGCACGGAACGCTCCACGCGTACATCCGCCTCCGGGACCCGACCACGTTGTCAATGTAGGATCCAAGAACATGGACAAGCTCCTTGTTCCTGTTGGCTGGGACGTCCATGTAGCCTCCTGGCAGCATCCAGCCCAACTCTTCTATCTCCTGCATTACGGCGATCCACTCTGAAAGGTACACGTTGTCGCAGACCTCGCGGGCCTCGCGCTCGAACTCCTTCCAGTTCCAACACACTCCTCGACTGCTCGTGCTCCTCGCAACCTTCTGCTCTCTTTCATCTCCAGCGATCGCGCCATGTTCGCTGCTTCTCCTCTTTCCCGCAATCCCCACTCCTCGACTCACATGCTCGCCTTCTGACTGCATGGCCGCGATCGAGGGCCTCCGAGACCAGCGCAAGATCAGCCAGCCGAGTTCATGGGTGAGGAGGAAGTAGCCATGACGAGAGGAGGAGCGCAGCCGAAGGCGCCATCGCTCCTAGCTCCCTCATGCATTGAAGGCTCGGCCAGGGCTCGGCACTGGCAGGGCTCGGCAATTCCTATTGGGTCATAGTGGAGATGTGGGCTTGACCAAGATGCGGCCATGGGCGTGGAAGGGAGAGAGGGGGGGAGGGAGTGGAGGAAGATGAGGACCGTGACTGTGACAGAGAGGAGAGGATGGCGACTGTAGAGCAGAGAAGGAGGATGAAGCTCTTGATCATCCTCGCTTCCCTCTCTCTATGTGGAGGTTCGAGTGCCAGGACCGCCATTCTCCTGCCCTCTGAAAATCCGTCACTTCGATCTAATGCTGGCTCCATGGCGGCTAAGCCGATGTCTCTGATGCTCCGAGGAGGAGCATACGAAGACGATCTGCCATTCTCGGATGAAGGCTCAGGCTCGTCCGAGGGCAGCTATGACGAGAGTCTGTACAACCTGACAGAAGCCTACTTGAAGGACCCGGAGGAGCAAGGGAACCTGACGCATTTGTACGATCTCTTGATTCGGCCGCCCATCATGCCGCCGATGAAGGACGGCAAGATGCTCAGTGGGATAGGCTTGCTGTTGAGCAGAGATCCACCATACAAGATCCTGTCGATCCATCCCCAGGTGCAGCAAGCGCATGCAGGTTTGATCAACATCGGCGACGAAGTCGTCGCGATCAATGGCGAGAGCCTCAAGGGCAAGTCATGGGAGCAGGTTCGGTCCCTAGCACTAGGAGAAGAAGCATCCGACGTCCTGCTGCAAGTATCTCTTGCCCCGCCCCTCGTCTCTTCGTTTGATTTGTTGCATCTACAGTTACTTCCTGGGTCAGCGTTGAACGACCAAGATGGCAAGAAGCATCCCTCCGCTTCCTCAGTCTCCATCGAGCTCAGCCGCTTCTCAGACTACGTGCCTCCCTGCTGCAAGCCGCTGCCTGACGATCCAGGAGTGGGCAAGGGAGAGGAGGAGCAGAAGTTCCTTGAGAAGCATCGGCAGCGAGTGGCCGAGGAGCTTGCGGGTGAACGTGCGAGGTCGTTGGAGGGTGTTCAAGTACCTTGCAGGCATGCCTCTGTATGACTTTGGGGATTGGACGAAGTTGAGGGATCCCAAGACTGGCAAAACGTTCTTCCACGACAGGTCTGTCTTCACCCCTCAGATTGGGGTTGTGGGACCGATGAAGTTGTCCAGGCTTCGAAACGTCTCCCAGTGGCATCCTCCGGCAAGCTACTTTATCCGAAAGGCTCGTCATGCTCCTTGATGGGGAAGCTTGCACCTGACTGATGCGATCCCACAGAAATTGCTGAAGATGTCGCAAGACGAGTTCCTGCAGACAGTAAGAGCGTGCAGGTTGTGCGGCAGGCTGAATGCTGCTGGTACAGGCCGCGATGATGCAGGAGGAGCACGAAGAATTTGTGAGAAGACTGCGGGAGAAGAGGTTGGCAGAGCTGTCGGCAAGATCCGAAGCAGAGGAAGAAGCAGAGCGAGCTAGAATAGACGAGGAGAACCTTCTGGCAGATCTGAGGATGTCTGGGATAGATCCCAAGGAGTTCGAGGCAGCGCTCGAGAACTTCAACGATGAACTCCTTCACATGGGTACACGATTCCGGTGGGGATAGTAGCAACCATGACTTAATCTTGTCCGGCAGGGATTAACGCTTCTGCCATCCCCGATCGGGCGAGCAGGCAGATCATGGCGAAATTCGCAGAGAAGATGGAGAACTTCACACACGAGGAGGAAGGATTGAGCCCCTTGGAGCAAGAGCGACTGATGCAGGCCGTGCGCTCCATCGATCTGAATGACACTCTGAGCCAGGAGGACATGGATAGGATCTTCCCCAAGGTGGACTGGACGCGCCTCCCTCTCCCCTGCACCTAACGTGCTGATGACGTAGGGGAAGCCTGGACTACCTCCGATGATCCAGTTCGCTGATCCCAACCTCCCGGAGTTCTTGCGTCGATGTAAGACATGGGGGAATGGCGACCAGGAGACCGAGGCGGCCATCGCCAAGTGTGAGGCTGGTGAGTCAGGCTAGCCTCTTCCTCCTCTCGGTGATCGCCTCATCGCAGGATGGAAGGTGCTGCGTGAGTTTGACGAGTTCCTCGCGCGGTGAGAAGCTCCCTCTGTGCCTCCTCGGACAGGCCATGATGACACGTCAGAGAGCCTTGGAAGCAGGGAGAGATTGAGCAAACGCTGAGGGGCTCCATGCCACACCTGCCGCAGAACCTCTGCCTTGACTACTACCTCCTCCGAGACTTGGCTAGAGCGCAGGTCGGCATGCGAGGGAGAAAGCGGAAAGCGAAGACCAAGAAAGGCTAGGAGACATGGTGTAGCCACCAGAATGTTCAGGGGGGTTAGGAAGAAGGCGGGAGAAGAGGAAGTTGCAAGGGGATGCAAGTGGGAGAGAAGTGGGCGAGAGTGAGGAAAAGACATTTTACACTGAGAGCAGGAAGAGATGAAGATGAAGGGCCCTGACTGGGGAACCTCTCTTGTGCACGGCATCGATCCCATCTACGACCGATTGGATTTCCGGTGAGTCGAGAGAGTGGCCCCTTCCCAATCTCTCCTCCTGTTCTCGGCTGCTGCTCTCCTCAAACTTGCACAGGCGGGTAGGCTTTGAGGAAGGCAAACAGCAGATCACTTACGTCGGCGATTGTGTTCCCGGCGGATTCAGAATCAAAGAGCAGGTGGTGCTAAGCTGATCGAAAAGCGAAGTGATAGTCAACGGAAGGTTACAGTAGAAATCAATCACGCGTTCATTTTTTTATTTTTTTTTACAGACAACAGAGACAGTCGAATACAACACTTCCACGTCGAAGTTCAAGGACAATATCTTATCCCTTAGCCTTGCGGTGTACTCGTGCATAGAGATGATGTACAAAGTAATTGCTTCGAACCTGTCCTCTGACGTGCTGAACTTCAAAATGCTGTTAAACAATAACGGACGACATGCTTGTCATTGGCCACTTCCATAGCTTTCAGAATGATATGACCTTCAAACAGATTCTTCAGAAAATCCACTATCAGATCTTAAACCTCGTTGAAACAAAGAAACAAAATTGCAGACTCTTGCATCATTCAACCCGATTGTGCGGTGGCCTGGTGATTCCACCCCTTGGATGACGATTCTTGAGTCCCGATCGTTCCACTGTCTTCCACTCTCCCTCGTCTTCTCTAGGTCCAGCGATCTTCTCCTCAGGCGACTTGGGAGGGAAGGGACGGCCTGAATGCGGACCGCCACGTCCTCCCCTTCCACCTTGCGGATGTCCTCTGCTCCCTGAAAAAGGCTTCTTGCCCTGCCCCCTCATGCCACCCCGATTCGCGTAATATGGCTTTTCATCAGCACCTTGGTCTCGTTTCTTGTCATATTTGTGAAACTTTGACTTTTGGGCATCCTTTTCCATCACTTTAGTGCTTGCATCAGAGATGCTTGTTTCCTGATTGTTCGATCCATTGTCTGAGAGCATACCAGCATCGGAAATGCCTGAAGCAAGGCTGTTGCTGGCATCCATCTCAGCTGCCGATCCATGAGACGAAACCTCACTGCAGCATGCATTGGTGCTATTGTAAGATCTGAAAAATTATGTGAGAAGTCATGCAAGACGGTCAAGAACTCTTACAATTCTGACTGTGACGGAGACATGCTCAGTTTCCTCAGCATCTCTTGCAGGTTGTCATGGCTGCTGCTCGAGGTGGGTTCCTGAGCCCCTGAGCCTTCAGAGGGAACCGTCTCAGAGTTGTTGATGATGTCAGACTCCATGAAAGTTCCCGTCACAAACTTAGCAGGGATGCCCTTGAGGGGGCTCTGCATGGCGTGGGCAGGAATACCATGCATGGACACAGATTCCAAGGATGCTGCATTTGCCATCTTTCCCTTCATCATTGGATGCATCATGGCATTGATCATGTTAGGGTCCATCTGTCCGGTCATGCCATGCATCTGCATGTACTGCATCATTTGCATTTGCATCATCTGCGGGTTTGCTTGCCCTGCCATGTTGTAACCAGGAGCCATTCCACTGAAATACTTGGTTATACACAAAAAAAGATGATCAGATCAATGTCACTTACTAGGATGGAAATGCTTGCATGAAGAATCCGTTGCCTCCTGCCATCGGGGGAGCCATGTTTGGAGCTGGAGCTTGTGGCTGGCCAGGGTACCAGCAGCCGTTGACGGTATACCCTGAACAAGGGTTTGAGGATTGGTTCATGCCTGGAACCTGTTGATACTGCATGGGAGTCTGCTGAGTGGACTGTCCGCTGGGCATCTTAGACTGAGGATTTGGAAGCTTCTGCTCTCCTTCTAAAAGAGGGGTCGTTGCTTGCTCGGCAGGAACACAGAGGAACAGGCCGGCGGGAGACGAGGGCAGGCGGAGATTTGACGAAGGAAAAGAGTCTGCGTCCAGGGGCGGTGTGGGGAAGTGGCGGAGGGAGGAAGGGGAGGCGGAGGGTCTAGCGGAGGGTGAGCAAGGAGCGGAGAGGTGGGGAGGTGGGGGGAAGTCGCAGGAGGAAACGCGCGAGGAAAAGGCGGGAAAGGTGCGAGGGAGGGGCAAAGGGTCAGAAGGGGGTAGGGGTGGTGTTCGGGGGTGCAAATACGAGGTGATGGATGATAGGTCTGGGGTTGGCATCTAAGAAATTGAGGACAAGGGGGTTGGGGTAGGTCAGACACGAACGGATATGGGTCCATCATGGAATATCTACGAATATGCCCCAGTAAAATTTGAAGTAGTGCTTTTTACAAGGTGCTCCAGCAAAGATACTTTAGCTTGAGGTGGGTGGGGGTACCCATAATGGGGTGGTCTAAATAGGTGGGTAGAGGGTCAAGAGTAGATTTTCTCAAAGGGTGGGTGGTCCAGTCCACTGCATGCTTGCCTCGAGGATGGGATTCTACCACCCCTACCTATTATACAGAACCATACTACCCCACCATAAGTCAAAAGCGTTACTACTACCCGCCATTCTTCCAATACCCATAAATTGACCCTACCCATCGGAGGCCATTGGTCCTCCTTCAAGATCTTATCCACCCCCCATTTTTTACATGACAAGAACCCCCACCCATGTACAAATCACACGGGCCGGCAAAACAAAAACGCGAAATGCAGGTAGGGTACTTTTCAGTTGGCGCTGATTGCAGAGGGAAAGGGGGGTAGTGGAAGGGAAATTTGAGGGTGATGTAAAAAAAAAATCCAAAATGGGTGGGTAGTGGAGGAGATTGCTCAGATTTGCTTGGTTTGTGGCGGAGTCCATTTTTTTCTCAAGGAGGGGTGGGGTAGTGTGATATGGCTAGGAGAGGGGGTTCTTTTGTTTGAGTGGATTGGGGTAGGGGTATCTTTGGTGACATGGTACCGCTTTGGGCTCGAAAAGGAAAGAGGTCAAACACCACCCACACCCATACCACTGCCCATACCATCGGAGCTTGTCGAGGGAGGAGGGGCCTGCCAGGGGAGGGGTACACATGGAAGCTTCTAGACTCGTTCAGTTCAAGGTTGCCAGATGATGCCTGTGATCGGACGCTCGCGGCGGCCCGGGCCCGCGGCCCGGCCCGGCGGGCCCGGCCTCAGGCTCGGATCCGGGTAGTCATTTCTCGCCGGGTAGCCATTTCTCAGACGCGGCGGCCGCAGTGCCGGCGGGCGGCCCCCGATCGGATCAGCGGCGGCCGGGCGGCCCGCCGGCGCTGGCCCGGGAGCATCCGATCAGGCCGGCCGGGCCGGCGAGCCGCTCCCGGAGCCGGGGGTCCGGCCGGGCGGGCGCCCATCCGCCGCCAGTAGCCATCAGTTGTGGAAGTTCAAAGTCCCCTACATGATGATCTTCAGGGCCCGGCCATGTTGGGAAACGTTCTGCCTGGTGCCGGGTACGCCTTGCACGTGGAGTAAAGTAGTACCGGCTCATGGCTGGGCCCCCGGCCGGCGCCCGGCCACTGACGCGGCCGCCGGGCTAAGTCGGAAGGCTGATTACATTTGAGTAAACTTACTGACAATATTTACACTTTAAAACATACTTATAGTAGGAAGCCTACTGAAGTACCCAACCTGTCAAATATTATTTCAACCTCCCGAAATAGCCTCTCACAGCCAAGTGATCCGCACGAAAAAATGCCTTGTGTCCCTGTGTGTAGTTTGAAAACCATTTTAGACATAAATATTATTCTTTCTGCTACATTTCAAATATATAGATGAATGTTGTTCATATGAAGCGAAGTTACATTGTCGCAAAAACCTCACCGGCACTGAAAACGCGAGCCCATTTGACTAGAAGGGGTGGGGTGGACTGAAGGTGTATTTATTGCACCGAGCGAACAGCGGCGGTCATCTCCTCCGGTAAGGCACGGCAATGCCGCCAATGCGTGGGAGATGTGTCAAGAGCAGAGCAGAGCACTGAGAGAAGAGAAGAAAAGAGTAGAGAAACAAAAGATTGAGCGTGGATGGAAAGATCATGCACCAGCTCGAGCAGATGACTGATCGTTGCGCAGGAAATGTTCCACGACATCGTCCACTTCCAGTCCCTCTCCTCCTCCTGCATCGGATCTAACTCCTGCGGTGTCGGCACCGCCTATGACGCCGATGGCATCTTCTTCGGAGCTGCCAACATCTCCTCTACCAACGTTGCTGAGAGCTTCTTGAAGGACTCCGTGGACAACTCGTCCTACAGCATGAACAGTGGTGCCAACCAGGGCATGTACAACAACTATGCCTCCATCAACACCTACTGGGCTGACACCACCGCCATGGACAACATCCGTGGAGCCGACATCACCGACCACTCCATCGCTGGATCCGCCGAGACCATCGGCACCTCCTTCACCTCGGGCCACACTGTGCACACCGCCTCCGGCAACACCGTGTCCTACGTGCCCCACCCCTCCGACACCTAAGCGGTGTTCGAGCGGTAAGGAAGCGCGTCATGACTGGAGGAGGCATAGCTCAGGTTATGAAGATGCGCGGGAACGTAGCCATGTGCTGGTTCTATTGAATGAACAATATTTTAATCTTACACCACCCTGTTTCTCATGATCTAATCTCCGATCCTTGATGCTGCGATCCGGTTAGTTACATACTCGACTCCCCACGCACTCATTCCTGTATTCGCTGATTCCCTTCCTGAACGCTCCCTGCCTTGAAACACATTCTCTCTTCGATCCAGCTCCGACAAGTATCTCGCGATGCTTCACAAGTCACACCGTGGGTCTTCCGTGACATGTTGTGTCTTTTAACGTCACGACAAGGCACGTAGAGGGAAAGCCAACGTCCTACTTGAAATTTAAATGACATGGTTGAGTTTACAGAACTGATCTACACAGTGTCGAACAGCAGCACTTTTCAGGATAAGGACTTCATCTGAAGCTCAGCCGAACAGGGTTTGGGCCTGTCGATTGAGAAAGGATGCTCCTTAGCGCCGTGCCTGGGAACCGCTTGATGATGCGTACGATGAAACCAGGATTCCTTTGTGTTATCATACCCCGAGGCTTTACGGGTTGCAGATGTCTACAGCGAATGCTCAAGGCACCTCCGCTGGATCACACATCAACAAAGGTACAGTGCAGTGATGTCTAGTTTGATAACGATGCTGAGCGTGGCATACAACATAAGGAGAGAACAGACCCTTCGAGAAGAAGAGGCTGTTCCTTACGTAAGCAGGCTAACTTTAAGTGAAGGACTCGGGGTGATGCTCCTTGCTGCACGAGCACGCTCGCCTCATGCGAGCTCTCGCTTCTCGCAAGCTTCTGATCCTCTTCTTACCACTGTAGCGAGGGAAACCACCCGTAATGTACTAAAGCGAGGGCCGATGTGTAGTACCAGCACTCCGTAGAATCTGCTGGACGGAAAAACTCATGTTCAAATCCGACAAGAAGAGACACGCATCTTGACTATGCCGCCTGGAAACATTGATCGCTCTGCCGGAGCCTCCGGCTCCGCTAGCATGATGGTGACGGCGACCGCGGCGCGCCGCCAGGCGCGCCGTGCAGACGTTGGCACTCGGAAGGAGGGACTCAGTGACGGCTGAGTCAGAGACCTCTGACCGGAGTCGACGGAGGGCCCCGGCGGTGGTAGGTTCATTGGTTTTACTCAAATTAAAGAGTTTTCAAGATTATACAACAAAATGTTTTTAAGATCGGGTTCTTGAGTAAACTTCCGTACCAGTCTTTTGCATATTTTGTAAACATTCTGTCTGCCCATACAGAAACAAAAAAAAGACCGGTCAACCCAAAATAGAACCGGGGGAACACCATCTGGTGGGTGCTAGTCAAGATGGGCATTTGAAATCATTTGCGATATTTGTTTCTTCTATTTTTCAAATGCTACATGAAATTGTGATCGACCAAACTCGACCCCATAAATAACTGTGGCCCCCGGGGCTTGTAGGGGTGGGGTAGACTGAAGGTGTATTTATTTCACCGAGGGAACAGAAGCAGTCATCTCCTCCGGTAAGAGAAAGATCAACATGATGTAAAGCACAGCGGTGTTAAAGATGATGTTACAAACGTCAAGTCGTGGGCCAACTTGATTAGATGACTGATCGTTGAGCAGGAAATGTTCCACGACATCGTCCACTTCCAGTCCCTCTCCTCCTCCTGCATCGGATCTAACTCCTGCGGTGTCGGCACCGCCTATGACGCCGATGGCATCTTCTTCGGAGCTGCCAACATCTCCTCTACCAACGTTGCTGAGAGCTTCTTGAAGGACTCCGTGGACAACTCGTCCTACAGCATGAACAGTGGTGCCAACCAGGGCATGTACAACAACTATGCCTCCATCAACACCTACTGGGCTGACACCACCGGCATGGACAACCTCCGTGGAGCCGACATCACCGACCACTCCATCGCTGGATCCGCCGAGACCATCGGCACCTCCTTCACCTCGGGCCACACTGTGCACACCGCCTCCGGCAACACCGTGTCCTACGTGCCCCACCCCACCGCCGGCTAAGCGGTGTTCGAGCGGTAAGGAAGCGCGTCATGACTGGAGGAGGCATAGCTCAGGTTATGAAGATGCGCTGGAACGTAGCCATGTGCTGGTTCTATTGAATGAACAATATTCTAATCTTACGCGATTGAAGGGAAGCTTTTTGTCATATTTGCTTTCTGAGGTCATCCTGTTGAACTATGTCGCATTTTGTCAAATAGCAAGTACCTTTTTGACAGCCCATTGATGAAATCGTATTATGCACAGAAAATCTTACTTGTTCGCTTGTCAACCCAGAGATGTGCTGTCGAGTTCGAGATCTAAATCTCATCTGCAAGCCAGAGCGAGTTGCAACATGCGCTACAAGCCCCCATACACCCCATTATCACTTGCAGTCTTGCTGAGTCATGAACACTTCGCCGCATCATTCCCTGAGGGCCTCCCAAAGCCACTGGAGTCCCATCAGCGCCAGCTCTGAGGCTGATGCCCTCCTGTACAACTGCAACCTGATGATGACACCCTTGAGCTGCGAGCACTGTCAAACAATCGGCGGCTGCCTGGGCCCTGCAGTGCCGCGGCACCGAGTCCGTGACTCAGGTGGAATTTCCGAAAGTTCACGGCGACTGAGTCAGGCCATCAGACGGTGCGTTCTAGCCTGAGACGAACTTAACTTTGAGTAAAGGAAACAGCCTGGCAGTGCGCTTCCACGGTGGCGTCACTGTGGTGGCTTATGATTGCCTTTGAATGCCCGACCGCGCGGCCCGGGCCCAGCCGGGCACTCAGTGAGTCAGTGATGATGATCGGACGGTGCGAACTTCGGAACTTGGGCACCCTCAGGGCCTCAGTGGTTGGGGTGCCACGGTCCGACCGTACTGTACTCTCAGGCTGATCCTGTCGGCGACTTGCCGCAAACGCATCGATGATCCGGGTCCAGGATCTTTCGTCAGCGAGTCACTGACCGGGCGGGCCTCCGACCCTCCGCTCGGACTCGGCGGGACTCACCGGGGTGACCGGCGGTCGGGGCCCGGCGGTCCCGGGTTCGGGCCCGGCGGGCTTCGGAAGTTCCGAGTTCAACGGAGTCCGGTCAGCCTGGTGTCACAGTCGTCAAGGTAAGTATCAGTTAACTCAATTTCAGTTTGGACAGCCGCGTGAGCAGGATCATTTTCAACCGTTCACCGTTGTGGTTGGTTCTCCGAGTGACTTTCTCGCCCGGTATGGCCTGTGCGACTGCCGAGTGCCATGATTGTCCGGGCCTCATACAGTGATTTTTCAGTAACTTAACTTTGAGTAAACTTGAAACTTCCTGGCCCGCCTCTCCGAGGCCTGATTGTCCTCGTATTGATTTTTAACTTTTAACTTTGCGTAAACTGCGAGGCAAAAGGACTGGGTCACTGTCAGTGCCCGGCCCGGCGGGCCGGCCCGGCCGGGCCGCAACTAGTGACCTTACGTTGAAAAAAAAAAGGGCGTCATCCCAAAATAGATCGCTGATTGACGAGCCCTGGTGGGTACCTGGAGTGATTTCAGTCGGCTCGTCTAAGCTGTGCTCCTACATTTCAAAGTCACACACTCCATATTCCTCTCTCCCCGCCCCTCGCTCCAAATTATTGACTTCGCTCAAAATCGGGTGCAGGGGGTAGGGTAGCAGAACTTCATAAAAACTCGCCGGAAGGGACAGAGGTACATCAAAGACCAGCGGTAAGAGGTGGAAACCATGACTTCGTCCTGGCCAAGCTCGAGCAGATGACTGATCGTTGCGCAGGAAATGTTCCACGACATCGTCCACCTCCAGTCCCTCGCCGGATCCTGCATCGGATCTAACTCCTGCGGTGTCGGCACCGCCTCTGACGCCGATGGCATCTTCTTCGGAGCTGCCAACATCTCCTCTGCCAACGTTGCTGAGAGCTTCTTGAAGGACTCCGTGGACAACTCGTCCTACAGCATGAACAGTGGTACTGACCAGGGCATGTTCAACGACTATGCCTCCATCAACACCTACTGGGCTGACACCACCGCCATGGACAACATCCGTGGAGCCGACATCACCGACCACTCCATCGCTGGATCCGCCGAGACCATCGGCACCTCCTTCACCTCGGGCCACACTGTGCACACCGCCTCCGGCAACACCGTGTCCTACGTGCCCCACCCCACCGCCGGCTAAGCGGTGTTCGAGCGGTAAGGAAGCGCGTCATGACTGGAGGAGGCATAGCTCAGGTTATGAAGATGCGCGGGAACGTAGCCATGTGCTGGTTCTATTGAATGAACAATATTTTGATCTTATGCTTTTGATTTTGCTTTCGTCACATGACATTGATTCAACCAAAGATAGCTTTTCTTCAATCCAGCCATGAGTATCACACTCTGTTCTAGAGCTGTTACGTTTCAGTCCGATGCTCACGACCACTTTGATTTTGTACTGATGGCGATCCCCACTATCACTTGCATATGCAAAACCTAGCAGACCGCATCGCTGGCTCTGTTGTACAATGGTCTTTTCTCGGAACCACCCGATCGCGGTGGCAGGATGAGTAAGTCCTTAAAACTATGCTGGCATCGTCTTTCGACACTTTCCGGTACTGGTTGGACAGAGCAATCGTCACCCTATGCTGGAGTCTACTAGAGCTCTCAAAGCCGACTACATTGTGGGCTATCCATGCCAGACCTCAAACCGATGATTCCAGCTGAATGCCTCCTTCAGCTTTCCGGCGCCTCCGAAGCACTCGAGCTGACCTCATAAAGCGGTCCCATCAGATTTGCGAAACACGTGCATCGACCAGCGAGATAAGGATTACAAAAACGGACAAGAAGGCAAAGTCTCTCAGATAGATCAGACGAAAAAACAACCCTTGCAGGATCCGGGAGATCAAGGTCATCATCCGTATCCGCGGCTACCGCGTTGAGAGCGTCTGGAAGCGAGTGGAGGTGGTAGCGGAGATGGCAAACATGCGATGAAATCAGCTCAAGAGCTTGATCTGTCGCCAATGGCGAGAACACGAAACGGTCGTCAGTGAGAATCAAGTTATTCAACTTGCCGGACGAACATATGTTTTTGATGGACATGCCATCACTCTCTGAGTTTGACCTGCTGGTCTCAGGATACTCCACAGGGAAGCTTCCATCTTGCTTCAGTACCGATAATCCCATTAGGCTCGTTTCCCGTTGCACATCTTGATCTCTAAGAGACAGATTGATCCACAGGACTGTCGCTGTTTTTTGCTCCCTTTGACTCGTTACTGTCTACTCCGAGACTTGAAGGCTCCATTCTCAAGCAAGACTCCTTCATTCCTTCAACCAATTCGCTACCACCAGGCGTCTGTCCGAAGAGATAATCGCTATTGCAGTACGAGGGCTGATGTAGTTGAGTAAACCTTTCGGTACTGAACCCGATAACTGATTTTCCTCGTACTTTGAAAAAAAAGAACAAGGGGTCATCCCAAAATAGATCGCTGATTGACGAGCCCTGGTGGGTACCTGGAGTGATTTCAGTCGGCTCGTCTAAGCTGTGCTCCTACATTTCAAAGTTACACACCCCATATTCCTCTCTCCCCGCCCCTCGCTCCAAATCACTCCAAGTCGGGTGCAGGGGGTAGGGTAGCAGAACTTCACAAAAACTCGCGGAAGGAGGGGAGCGGTCAAGCTTCTGCGGTAAGGAAGAGACCATGACGCCGAGAAGAGACCATGGCCAAGCTCGAGCAGATGACTGATCGTTGCGCAGGAAATGTTCCACGACATCGTCCACCTCCAGTCCCTCGCCGGATCCTGCATCGGATCTAACTCCTGCGGTGTCGGCACCGCCTATGACGCCGACGGCATCTTCTTCGGAGCTGCCAACATCTCCTCTGCCAACGTTGCTGAGAGCTTCTTGGCGGACTCCGTCAACGACGCTTCCTACAGCATGAACAGTGGTACTGACCAGGGCATGTTCAACGACTATGCCTCCATCAACACCTACTGGGCTGACACCACCGCCATGGACAACCTCCGTGGAGCCGACATCACCGACCACTCCATCGCTGGATCGACCGAGACCATCGGCTCCACCTTTGGCTCGGGCCACACTGTGCACACTGCCTCCGGCAACACCGTGTCCTACGTGCCCCACTCCCCAGCTGGTGGCAAGTAAGGAACTTCGGAATCGTGAGTAAGGAAGCGCGTCATGACTGGAGGAGGCATAGCTCAGGTTATGAAGATGCGCGGGAACGTAGCCATGTGCTGGTTCTATTGAATGAACAATATTTTAATCTTATCTAATTACCATGCTTGCAATGATGTTTTTGCTGCTTCTGGTCTAGGTCGATTGATTCGTCCATTGCTCATCCCAAGTGTGTTAAATCGGTCGGCTCTATTCGCCCTCCCACCATGCTACAGTACGAAGATTTACGGGACAGGAAAACACTAGAATACGGACAAAGATCGTAGATGCCCTTTAGATTATCTCTCGGACGCGTCTTCTTATTTGAGAGAACGATTCTTCCATGCAACCTGTCTTTTTGTTGCAGCTAAATCTTTGGCACTAGAGAGCCCGGTTCCTGTAAGCTATCGCACCTTCGAGTGACAAACCTCATCAGTCAACAACACCGGCATCAACGATGAGTCATTCCAATCACTCTAGATCACCCGCCAGACTCGCATTCCGCATACCGCATACTCCGCAACAGCAAAACTTGCTGGCATGTGACAAATACTCCTCCTTTAATCCATCCTCGACCAGCATGGCTGTCGTTCCCGATACTCTGCGGCCGTCACGATGCAGTCCGATGCCCAACACAACTCTGTAACATCCCCGCAAAGGAATTCATGCTCCCTTTATAAGCGCGCACGTACGCACTCATGATGGCTGAATGTTGAAGTCTAATCAGTCAAGCTGATGGGGGGGGCGCAGTGCCTCACTTGGCTCAACACGAGCGTGTTGCAACATGCACCACAAGCCCAGACTCGATTATCACTGTCTTGCTCATGCTCAGCATGTTCGCAAACATACGGATGTCTGCTCTCGCCTCGCAAGATGTCTCAGGTGAACTGACATGTAGACGCCTCCGCTCCGCTAAAGCCCTTCCAACAGCTCCAGGCTTTTATGTCCTCAGCGCGATTATCGCCTAAACAGTGGGACATGTATCAGAGCTCTGCGAAGGCGAGCTCAAGCCTCCGCAGGAAGGAATCTTATTGAGCAGGAGTGGGCAGCAAGAGAAGCTATGGTCTTCTCTTACAGCCACGAGGCAGCAAGGGCTCTAACGGCTCCCTGTTCGGCGACAGAGTGTGCCAAGTACGGGGGGTATCTCCTGTACTGGTACGATTGGATGAATTTCGAGGAGGAGCAGGCAGCAGATCTAAGCGACCGCACGAGAAATGCTCGCTCGTGCGCGAAGAGCCTCACCACCCCTGGTTGTTCCCCTCGACTATGAAATGATCGCCAACAACTGCTAAGGTGGTCTGTCCTTCCCCTTGCTGTGTGCACCACGAATTGATAGTGTTCGTGTTATCAAACAACTTTACGCTTCACCCTTGTGTGTGATCCAGCGGAGGTGCCTTGAGCATGCGCTGAAGACGTCTGCAACCCGTAAAGCCTCGGGGTGTGACAGCATCGTGTATAGTAGGGGGGTTTATGCACCGCGTTCACATGGCGTGAGCATGCTCGTTCGACCTCCTTGTCGTGTACCTTGGCCTCTCCATCTGACTCAAAACATGACGTCAACTCTAATCCTGTCAGAATAGACTTGTGCCAGCGATAACAAAGAGTCAGGGCACGCTCTTTCTTGGTTCGTGTCGCTCGTTGAACATCACTTAAACAGCAAGATTGTGATGTTGAAAGCTTCCCTGTTTTGTGCTCAATGAAGACGATGGCTCTGAGATTCTAAATGATATCGTTTAATCGAACACATGGTTTACATACCGCACCTTTCAACAGTGACATACATAGGTTGAAGAACATGCAGAGGTAAAGTGGACCCGCTTTCTGTGAATGTGTCAAGCTATGCGGAGTCCAGTGAATTGCTCTTTGGAATACGTGTATTGGGGCCACAAATTCTGAAGGGAAGACCCTGACATCGCGGGCATTCGCTTGAAGTTAGGAAGTTCATGCAGTAATTTCATGTTGTAGATGTTCTGAACGACAGCATCAGGCATACTACATGAGAGAATCATGCAATATACGTGAAGCCGGAACCTCCTTCGAGTGCAGCATGACCTTTGAATGTCAACGACGCTTCCTACAGCATGAACAGTGGTGCCAACCAGGGCATGTTCAACGACTATGCCTCCATCAACACCTACTGGGCTGACACCACCGCCATGGACAACATCCGTGGAGGCGACATCACCGACCACTCCATCGCTGGATCCGCCGAGAGCCCTACCAATCTTTAAGCATTTCCACTCGTGAAGATGTGCGGGAACGTAGCCATGTGCTGGTTCTATTGAATGAACAACCTGAGATCGGATTTGCTTGTACGTGTGTGGAGAGCAATCGCAACTCCAGTACTCTGTGAAGATGAGATCCATCTCCAACACTACAAAAGGGAGGCCAGATCCTCTTGCCTCCCGTATTCCTCGGAGTACGAACCACGGATATAGCAGTGTCTGTATTGTCTGTTGTACATAAGGAATCTAGCTTCAAGCTTGCTTCCTCCTCGTCCTAAGCGCGGCTTCGCTGCTTCGTTGGGACCGTTCCCTCATCAGCTAGCGCCTTACATGATCCTTGCATCTTTGACTTTCGAGCCGTCAGCGAGTTGTCAGAGCTCGTAGGAACCGAACTGACCCGAGTCAGGCAAAGGTCAACCAAAAGGAAAGGACAGTTGGATGCTGCCTCGTACTCGCGTTCGAAATTGACTTCTCCTGGACAACCCAGGATACTCTACCCCAGTGTGAATCTGCTGAAAAGGACCCCTCTGGAGGTCTCTGTTGCAGGAACAGTGTTACCCGTGGTGGCTTACAAGCTAAGAGGACGGGGTTCTCTTCCCTACGAGAGAGCAAGGCTTCCTTTCCAAGTGCTGATGGGATGTTCAACGTCTAAGGAGGGCAGCTTGTCAACTTCCAAGGAGGGGACACCCCTGCTTCCTTCAGCAAGGAGCACTACATACCCCCAGTCCTTCTCTTAGCCTATATAAGGATCAGCCTCTTCAGCTACAAGGGTCTGTTCTCTCCTCATGTTGTATGCCATGCTGATCTAGCATAGTTAGTAAACTCGACATCACACCTCATGTGTGATCCAGCGGAGGTGCCTTGAACATTCGCTGTAGACGTGTCTGCAACCCGTAAAGCCTCAGATTGAAACACGGGTATGCTTCATTCGATCCCACAAGGATTCTATTGTGCGACATGCTGACCTTGATGTTGCCAAGCCTGTGAAGATGTTTCACACTGCTGGCAGCCCTTGGCTTTCCCCTCGTGCAGGTCAGTACACATTGGCCTGCTTCTTCTACTCTCCCTCCATGGCAGCCCTACCGATGAATAGCGGCAGCCATTTGCTGGGATCTCTAGAGCTTGATATCAAGACTGCTTTCCTATGAGCTCTAGAACGCTTTCTCCCTTTCTCAGCTCTCTCTGACAAGCCCTTTGCAGCGACACGTCCAGCTTGACAGTAGTCGGGGGGAGTGCTGGGACTACTTTGGGGGCCCAAAAGTTTCAAACTGATTGTAGGAGACAGTAATTCTTTTCCACCGCGGCTATCTAGAGCTGCCTTGACAGTCTCGAGACAAGAAGGGTGTTGAGAAACTTCTTTGTCATTGGGATTGACCGGTCGAATTTGTGTCGTCCAGTGATAGATGGTCTCGACCGCGTGACAAACTGCTTCCATTGAGTTCGAGAAAGGCGCTTGTTGTTGTATAGGCAGTCACGGTAGTGGGATACCGCCTTTTTGATGCTTGATATCAAGACTGCTTTCCTATGAGCTCTAGAACGCTTTCTCCCTTTCTCAGCTCTCTCTGACAAGCCCTTTGCAGCGACACGTCCAGCTTGACAGTAGTCGGGGGGAGTGCTGGGACTACTTTGGGGGCCCAAAAGTTTCAAACTGATTGTAGGAGACAGTAATTCTTTTCCACCGCGGCTATCTAGAGCTGCCTTGACAGTCTCGAGACAAGAAGGGTGTTGAGAAACTTCTTTGTCATTGGGATTGACCGGTCGAATTTGTGTCGTCCAGTGATAGATGGTCTCGACCGCGTGACAAACTGCTTCCATTGAGTTCGAGAAAGGCGCTTGTTGTTGTATAGGCAGTCACGGTAGTGGGATACCGCCTTTTTGATGCTTGATATCAAGACTGCTTTCATATGAGCTCTAGAACGCTTTCTCCCTTTCTCAGCTCTCTCTGACAAGCCCTTTGGAGTGCTGGGACTACTTTGGGGTCCCAAAAGTTTCAAATTCGCGCTTGAGGTTGCTGAGGAGTCCAGTATATCCGTGATAGTAGGAGAAAAATCCATGACGGCCTAGCACTACTACCGTTGCCATGATGGCCTGCACTGCCGCAGTGCCGCAGCTGAACCGTCGCGGGGCCGCGCCGAGTGACTGTAAGGCTGCGGGACTCCCGGGCCCCGGCCCTCCCGGGATACTAGGCTTTCGGAAGTTCACCGCCGGGCGGACCCCGGGCCCCGGCGTCCGGGCCCGGACTGATGACTCGAATGGCCCCGGGCCCGGGGTATCACTGCCCTCTTAGTTCCGAAGTTCCTTGAAGTCTGGCTCCTCACGTCAACCAAGCTGAAATAAAAAAGCAGATTCTGTACCCCCAAACTTGATAGAGATAGGATGGGAGGGGGTACAAAATTTGAAAAAGCATCGTGTGAATATTTGAAATTTGGATGTCGTGTTGCAAAGGGTTGACACATGGTGGCCTAAAAAATTGAGTTCAGCCGCGATTGTTTCAGTGAGCCTGCCGGGGTGGGGGGGGCTTGGTGAGCGCATATATTGACCGCGAGTCAAGCATCAGGAAAACTTGCGGTGAGACTATGATCGTGCCATGTTGGGTGCTGCGATGATGGAGAGAGATGTTGAGAGGAGACACGAAGAGAGCAGATGAGAGAAAGAAGCAAAGAAGATCCAAACAAAGGCAGAGGCAGAGGCAGAGACAGAGACAGAGACAGGGTTTGAGTTTGACATTCATTGCACAGGAAATGTTCCACGACGTCCTCCACCTCCAGTCCCTCTCCTCCTGCATCGGATCTAACTCCTGCGGTGTAGGCACCGCCTCTGACACCGACGGCATGTTCTTCGGAGCTACCAACATCTCCTCTGCCAACGTTGGTGAAGGCTTCTTGGCGGACTCAGTCAACGACGCTTCCTACAGCATGAACAGCGGTACTGACCAGGGCATGTTCAACGACTATGCCTCCATCAACACCTACTGGGCTGACACCACCGACATGGACAACCTCCGTGGAGCCGACATCACCGACCACTCCATCGCTGGATCCACCGAGACCATCGGCTCCACACCTTTGGCTCGGGCCACACTGTGCACACTGACTCCGGCAACGCCATCTCCACCTACAAGCAGCACTAGACGATCTGGACGTGGCAAGATACAGCAGTGCGACTGGCGGCATGAGATTAGCAAGCTTTTCATGACGTCTATTAAACTATTAATCAAACTCCGTTGTCGTAGCTGCTTCTCTTTCAGGGCTTCAAGAGGCCTACATCAACAAGTGAGACAGAGGCCTTTACTCTCAATCAACACTTTCTCCCCAGCTACTTCAACTAGAGCGCCCAAACATACATGACTAACTCGTCCGCGTGTAACCACCCCTTCCCTGCCAGGCTCCTTCCTCGCCGCTGCAGCACTATAAGTTCGGCGCATCCTTTGAGGTGCTCAGCTCCTGCTGTACGGCTTGAGCGCGAGATGTCACAAAGTCCACGATCTCATGCTCTACAAGGTCCCACGACAATCGCTGCTGCACATGGCAGAGAGACGCGAAGTTTGCCTGGGTCAGCTGATAGATGAAACTTCTGTCCGTGAGCAGGAAAGGATCCGCATACTCGATCGCCCGGGCGTCCACCTGGACAATCGCGAGGACAGCCTCTCTGCAAGATAGAATGTCCTCATGAGCGAACCGCATTGCACTCCCATCCTGCTTCACAGCCTCCATCACCACCTCCAAGTCAGCTCGCAACTGCAGACTGGCATACTGCAGAGCTGAAAAGGTCTGAGCGACTGCCTCCAGCACAATCTTCTTGTTGTTTCTCAGCTCGTAGGTCAAAAGCCTCAGAGAGTCCCCCGACTGTCTGACAGCCTCTGTCACAACTTCCTCGTCCTCCTGCAGGTTCTCGCTCGCGTATTGGAGCGCTTGACCATCTTTTCTCACCGCCGCCAAGACCACCTCCTTGCAAGACTTGATGCTGCTGTCGGCATACTCCAAGGCCAGACCACACTGCTTCACCGCCTCCATCACTATCGCCTTATCTCCACGGATCTCGTCACATGCAAACTTGATCATCGTACCGTCCTGCTCCACTGCATGCCTCACGAACGTTTTCTCGGCCCAGAGTTCAGAGCCAACGAACTCAAGCGCAGCGGGCGTCTCCTGGATGGCAGCAAGCACAACCTCCCGGTCGTTCTGTAGCGTCAAGACGTACTGCAGGGCTCGCCCGTCCTGCCTGACAGCTGCGAGGGCTACAGCTTTGTTGCACCTCAGCAGCTTGCTCGCGTACTTCAAGGCCAGGCCATCTTGCTTCACAGCCTCCATGACCACCTCCGCGTCTTTTCTCAGCTCTGCAGAAGCAGTTTGCAGCGATAATCCACATTGCTTGACGGCCTCGAGCACGACCTGACGATGAGCCTTCAGCTCGTCGCTCAAGAACTGCATGGAGCTTCCGTTCTGCCGGACCGATGCCAGCGCAATATCGACATTGTTCTTCAGCCTGTCACTAGCGTATCGCAGAGCGCTGCTGTCATTCTCAACAGCTGTCAAGACAACGTCAAAGTCATCTCTCAATTTCTCATCTGCATTCTCCAAGGCTGTGCTATCCTGTCTCACGGCATCCAAGACGATCTGCTTGTCACTGACCAGAGCGTTGGAGTGCTCGAGGGACCTCCCACTTTGCTGCACGGCAGTCATCACCACCTCCCTCTTCGATTTCAAGTCCGACGAAGCAAATTGCAGCGCGTAGCCATTTTGCTTCACTGCTACAAGTACCACCTCCAAGCTGCTACGCAACTCCTCCGATGCGAATTCCAGTGCGAGACCATCTCTAGCTACAGCCGCTAGCACCACGTCGCGATTGGCACAAATCCGTTGAGCAGCATACTCCAACGCCAGCCCATTGTTCTTGACAGCTTGCAGGACGAGCTTCACGTCTTCTCTCAAGCCTTCACCAGCAAACTCTAGGGACAACCCATCCTGCTGAACAGCCTCCATCACCACACTCCTGTCGCTCCGAAGGCTCGGCGATGCGAATCGCAACGAAGTTCCCGCGAAGCGGACGGCACTCATCACAATCTCTCTGTCATTCTTCAAACTTGAATCAGCAAACTCGAGCGAAAAGCCGTTGTTTTGAACAGCAGACATCACAACTCTCTTACATGCCTTCATCCTTGGACTAGCAAATTCAAGAGCCTCGCCGCTCTCGTGGACTGCAGCAAACACAATGTCTTCGATGTCTCTTACAGTAGCATTGCAGTACTGCAACGCCTGGCCAGATTGCATGACAGCGTTGAGCACGACTTCCTTGTCTTCACAAAGTTGACTATCTCCGTCAAGATAATTGAGAACACGTCCATCATGCAGCAAGGCAACAAGAACTATCGACTTGTCCGCCCTCAATTCCCTACTTGCGTACTCTAGGGACCTTCCATTCTGTTTCACCGCAGCCATAACGACTTCTCGGTCACTCTGCAGCTGCTCGTCTGCCCAGATCAATGACATCCCATCGTTCTGCACAGCCGCAATCACCACATCTTTGTCGCGCTTGAAACTGTTGCTGGCGAATTCCAACGCCATCCCTTCGTTAGAGACCGCGGCAAGCAAAATATCCTTGTTTTGCAGAAGCTCGTTGCTAGCGTACTTGACTGCAGTTCCGTTCTTCTTGACAGCAGCCAAAACGATGTCGAAATCGTTTCGATACTTGGGGTCCACATATCTTAAGGCAGATCCATCGTTGTTGACCGCAGTAAGAATGATGTCACGATCAAATCGGAGGTCACTATTCACGTAGTCGAGCACATGTCCATTCTTGGATAAGGCTGCCTTCACCAGAGTTGGATCGTTGTGAAACTCATTGCTCGCATGACGAAGTGCACTGCTATCTTGGTTGATTGCTTTCCATACAACTTCAGCATCATGAATGAGGGGTTTGCCAACAAACTCAAGTGCACAGCCATTTTGTTCGACAGCATTCAAAACCAGTTTCTTCATTGCCCGACATCGATCGCTCGCATGCACCAGAGCATATCCATCCTGTCGCACAGCAGACAAGATGATCGTCTCGTCGTCTCGCAGTTCGTCAGACGCATATTGCAATGCTCTTCCGTCCTGTCGCACTGCAGCCATCACAACGTCATAATCTGATTTGAGTCTATTGCCCACGTACTCCAACGCACAACCATTCTTCTCTAATGCCCTCAACACAATTTGTTTGTCCGAACGCAATTCAATACTTGCATACCGCAGAGCCCAATCGCCGGAAATGACAGCTGCATTGATAATGTCGCGATCCGATCTGAGCTCATAACAGACCGACTCAAGGGACCAGCTCGATTGCCTGATCGCTGCAAGAACAACTTCCTTGTCACGCTGAATCTCTTCGCTGGCGTGTTCCAGTGCCGTCCCACACCTTCTTACACTTGTCAAAACAATATCTCGATCCGCTTGAAGCTCGTCCGACGCAAATTCAAGAGCGTTGCCATCTTGCCGTACAGCCTTGAGAACGATTTCCCTATTTGACCTGAGCTCATCTGACACATATTCAAGTGACCTCCCACTTTGCATTATTGCCGTTTCAACAATCTCCAAATCATTCTGGAGCTCTTCACTTGCAAATTCTAGACTAAACCCGTCCCTTCGGACTGCAACGAGCACGATTTCTCTATTTCCCCTCAGATTCTGGCTGGCATATTCCAAAGCTCGCCCATAATCTTGCACAGCTGCAAGGACTACTTCAAAGTCGTCGACCAGATCCTCGCTAGCAAACTCCAGGGACATACCGTTAGCACGTATGCTGAATAGAACTAAGTTCCTGTCATTCTTCAATAGGTCCCCTGCGTGTTCCAGGGCGTTGCCGTCATTCCTCAATGCTGCAATAACCATGGCTCTATCATCCCGGAGCTCTTCATTCGCATATTCTAGTGCTGCCCCGTTCTGTCGAACTGCTGTCATCACGACTTCTCTGTCCCCCTTCAAATTTTCACTAGCGTATTCTAACGCTCGGCCGTCATTGCTGACTGCCGCCAGAACCAAGTCTTTGTCAGCCTTCAACTCGTCGCTTACATGCATAAGTGCAATCCCCATCTTCTTCACAGCCATTATCATCAGGTCCTTGTCCGCCTTGAGCATATCTGAAACATACTCCACAGCCCATCCGTCCTGGTTGACCGCCAGAGAAACTACTTCACGATCAGCTTTCAACTCCTCGCTGAGGAATTCTAGTGCCCTGCTGTCTTGGCGGACAGCTAACAGAGCGATCTCTCTATCTGCTCGCATCTCTTCGCTTGCATACTCCAAAAAATAACCGCAGCGCCGTGTTGCTGCTATCACTATCTCCCTGTTGGATTTCATGTCGTCTCCTACGTGGAACAAAGCTCTTCCATCTTGTTGTACAGCAGCGAGAGCTACTTCCATGTCTGACTTCAAGGTTTCGCTTGCATGGCACAAGGTCTCACCGTCTTGTCGAATGGCCACCATAACAAGCTCTTTGTTTGATTTGAGCGCATCGCTAGCAAATTCTAAAGCACGGCAATCCTGCTTCACTGCTGCCGTCACAACCTCGACATCTGCCCTCAAGGCATCATGCGCATACTGCAATGCAAGACCATCTTTCTTCACTGCCGCAAGAACGATACGCTTGTCAGACTTCGATGCCTCGCCTGCGTATTCCAGCGCGATGCCGTTCTGTTCGACTGCTGTGAATACAATGTCTTCATCGTCTTTCAACTCAGAGGTTGCAAACTCAAGCGCGAGACCATCCAGACTTACGGCCATCGTGATGAATTCCTTGTCAGAATGTATGTTGACATTGGATGGCGGCAAGTCGATGCCCCTTCTACGCAATACCGTGATGATGTTTTCTCGCTGCATGGCTCTCGAACGCAAGCAATGATGGACTAAGTGGGGTCACAAAGAGCAGCGCATGTCCAAGAGATATCAATGGCTTTCCTTCATACCTTCCTCTCCTCCTTTTCTGCCCTCTCGCGCTCGCTCTTTCCGCCTTCCTACTCCTTAGAACTTCCCCGCCATTTCCAAATTCCTTCAGATTTGGGCACCCCTGGTTTTATCACCCCTACCCTTACTAGTTCGTGGCTTGCTAGAAGTACCCGTACTGCAGGGTTCTAAAACGGTGGTGTTTACCCCACCCCCCTCCTAGAGGACCACCTTCTCTCCAACCACTACAGATATCCATGCACCACCCTACCTCCGATTCCTAGCTTCAGGTTCGGACTCCCCCTACCCTACCCTACCGATTCCGTGCGGAATACCCGTGGTTTCCAGCACTCGGAGGACTCTCGTGCCGCTCCAACCGCCGCCCGACACTGCCGCAGTGCGGCGAGTCGCCCGGGCCCCGGGCCCCGGGCCGCGCCGCGCCGGCCCGGGCCGCTCCGGCCGGGCCAACCCGGACTCGAGGCTCCCGAAGTATCCGTCCCGGTTGACCAGTCCGTTGACTCCGTTCCGAGTCCGAGGGCAGGCCCTTCCGGGAGTGCCGCAGTTCCGAGCTGAGCCTACCGCAGTCGGAAGGGGCCGTTCCGACACAACTTGCCCCAGGCCGGCAGAGACGCCGGACGGCCGAGTCCGAGTCCGACGTGAGTGAGCGGGGCCCCGGCTCGGACTCCGTTCAAGCCTGTATCATGCCCGGCAGGGCGCAAGTCACACACTGAATGTTTTTACTAACATCAGAGTGATACCGTACGCCCCCCCCACCGTGATACTAGCCGTTGAATGAATTTCAGTGACAGTGCAAATGGATCTTAATCACAAATTTGCTGCCCTTCGGGGCTGGGAGTTGAACGGCTACACCATGTCGGTGGTGGAGCGAGCAAGGTCGCTGGAGGCAAGGTCATGCGCTGCAGCTGTCGCTTCCTTGATCGTCCATCTCCTATCCTCTCCTCCCTCCCTCCCTCTTATCCCCTCCGCCCTCCCTTCCTCCTATCTTCCTCTTCCCTCTTCATCCAACCTGGTGCTGCCCTGATTTCCCTGCCCTACTGTAATCTTATCTCCTTTACTTTCCTCGTCCTCGCAATCACGACATCTTTTCTTTCGTCCATCTTCCTTCCTTTAACCATTGACTTTAGGATGGCATCATTTTCCCATGCTCAGAGCGCGGCTTTAGCGGGGGTTGACCTTCGTCATCCGAGGTCGAGAGACCTGATGGCAGATTCGCTTCCAGTGACATCTCTACGCGCCGAGATGTCAGAGCTGCACGAGATGCTTCAAGCCCGCGGAGCAGCCATGCAAGAAATCGTCCTTGAGAGTCGCAACCTGCGGCAGATGGCTGCTAGCCGCATGTCAAGGAGAGACGTCACCAATCAGCTCGGGGAGCGCCTAAGGAATTTCTCCCACGTCTTCCCCACCGCAAACACGAGGAGACCCAGGAGGGCAGAGGTACCCGATGACATGGAGCTGAACAGCTACGTCCTGAGAGGAGGAAGCGAGGAGACGAGCTGTGTGATCTGCCTAGAAAACTTGACTGAAGGGGCTCAAGTTACTTCGTTAGCGTGTGCACACATGTTCCATGCGGCCTGCCTCAAGTCTTGGATCCGTCAAAAGGGTTGGGATGCCTCCTGCCCTCTCTGTGTGACCAAGATTTTTGCGAATGAGACCCACAAGAAGCGGTCTCCGGACGTCAGCCTCCGCAGCTCATCACACGAACTTTCTTTCAGTCAAGTTCATGATCAGCGCATCGCATCGAACAGCGGTTTCAAACCTTGTTGTGCTGTGTTTGCTGTTAGTGATTATGCAGTTTGGTTTCAAGTCCTTTGCCTCCTCTCCTGACTTGTATCCTTGCAGGTGAGGCGAGGAGGCCCAACTCGGCGAGGTAAACAGCGATCTCTTATCAAGGCATTTCTTACATCGCTCAGATCAACGATGGCTGGACATTCTCTCAGAGATTCACAGTCAGCAGCAGAAAGCAGAATCTGGTATGTTACAGTTGTTTTCTGCATCATTTTGCTGCATTTTTGCTTGAGAATTTCTTATTGCGGGGTGGTGCAGGCAGGTGGGTTCGAGCCGGGGCACTCGATTGAGAAGGAACAATTCAACCAGTCAAGCAGGTACGCCGTCAGTAAGTGATGGATGTTAAGTCAGACTGTCACAGCAGGAGCTTCGCCCCGTCAACCGACCATGAGCTTCTGTCCGCCGAGTACGCTTCGTTTACCCGCGGTGGTTTGGCATTGCTTGACCATTTTGGAAATAATCTCCTCTTGATGCAGCCAACGCGAGACCTGAGTCATCTCTTAAGTTTTTCTTCAAATCGCTCATGATAGTAAAACATAGTATGTTCTGTATTTCCTCCGATTGACCAAATGACATGGTTCACCATTTCTTTTGACCGGACCTGAATCACATTGAGGTCTGCAGGCCCTGAATAGAAGTGAATGTGATCACACACGTGCAAATAATGGTGTCAGAATTTCTGGATTTTCCGATTTCAGTTGCAGGATGAGGGCAACAGAGGGCAACATGTTTATCAGCTGTGTTTTGGGTAGCGTTATGACAATCATCAAACTTTTACTCAACTTCCCTCGACTTCGTCTGCGCACTGGAACTGTCTTTCTCTATTGCCAGTACAGTCAAGACAACTCAAATCGCTTCCTCTACACCTGCAATCTATTTTAAGCAAGCACCTTGTTCCTGGTCACGTGATGTCGGCGAAAGTTCTGCTTTGGATGCTTGGCGTATCCAGCCTGGTGAGCTCCCAAGAAGACAACATCTGTGCCTGCTGCTCCAATCTCCTCATCACTTGACATGGGCTTCTGGTGAGAAGGGGCAGCCTGATGATTCTGGTGGGCGACTGAACGAGCCAAGAGACGGTGAGCTTGATGCATCTTCTGGATACGGCGAGATGCCAAGTGCCTCCACTTCCCTGCAGCATTCACACTCTTCCTGGCATTGCGAATCTCTTCCAGCTTTGCATTGAGCTCGTGTCTTGCTTGCTTGGCCTGTTCCTTGAAGCGGGCAGGGAGTGTCGACTCCACCTCCTGCTCCCTCCTCGCCTCCATCTCCTTCGCAGTCTCCTGCTGACCATGCTTGCCCTGCTCATTGGGGAAGGCAGATTCAGTCACCTTCTCAATGCGCTGCAATTCTTCATCCGCTTGCTTTGCAACAGCGGCCTTGTCATGAGAAGCAAGGAAATGATGCTGCTTGTGCGCTGGGACCTTGGCGGCAGCAGCTTCGGGATGCTGTACAGCATGATGGCTCGCCACCTTAGCATAAGACTTGTCTGTGTTCTCCACAGCAGCAGTTGCATCAGCTACTTGCTTATAGTGCTGTTGCATCTCGCTGGAGCTCACGTGGTGCCATTGCTTTTCATGGTGTTGATGAGGAAAGATCGCGTCGTTCATTCGGGCCATCTCTGCGTCGAACTTGGACGCCTGCTGTGCAGCGGCGATTCTGCTGGCTTCAGTGACCTGCTTTACCCTACTCTCTTCTGCCATGAGCCTCTCTTCTTCCTTTGAGGCCATGGCCACACCCACCAGTAGCGCTACCATGGCAGCTACCTTCAACACAGCTCGAGCCATTGCGAAGGGACAACTGGTTATCCATCGTCCTTGGCTACAGTTGGCACCGGACCCGGCCCCGGAGGCGGGAACCCTGCAGTGCACTGCACTGAGAACTTAAATCTCTCAGTAACACAACAGAACTTATATCTCGGACCGTCCGAGTTTCGCTCAGGCTGCCGCTCCTCCTTTCTAGCCTAAATTCTGTTGAGGCGGGTTTGTAGGGTTACCCCCGGTCAGTCAAGTTCCTCCCAGAAAGTTTGTTTGCTCCCTCCGAGCCTAACTGAGCCGGGCCCGGTGAGCCTTACATAACTGAAATTCGCCTGGGAGTTTTGAAATACCAATATTGCGTATTGAATATTGAGGTTTGAAAATCAAATCAAGCTTTTCAACTTTGACTGCGCGATTGGGCATGATGGGCAAAGGTCCCAACAAGCATCTGGAGAAGGAGGAGGAGGAGGAGGAGGAGGAGCCTGTGAAGCTGGTGAGCTATAGAAGGAACATACACACACGTCAAAGTGCTAGAGGAAGACGAAGGGATCGCGAGGAATCTGATCAGATGCTGGGAGAAGGGTTTAAGCTCGGAGAAGTTGTCCATTGCGAGTCGCTCTACACCATGACGCAGGAGATACACTACATTCAATTCGAAGAGACAGTCCCTAGAACGGGGATCGGCGTATACTTCTGGATAAGGAAAGCCGAAAGAAACGAAGGGAAGAAGACGGAGATCATCGTCCTCAGCGTGGACGACGGTGGGCCATCAGATCAGGGAATTCTTCGCAAGGGAGACAAGCTAGTCGCAGTTGAAGGGCATGGTGTTGAAGGTGTGCTGGTTGACGACTGTCTTTCTCTCTTGAGTAAACCACCTTGGCAGGGTTGCCGTGGGAATCCGTGAGGGAAAGGATTGAAGGGCCGTTGGGAACCAGTGTGCACCTTGGATTTCACAGGAGGGTGAAGAAATCATTCCACCACAGAGCTGCTGGAGCCATTTCAGGGACACCCAGCCCCATTCGCAACTTTCAGAGGAAGCTGGCAGTAGAGATGGAGAGCGTCACCCTCCGAGTTATGAGAGGAGGGAAACGAGTGGTTCGCATCCTGTACCAGTGGCCTGACCCAGAGAAATACAGCAAGCTGTCGCTCCTGATGCTACCCCTTAATGCGAAGCTGAGAAGACTGTGCATCCTCATCATTGAGAGCTCCTTCTGGAAGCTGCTGATCATCATGTGCGTGTTCGCAAGCTCCTTCTTGCTGACCCTCACAGACCCCTTGAGCACCCCACAACTGCAGCCTGTCTCGCCGTTCCGAGACAGGGTTGAATTGGCGTCAAAATCTTTCACCATTCTCTTCTTGTTCGAAGCCGTCCTAGAGATCATTGCTCATGGTCTGATCTTCGGTAAGAACGCGTACCTGCTCTCCTTCTGGAACATCCTGGACGCCTTCATCCTTAGCGTTGGCATGCTGGAGTTTGTCAGCAGCTCTGGAGCCAACCTGCTTGCTCTGCGTGCACTGAGGGTGCTGAGGCCACTGAGAGCAATCAAGAGGTTTGTGTGGTTGAAGTCATGTGTGGAGGTGTTGCTTCAGAGCTTCTCGGATGTTCTCAACACCTTGTTCATCGTCTCCTTCATCTGTCTCGTCGCTTCCATCGCTGGCGTCCAACTTTTCGCCGGGGTGTTTCGCAATCGCTGCTACTCTATAGAGGATGGCGTGATCATGAATGGCTTTATATGTCAAAGCGCTGCTGCTTCTTACATGCCTTCTCCTGCACAATGTCCTTCTGGATATGGTGAGACATCAATTCCCACTCTCGACCTTCCTCACTGACTGTCTCAACAGAATGCATCTCTCTCTTCCCCAAGCCACTCCATGGCTTGTCAAACTTTGACAACATCGGGAGAGGCCTGATGGCTGGAATCCAGGTGAGGAGAAAGTTCAAATTCCTTCTTTTGACGCAGTCCTTCGATCAGATCATGATGCTCGAGGGATGGTCAGACATCATGTATGATGTACTGGACGGTTACTCTACCGTCTTCGTCTTCTTCTTTGTCATCATGGTCTTGATTGGCCCGTGGTATGCGATGCACCTGTTTAAGGCTGTGCTAGCCAACTGTTTGTTCAATGTGGACAAGAAACTTCACAACTATCGTCTTGCTCAAGTTGTCTGCAAATGGAAACTCCTTGACAAGAGCGCTCGGCCGTTTGCAACGTGGAAGTCGCACTTCCTTGCTCGAGACAAGAGGCTTCGGGATCACTTTGCACGGCAGACTGAGAGGGAGGAAGGGAGGAAAAGGATCCGGGTGGTGCTGCTGAGATGGTACAACATTCAGTTTTCAAAGGCATGGAACGCTTGGAATCACACGTACATGAACTCTGCGCGATCATTCTCTAAGGATATCGAGATGTTGGGGGGCGTGGATGAGGAAGAGGTCAGGATGAGGACGTCTCGCGAGGCGAAGAAGGACTCATATGAAGTGCATCTCACTAAGGCTCTCCCTCAGTGGGCGATCAAGTTCGTGCCAATCATCCTAATGGCTCACGATCTTGCGTTGTGGTCCAAGGCCTTCAAGAAACGTTGCAAGAAGTTCGCAAGGTCAAAAGTCCTCGAAGACATCTCCACTACCGTCGTCGCGCTCAACACCATCAGTATGATGCTCGATCACTCCCCGGACTCCCAAGTCGGTCAAGCTTGGAAGTCTCCCGCGCAGTACGCCAAGTTCTCCGCGGGCCTTGACGGGGTGAACGCTGGGGTTGCCCTCTACTTCGCCTTGGAGATGCTGCTGAAGATTTGGGGGTATGGATGGAGGCAATACTTCACGCTCAAGGAGAACTGGTTTGACAGCTTCATCGTCATCGTCAACGTAGCCGAGCTGAGCGCGGTGATAGCCAGCTTGCAGTGCAAACTGAGGAAGCTGGACATTGAAACCTGTCAGGAGAGCACAAACTTCGCCTTCCTCCGCGTGTTGCGCCTCCTCCGTCTCGTGAAGCTGCTCCGAGCGTTCCCCAACTTTCAAAGGCAGATGTACACCGCCGTGCAGATGCTGGGGGAGGTGGGAGGCGCCTTCCTCCTCCTCTGCCTGTTCCTGATGATCTTCACGATCCTCGGCAGCTCGCTCTTCGGAGGGAAGCTGATCATCAGATTCTCCCAGCAGGACGCGGATCCAAGGTTGGGTTCGCGAGTGTTCGCCTATATCCCGGCGGAGAAGCTCGTGCGACCGGCGATAGTCCTTGACATCGACTTCCTCCAGCATGCCGCCAACCCCTGGCTGATCTCAATCGTCACAGGCTTCAGCCCTGGCCACAAGGAGCTGAGCAGGAGCTGGGCTGCCAAATCCGTTGACCAGCTGCTCCCGTCCCCCTCCATCATCGGGATCTCCCCCCGCTCAAACTTTGACACCCTCCTGTCAAGTCTAGTCAGCGTATTCCAGATCCTGGGGGGTTCGAGCTGGCCTGAGATCATGACGAATGCAGTCAATGGGACTGGACAGAACATCTCTGTCCTCTACTTCTACAGCCTCGTCCTGCTGGGAGGCCTCGTCCTCTTCAACCTCTTCGTCGGTAAGTCCGTGAGCATGCTCGATTGACGCGCTGAACTTCTGCCCAGCTGTCATTATCGTGTCCTTTAGGAAAGACTACAACTTCAGGTTCGAAGATGACTTCTTTGAGAGAATGCCGAGGGTAGGAAAGCAGCCGAGGCAGGAGCTGAGAATAGGAATCTTTGGCCTCCTGTGGCGACTCTTGTCAGGATGGCGCAGGAAGCGACTGCCTCCTCCCAGCAAGTTGCCAGCAAAGGGCAAGCAGGAGCCTTCACAGACGAGTTTCTTCGGCACGACCATCTGGAAGGACATCAACTACGTCATGAAATTGGCGAAGCCGGTCGGGGCAGACAAGGAGGGAGGGGGCACGGCAAGAGAGTTTGACTATAGGACGAAGCTGTATGTCAAGGGGGTGATTGTTGACCTGGACGTACACCTAGGGTTTCGAGTCGTCTACGACACGACTCGCCTCCTCGGGCATGAGATGGAGCAGCACCTGTCAAGCCAAGAGATCACTGAAGTCATCAAAGAGCAGGAGGGGACCCACGAGCTGCAGACCGAGTACGAACTCCAGCAGACGCTACGAGCTTCCGAGCTCACGGCCCACCTCGTTCAGGTTGGTCGCCCTGGTCGTTTTTCTCCAGCTGACGCTCACCTGTGTCCTATCAGAATCTGCAGGGGGTGATCCGAAAGATCGAGGCAAGGATTCACCTGATGAAGGCACGAGAGACCGTCATCCTTAAACGCACTGAACTCCGCAGGGAGATCGAGATGGCCAAGAAGTCGTATCGCATGGGGCAAGTCATGTACCTTCTGGAGCGAGACGACCTGGTCGCTCCTTTCCCGCTGACGGCCCCAGCTACTGGAGAAGCTGGAGCTGCAGACAACACGCACCTCCATGGCGAGTGGGCCAGGAGGGTATTGAAGGAGCGGTTGGCGGCAGCTGAGAAGAACGAGCATGTCCATCTGACGCTCAATGACGTGGCAAAGCTGGAGGAGAGCCTAGAGAGGCCTGAGGATACCGCCTTCTACCGCCTCGAGATGCAGAGAATGAGTAAGCTGGTGGAGCGGATCCAGTCGCAGATCGCTGTGCTCAAGGCGGGAGTGCTCACTGAAACGACCTGCTTCTGCTTCGGAAGGTCAAGCACAGTCAGGCACACGGCGGTGAAAGTGATTCAGTCCCGCTTCTTCGACATCCTGATCAACCTTGTCATCCTCGCCAGCTGCATCGTGGTGCTGCTCGACCGTCCTAGCATGACGAGCAAGCAAGCGAAGCTGCTTCAGGACATCGTTAGCTTGCTCCTCCCATTCACCCTCCTTCTGACTGAGCTTGCAGAACATCTGTTTCAACTTCGTCTTCCTCCTTGAAATGTGCATCCGGCTCGTTGCCATTGGGTTCAAGACGTACTTCACCAATCATTGGTATCTCCTGGTGAGCTCACAAGCGCGAGTCGTCTTGTCTGACTTGACTCTGCTGTCAGGATTGTTTCGTCGTCCTCTCATCCTTCGTCGAGATGTTTCTCAGCTTCTCCGCCTTGAACAACCGGCAGGCCAACCAGACGCTCAAGATCACAAAAGTCTTGAGAATCTTCCGAGCAGTCAAAGCGCTCAAGATTACTCTGAGGACAAGAGGAGCTAGGATTCTCATCCTAACCCTCCGTGAATCCCTATGGCCGCTCCTGTCCATCGTGTCCATGTCTCTCCTGCTATTCGTCGTCCTCAGCATCGTTGGCATGCAGTTCCTGTCCGGGGCCCTTCACTACTGTACTGACTTGGTCGTGCTGTCCAGAGACGACTGCACGGGAGTCGATCCGCGCACCAAGTTGCAGAGGCGCTGGATGAACGCTTCCTTCAACTTCGACTGGATCGGCGAGGCGATGCTTGCTGTGCTGGTGATAGTAACGCAGGATCAGTGGCAGGACCTCCTGTTCTCGGCCATTGACAGCACGGGCAAGTACTCAGGGCCGATTCAGAACAACCAGGAGTGGATGTTTGCCTTCTTCTTCATCATCATCGTTGTCGGAACTTTTTTCCAGCTCAATATCTGGACGGGAGTCTTTGTCAAGATGTACTACAAGGCAGCTGAAGGGTTCGAGAAGGCGATGCGAGAGCAGGAGATAAGTTCGGGGAAACCAGACAAGTGGCCGAGGAGAGACGACCTGCCATTCCTCGAGGCTGCAGACCACAATATCAGCATCTTTCAGGCATGGAGGCAGGGAGCTTCTTATCGGACTATAGCCTACAAGTTCAGCATGAACACGACCTTCGATATGTTCATCGCCCTATGCATCGTTCTTAACATCTTGTTCATGAGCCTGGAGAGCTACAAGCCTAGCGAGGTGCGTCGGTTGTCTTGCCCTGACACTCCATGACGATCACATGCAGTCTCAGACGAGAACAGGAGATGTTTCCAACCTCTTCTTCACAGTCATCTTCGGTCTCGAGGTGTTCCTCAAGATGTTCGCCCTCCACCCCAAGAGATACTTCTCCCGTCAGAGCAGCAAGTGGCTCAAGTTCGATTACTTCATCTCCATCGTCAGCTTCGGAGGTCAGGCCATTGAGGCCTCTGGAACTACCGTCTCCTTCAACCCGACAATCCTCAGGATCCTCAGGATCTTCAGAGTCCTTCGCATCCTAAAGGCCCTCAAGATCTTTCGGCATGCCAAGAACTTGATCGGGATCCTGGAGGCCCTGGGCCAGTCAGTGTCTCTCACCAAAGACATCTTCTTCCTCTTTATGGTGATGCTGATGATCTTCAGTGTCATCGGAGTCCTCCTCTTCGGACATCTCTGTGTAGACTACCTGCTGGACTCCAGCTCGGCCTCTCTCTCTCGCTGCATGCTGCTGGACCCTTCCCTCCTGCTCCAGCGCTACGCCAACTTTCAGAACTCGGCGTACGCTGCCTTGACTCTTATCAGAGTGTCGACGGGAGAGACGTGGAGTGAGTTGATGTTGAAAGTCAGCACCACGTCCGATCGGAGCAACAGGGCTGAGGGCGCGCTGGTGCAAGCTGAAGCTCTTCTGAGGGCCCGAAAGAGCCAAGTCAATGTCTACAGACGTCAACAACTCCTGCAATCAGCAAGGGACTTGCTGCCAGGTGGGTGAGGTGTGAGGTAGAGGAGACAGATGACTTGTTGTCAGGTTGCATCACTGCCGTCGAGTTGAACTACTTGCGTGAGCGGCAGTTGGTGGACTGCAGTTCCAAGGAGTTTCTGCCATACGAGCAAGAATGCTGGTCAACATGCGGAAACAACCTCGCCAAGCTCTACTTCCCCATCGTTTACACGCTCGTCAATCTTCTCCTTCTCAACATCGTCCTGGCAGTTCTGATGAGGCAGGTGGGCAAAGCCAACCAGGACTTCACCAAGATGTCAACGATCAACAACAAACTCCCGAAGCACGTGTTTGTCAAGGTCGTCGAGCTATGGAGATCGAATGCATTCAGACGGATCAGATTCGAGAAAGTCCTCGAGAGGTTCAACAAGGTCATCGTCCTGCAGGACGTCGACGGGCTGGGCAGAGTCCTGAACCTCAAGAAGGGTGAAATCTGCACCCTGCTAGGAGCCTGGGACAGACCCTCCCACGTCATTCTAAGAACTGCAGACATGCGCGTCGGACTGTGTCCAGCACGACTTGTTTCATCACCAGTAGAGCCGACAAACAAGAGGGACAGGAAGGGGTGGGCGAGCGGAGACGATGGTGGGGAGGAGAGGTGGAACACAGGTGATCAGGGACTGTATGAAGAGGACGATGTTGCGCCTGGGAGCTGGAAAGCTTCTCAACATAGCAGTTGGACAAGCAAGGTATACTTCAAACTTTGATGGTGATGGTGATGATGATGATGACGATGACGATGACGACGACGATGATTGTGAAAAGGAAGTTGATCATGTTGCCAGGTGAAAGACATGCCGATCAAGCACGGTCACATCGAAGTAGCGTCAACCTTCGTCGACGACGATTTCTCACAGAAACTTTGGGAGTCGAAGTCAAACTCGTCCATGAGGAGCGGAGACAATTTCAGGACACTGTCTTCGGATTTGATATTCAAGTCTTCTCTCGATGACAGCATTGGCACACCCTCAGACGACGGGCAACACAATCTCAAGGCTCGCCATCGTCCAGCTTCACGTTCATCGGGCCCAGCCTCCTTCAATCCCATTGAGAGTTGGTTGAAGCAAGATCAGGCTTCCAAGAGATCACAAGTCGAGAAGATATCCCATGATCGAGTACCCGAGGTTGAGAGATCGTCTTATGATCGAGTACCCGAGGTTGAGAGATCGTCTTATGATCGAGTACCCGAGGTTGAGAGATCGTCTTATGATCGAGTACCCGAGGTTGAGAGATCGTCTTATGACCGAGTACCCGAGGTTGAGAGATCGTCTTATGATCGAGTACCCGAGGTTGAGAGATCGTCTTATGATCGAGTACCCGAGGTTGAGAGATCGTCTTATGATCGAGTACCCGAGGTTGAGAGATCGTCTTATGATCGAGTACCCGAGGTTGAGAGATCGTCTTATGATCGAGTACCCGAGGTTGAGAGATCGTCTTATGACCGAGTACCCGAGGTTGAGAGATCGTCTTATGATCGAGTACCCGAGGTTGAGAGATCGTCTCATCGTCAAGCTATCACCGGTATCGAAAGCGTCAAAGAGAGGGCCCGAGTCATGTTTGGGAGCTTGGAGTCAAACAAAGCGGATGATGCAGGGCCAAGACTAGGCCGGGTTGTCAACCGGAGCAATCTCAAACAAGTGCTGAGGAGCGTGAAAAAGAGTTCAAAGCCTTCGAAACTACCTCCAGATCATGTTAACGGAGGAATGTAGCTGTGAGTGTACAATGTCATATCATAACGGGACTGCACTAAGACAAGTGAACAAGAGAAGCTATCCTAGGAAGACCCTGTGACCCGGTAGAAAGTCTCTCATGGTGGAACATCTCGTCCTGCTCCGCCAAGTTTGGGTTGAAAGGATCCATCGACCTAAACCTCTCGAGTCACCGAGGGAACATGAGCAAAAAAGAAGTCACCTGGAGGAGACTTCAAGGAAAGGCTCCTCCTCCTCACCGTCCCCTGTTTCGTTCGACCGTTGCAAGCTCGGGTCACTTGCCGCGTTCCCTGAAGCCTCACTGGGGGCTTGTCAGCTGGTAGACATAGACATTGACAGCTCACAAGGTGTCGTAGATGCCGTTGCTGAGAACAGCGATGTGTATCCTCAGCTTACGAAACTGCTGCATGCAGCTCAACAGCTGCATCAGGCGCTGAGTGTACTCTTGGTCATCAAGCACCAATTTCTGGAGTGAGAGAGGTCAGGGTTTGTTCGACTATGACAGCGACCGGCACTTGAAAGATTCTCCTGGATTCGCACGAACGAGTTTGCTCGAAGCTTGAACTTCGAAGTAGGAGCGAAGTCGAAAGGTCCGCACTGACTGGGGCTGATTGGTGTAACTTGGCAGAGTTCTGCTAGTTGAAAGAGATCGATCTGTCAGTGGATTGTAGCATCATAAAGAACCTTGCCTTCTCGAGAAGTTGACGAACAAAACTTTCTCTTCTTCTCCATTCCTGTCCCCATCCAGTTCCCCAACCCCACACTCCCTCCCAACCCCATTCGAGCTCTTCAAGCTCCTTCGATTCAAAGATGTTCTCGCTGACAATCCCGCCGTCCTGCCCTCCTCTAAACGACTGACAAGAGAACAAATAGACATTGTACCTGTAGTCTGATGATTCTCTCTCTCTGGTTGTGTATTCTGACATTCAGATCTTCAATCTCTTGCGCTCTCCTCTTCAAGTCTATTTGAAGCCATGAAATCAAATTTCGAGCTCGATGCGGGTCGTAAATCCATAGCTGAAGATGCAAATCAACCAGAGCGGCAAAAAATTCCCAACAACCTTTGAAATTTCGGATCCCCATCTCCGAAAAAAGCTCTTTGTCAAAACATATCGCTGCAAGAGTAAATCAAAAATGAATGATCACAACCAAGATTAAACAAGTACCCTTCGGGCAGAGATGAATCGGTGAAATGGATTGTGGCAGAATCGAAGAAAACAAAAGAACATTGAGCGCATCGAGGAAGAGCAACGACGACGGCACACAACGATTTCCATTCGGCGAAGATGCTTGCGCTGCACACAGAACGCTCGAAGACCCTGAAACAGCCAAGATATCCGACGAATTGATAAGCGGAGACCAAAATCAGAAACATAACAAAGCCTTTGCCAACTGCAGACCAAAACTCGTAATGAAAGCAAAATGCAGACCTTCTGCAAGACACAAAACCCCAAATATCGCCTACGTCCCTCCTTTATCCAACAACTCCAACCTGCAAACACCCAAGCACTCCGCAACACCTGCATCCGCCGTATCACCTTGCTCCCGACCTCCCGTATCCTCCGTCCCTCCTCTACCCTGTCCCTCCACGCCTCTAGCGCCGCTGCGCTCCTCAGCCCCTGCATCCGTCCTAGCGCCCTCCTCGTCCCTTCCCGGACCCTCCTTGCCTCCAGGACCTGCTCCTGCCAGCGCCCTAGCGCCCTCGCCTCCGTCTGCCTCTTGAGCCTCCTCGCTGCCTTGGCCAGTGCCGCCCCCTCCTCCCGGCCCCGTGCCGCCGCCTCTGCCCACGTCCTAAACCCTCGCCATGCCGACCCCTCCCGTATCCGCCGTATCACCTTGCTCCCGACCTCCCGTATCCTCCGTCCCTCCTCTACCCTGTCCCTCCACGCCTCTAGCGCCGCTGCGCTCCTCAGCCCCTGCATCCGTCCTAGCGCCCTCCTCGTCCCTTCCCGGACCCTCCTTGCCTCCAGGACCTGCTCCTGCCAGCGCCCTAGCGCCCTCGCCTCTGTCTGCCCCTTGAGCCTCCTCGCTGCCTTGGCCAGTGCCGCCCCCTCCTCCCGGCCCCGTGCCGCCGCCTCTGCCCACGTCCTAAACCCTCGCCATGCCGACCCCTCCCGTATCCGCCGTATCACCTTGCTCCCGACCTCCCGTATCCTCCGTCCCTCCTCTACCCTGTCTCTCCACGCCTCTAGCGCCGCTGCGCTCCTCAGCCCCTGCATCCGTCCTAGCGCCCTCCTCGTCCCTTCCCGGACCCTCCTTGCCTCCAGGACCTGCTCCTGCCAGCGCCCTAGCGCCCTCGCCTCTGTCTGCCCCTTGAGCCTCCTCGCTGCCTTGGCCAGTGCCGCCCCCTCCTCCCGGCCCCGTGCCGCCGCCTCTGCCCACGTCCTAAACCCTCGCCATGCCGACCCCTCCCGTATCCGCCGTATCACCTTGCTCCCGACCTCCCGTATCCTCCGTCCCTCCTCTACCCTGTCCCTCCACGCCTCTAGCGCCGCTGCGCTCCTCAGCCCCTGCATCCGTCCTAGCGCCCTCCTCGTCCCTTCCCGGACCCTCCTTGCCTCCAGGACCTGCTCCTGCCAGCGCCCTAGCGCCCTCGCCTCTGTCTGCCCCTTGAGCCTCCTCGCTGCCTTGGCCAGTGCCGCCCCCTCCTCCCGGCCCCGTGCCGCCGCCTCTGCCCACGTCCTAAACCCTCGCCATGCCGACCCCTCCCGTATCCGCCGTATCACCTTGCTCCCGACCTCCCGTATCCTCCGTCCCTCCTCTACCCTGTCTCTCCACGCCTCTAGCGCCGCTGCGCTCCTCAGCCCCTGCATCCGTCCTAGCGCCCTCCTCGTCCCTTCCCGGACCCTCCTTGCCTCCAGGACCTGCTCCTGCCAGCGCCCTAGCGCCCTCGCCTCTGTCTGCCCCTTGAGCCTCCTCGCTGCCTTGGCCAGTGCCGCCCCCTCCTCCCGGCCCCGTGCCGCCGCCTCTGCCCACGTCCTAAACCCTCGCCATGCCGACCCCTCCCGTATCCGCCGTATCACTTTGCTCCCGACCTCCCGTATCCTCCGTCCCTCCTCTACCCTGTCCCTCCACGCCTCTAGCGCCGCTGCGCTCCTCAGCCCCTGCATCCGTCCTAGCGCCCTCCTCGTCCCTTCCCGGACCCTCCTTGCCTCCAGGACCTGCTCCTGCCAGCGCCCTAGCGCCCTCGCCTCCGTCTGCCCCTTGAGCCTCCTCGCTGCCTTGGCCAGTGCCGCCCCCTCCTCCCGGCCCCGTGCCGCCGCCTCTGCCCACGTCCTAAACCCTCGCCATGCCGACCCCTCCCGTATCCGCCGTATCACCTTGCTCCCGACCTCCCGTATCCTCCGTCCCTCCTCTACCCTGTCCCTCCACGCCTCTAGCGCCGCTGCGCTCCTCAGCCCCTGCATCCGTCCTAGCGCCCTCCTCGTCCCTTCCCGGACCCTCCTTGCCTCCAGGACCTGCTCCTGCCAGCGCCCTAGCGCCCTCGCCTCTGTCTGCCCCTTGAGGCTTCTCGCTGCCTTGTCTACTGCCTGTTTTGTTCTTTGGCTCATGATTCGTTCGTTTATCCATTTTCGGAGTATTTTGGTTTTTGTCATTTTGTTGATAAGCATTCCGGTTGCTGTTTTCCATTGCAGTCTTGCTTTTCGAAATTTCACAGTGTTGTTCCAGTGGTTAAAGAGAATCATGTTGGTTTTCATTTTTCTTTCTCGTTCTTCGACTTTTGGCCTGTTTTTCAATCTTTGTTGTGTTTTTGTTGTATTGCTCCATGTATGAAACGCTTTTGATTTGTGTTTTGACGAACTTTTTGCTACAAATATTGCTCTTAGAAGGTTTAAGTGTTGCTCATAAACAGCGTGTTGACAGTGGATTTTGTGTCTATTGCCTTCTGTTGATCCTTCAAGATTCGGAATCAATTGCAAAGAGCTCGATACATTCGGAGAGTGATTCAGCATTTCATATCGCCAAAGGTCAAACACTTGCAAGATTTTCTTGTGCATCTGGTACGTGTGCAATCGCAGAAGATCCTTTGCCCTGTGATAGTAAGACCTCCACTTCTGAAATATCGTGCGATTCAGTCTCGAAAGCTGCTTTAGGTGTTTCTCCTCTGCACAATGACGCTGGTATGTGTTTGCGGCGTGCAACGACAAGAAGTAGCCAAAAACTTTTGACTTCACTCTCAATCCTCTTGCGTACATGCTCAGAGTTTTGCAGATCTTAGATTGTTTCTTGTATTCCTGGAAGAGACAAGAAGTTATACTGGCATCTGTATCACAAGAACCTCTCACAAATTTGTCATTGTGACGAAGCATACTTTCAATCCACTTCTCTGTTCTGCAATCCTGAGTGTTCTCCGCACTGTGAAGGTTGGTATGATCCTGATCATCACGTGGGGTCTCAAGGTAAACGAGCGACCATCTTGCAAGAATCTGTAGTAACTGACTCCGAACGAAGCGTCTCTTCAACTTGTCTGAACGAGACGTCATGGCTTGACCACGTTGAAAGACATAGTTCCATGACACGAATGTCCTGTAGATCACAATGACATCCTGCTTGACGCTCTGAATGCACATCGTAGACAAGACACACATCGTACTCTCCCTCCAGCATTGCAGTAATTTTCTCATCGTCCTCTCTCTACAGAACTTTGTTGCTAACTTGTACCCCACTGCAGAATCCTCATGATACTTCTCAGCAACAGGCGCAAGCTGCTGCACGTCCCCCTCGCTCGTGTGATGGATTCGCTTCACTTCAACGATGAAGGAGTATCGGAACTCATGAGTTCGTAGCAACTCCAACCTCACCATGGAATCTTCTGGTCCAACCAGCAACCCTGTAACAACATAACTTCACTTACAGAAGATTCTCACTCCAATCACCTGCCACGGTATCGTGAGGCAATCCTTCCACCCTCCTGCCATTCACAGAGATCAGCTGATCATGATCTCGAATCTTTCCTGACGCCTCTGCTGCTCCCCCTTTCACAATGCCAGCAACAAAATATTTGCCGGCAGAGCTTCTCAGAAGAAGGCCGATAGTTCCGAGCATCTGAGCGCCTTCCTTCATAGCTTGTGAGATGATCTTGCTGTCTTGCCGTTGCTCATGCTATCTCCTCTTGCTTCCTTCCTCTCCTCATCCTCCAGTCCCTCTCCTCTTGTTCTTCCTTGTTTACGCTCCGTCGTCCTGGCAAGGGTGCAATCGCGAATACCCGACTCCGCAGTTTGCAACACGAGGGTAGGGTAGATGTACCCATACTTTTGTAAACAATAAAATGGAAAAGTACAGGGTGGGTAAAAGAAATCCAGGGGTGGAGGGACCGTGAGCGGTCAAAACCTTGACAAGCGAATTTGCTTTAATTGACATGGAAAGAAATGGACGCAGAAGAGAGCGAGATACACATGGGAAATTCATTTACGTGATAAGGAAATGAAAGGCAGAAGGAAAGGAGGTGGTAACGAGTGTGTTAGATGCAAGAATTGGGCCAGGGAAATGAAGCACGGCGTTACGTTTATTTCATCACTTCCATCATGTACATGTCATATTATATAAATAACACCCTCGTTCGTCCACCGATCATCCCAACACATGCACTTCCCTACCAGGATGTCCTCTCATCTGCCACAGATGATCGAATGTCTTGCTTACAACTAATGCCTGATTTCAATGTCAACATAGCTGGAGTCGCTTTCTGGAAGCTCCTTGTCTTCCTGTTGCACGGCTGGTCAGCGTGCCGTTCAAATCTTGAAGCATCAACTTACTGCAGACTCTATCACCGACGACTCGTTCTTGTTTGGCGCATGGCCTGACATCAGTTCAGATACTGAGTAAGATCAAAGATAAGACTAACCATGCAAGATCGCAATGTCCTGTAACTGCCAGCGACTACCGGCAGTAGGTAGCACAATAGCCCCTTCCGGAACAGGAAAGGAATAGTTCCCCGTGCTTGCATTATACGCGGTCTTAGAGCTTGTTACATTCTCCATTGCTTCAGCTAGAGGTCGTAGGACGGGCAGTTTCTTTCGCAAAACCTGATGGGTTGACCTTCGTTCAATTGAAGCAGATCACAGTTTGGCTTGTCTTCACCTTTCGCCAAACGATGGCGTGTTTTGACGGATCTTTGCCCGGGAATGGCTGCCACACTTCGACCGAGTCAGCTTCGCTGCCTCGATTGGCTCCATATTCGGCTTTTGCCCCATGTTTCTCATCATTAGGATTCACCTGTTGAATATCAGTCTATCTCGTTTGGGAATAGAATAGATACATTGATGTTGATCTGAATGGGTGTAGTATCTGCGCCATCGACGTCGGCTCTGTCATACGCCTCCTTGGCTGTTTGTAGAACGGACTCTGGATCTATGATTCCAAGCCGAACAGCAGACATAGCCTCCCTTATTACCTTTCTCCTGTAAAGTCGGTGTAACTGACCAGGAAGATATATGAGGAAGACCAGCACGGCTTACCTTACATGCAACCTTTCTAACTCTCTTTGGAGCATTGTCATCGAAACAAAATGATGGTTCAGAGGAGTTGCTTTGATGATTCTCTGCAGTCAAAGTGAGGAAATGCAACATTCGCACAGTCTATTATCTCACCATTGCGGGTCCATTGACATTGATTCTCTTCAGATCTAGAGCAGACAGCTTGTTCTTAGCTGCGCTCTTTGGATTGGGGCTCAGCAAACCAGTAGAGTTCATCAGCTGCATCAAAGTCGTGACGTCAACCGCGGAGTACTGAGCACCATCAATGTAGACGACGACGACAATCAGCAACAGCACTCCGCACGTCACCCCGAAGAAGGCTCGAAGGTTCATCGAGTTCATCACGATCTGGGCTTCAGTCTCGGGTCTCGCCCGCACCCCTGCGTCTGAGAGTCCTTCGCTCCAGCATCCCCAGGCGTCTCGTTCTCCTCTCCTATTTGTGGTGATGTCTTTTTTATTTTGACTCTTTCTTTCCGGCCAGGGCCTCCGACCGTGACGGGCCCGAGTCCGGCGCGGCCGCGAGTGGCTGTCACGGTACATTGAAGTATGACCCGGAGTCCGGCCGGGGCCGCGTAGTTGAGGGCGGCGCACGTCTCCTGCTCGTCGCGCGAGAGCGGGTAGAGCTCGAAGGAGCGGACTTCAAGGCCCGCTCCGAGTCGCCGGATAAAAGTCTTGAAGACGGTCAACCGAAGGTTTGGTTCTCGCTGTCTTTTCTCTTCTCGCCGTGTGGCCTGTGCCGCGATGATAGTGTCAGGGCGGCCTCCTCTACTCAGAGTCTCCTGCCAACTTTCATATGACAAAGTTTCAGTGTCCACGTAATGATTTTCACTTAACTTTGAGGAAAAGGAAGTTTGAAACAAAGTTGTAAAACCGAAGTTGCAAAGTTTCGGCAACGGGCATGAGGAGGAGGGGGGGGGAGTCGAGGGAGGGAGGAGGCGGGCTGCTGCACACGCTGCTGGAGGCTGGTTCCTTGGATGCGGCAAAGAGCAAGTATGGACATGTCGATCTCGGGGATGATGCCATCCTGGGGACGGGAGGGAAAGGTGCGGAAGATAAGAAGAAGCAGCGAAACTTGCTGGCGCTGGACAAGTGGAGCTCGCAGGAGCTGCTCTGCTTGCAGAATGAGAGGAAAATCATACGGCCAGATGGCATTCTCATTGACAGAACTGCCTTCGTCGTGACTGGCCATCCGGTCCCTGACGGATGGTCCTCTACCCACTTCGAGACTCTGCAGGAAGCAGTAGCTGCTGCCGATGATGGTCAGATCCTCGTGGTTCAAGCTGGAAGGCACTCTGTGGGTTCGAGGCCTCTCTTCCTGGACAAGAGACTGCGCATCGAGGGTGTGAAGGATAGAAATGCCGTTCCCGACCCTTCTGCCCTTGTTCCCCGCATACCTGACGTCCAACGACTCAAGGACCCAGACACTACCCAAGTTGACTTGGAGTACGTGAGGTCGGAAGCGAGAATCTTCTCCGACTATGGCGAGCCAGTCATCGTCGTGAACGCGTCGGGAGTGCAGGTGCTCGGCCTGACGATATCTCAGCGCATCAACTTTCGCATGAAGGATCACGGGGACTTGCAAGGCCTGCTTGCTAGGACGGCTGTTGACATCATCGGAGGCAGCTCTGTCTTCAGGGAGTGCAGCTTCAGCTCTGACGCAGGTGTGGCCTGTAGAGTTCAAGGAGGATCCTCCCCGTTCTTCAGCAAGTGCGAGTTCGAGTTCTCGGCCCACCAGGGGCTCTGGGTAGGCGACGGGTCGACCGGAAGGGTGGAAGACTGCAGGTTTGCTGAGTGCCGGCTGGCAAACTTGCAGATCGAGTCAGGAGCCGATCCTGTGATCCTTCGCTGTAAGATCTTCCAGTCCTATGGGTGTGGGGTTCGCGTGACGGACAAGGGAAAGGGCTTGCTGATGGGAAACCAGATCTATTCCAACAAGTCCTCCAACGTTTGTGTGGATGACGAGGCAGAGCCGATCTTTCGAGGGAATGCAGTCTACGAGGGGAGTGCCGACGGGATCATGGTGATGAGCAACGGTCTGGGGACGTTCGAGGACAACGATATTCGCAACAACGACGGGTCGGGGGTTGTGATCATGTCAGGGGGAGAGCCGACGTTGTCGATGAACACGATTCATAGGAACAGAGCCCATGGGATCTTCGTGACAGGGGACGGGCATGGTTTCATTCGGAGAAACGAGATCTTTCAGAACGTGCTGGCAGGGATCTACATCGACGCGGAGAGCAACCCCTCCATCTCTCACAACAGAGTGTCCAACGGGTTGGGGACGGGGATCACGGTGGCCGATGATGGGGAGGGAAGGTTGTTTCTGCCTCCTGCGAATCTCTGGGACGTTGGTGATTGCTGAGTTTTGCAGGATCGAGGACAACGACATCTTCCTCAACAAGTTGTGTGGGATCGAAGTTCGAACTGGAGGAAACCCGCTGGTGCAGGCGAACAGGATCTACGAGGGGATCGGTGAGAGCTGCCCTGCTCGTTTCCAGCAGGAGTAGTCATGGTCGTGTTGCCAGGTGTTGGAGTGAAGGTGACAAACGACGGGAGAGGAACGTTCAGGGAGAACCAGGTGTTACAAGGTTGACCGGTCGAGCACAACAGTGACAAGCAACAGATCTACAGGAACTCTCATGCTGGAGTTGTTTTGGAGAACGGAGCAAACCCGATCTTTGAGGTACATTACACTTCATACCAGTAGAATCCAGAAGGAGGGCGAGTGATTTAGTTGAGAGCTGCTCACAACACTCGTCTGGAGACTACAAATCCAGTCAGTGAACGTTTTACAAGTCAACCTGTTTCTAGCATTGCTGGGTTCATCCCCTGTAGAATTTCCGTGCCTGTCAACATTCTGTTCTGACTTGAAGACTCTTCAAGGGAAATGCAATCTTTGAAGGGGAGACAGACGGGGTCAACTGCTCGTCTTACTCTACTGGAGAGTTCGTGAAGAACAAGTACGATGATACCTCTCCTAGAGAAGTGTCTCCTTGGTTGACCCGGTTGGACAGGATCATGAAGAATACTCTGATGGGAGTTGTAATTACTCGGCACGCCAACCCGAAATTTGTCCAGAACGAAGTGTCAGGTACGTCTCCTGTTCCTCCCTCGCCAACTCTTCCAACTGCACCTCTCCTCCTCCATCCCTACCAACTCCTCCTCCTCCTCACCTCCTTGAACCTGACGCATCTTGTTGAAGCCAACAGGCGGAGCGGATTTCAGGTGGCGGATTCCGGCAGGGGGCAGCTGGAAGGGAACGATGTGGGGGAGGAGAGTAGGCAGGAAGACGCTGTCTGACGGGGAGCGCGCAGGTTTGCTTCAACGTGGAAGCAGGGATCAGAATCGAGTCGGACGGGAAGCCGCTGATCGAGAAGGACAATCGCGTGCATGACGGTTACGAGGACGGGATCCTTGTGTCCTGGGGGGGAGCCGGAGTCATTCGGGGAAACAGAATCTACCAGAACAAGAAGTCGGGGATAAGGGTAAGAGGTTCCTGGTGGGCCCGATGCTCCTGCTGAGCTGGAGGCTTCAGATTGACGGAGGAAACCCACTGCTGAGGAAGAACATGATCTACCTAGGCTGCCTCCATGGTTGTCTTGTCACCGGGAAGTCTTCGGCCAGGATAGAGAGGAACGACTTCTTTCAGAACCAGGTGGGTAGAGGACGAAAGTCGATTCATGATGGGAGGCAATAACTTTGACCCCAACGTGTCAGTCATCGCCTGTTTGACAAGCTTTTTTCGCAGGTTTGTGCGATCCGAGTCGATGGCGGATCAGCCCCTGTGCTAAAGAAAAATCTGATTCACGACGGAAAGGTAGACTGCCCTTCCCTCCCTCCTGCCTCGCCTCAGCCCCTGCGCAGGGGGATGGGCTTGTGGTTGGCAGCACAGGAAGGGGAGTGTACGAGCTGAACCGCATCTTCATGAACGCAGGCGCTGGCGTGAAGGTCACGTGACTCTCTGCAAGTGCTGAGGGTCTGATAAGCTTCCAGGTGGAGAAGAATGCGGACCCAGAGCTCCTTGAGAATCAGATCAACAACGGAAATGGCGTGGGACTGCACCTTCAACCAGGTCCTCCTCCTCCTCCTCCTCCTCCTCATCCTCCTCCTCCTCCTCCTCCTCCTCCTCCTCCTCCCCGTTCTCCTTCTACTCCTCCTCCTCCTCCTCTTTCCTCCTCTTCTCTTCGTTGAAATCATCTTCGTCAACCTCCTCAGTCTCGTTTTCTTTTCGGCTTCCTCCTCCTCCTCCTCCTCCTCCTCCTCTTCCTCCTCCTTGTTTTCTGAAATCACCTAAAGGAGCGAAGGGGAGATACGTTGGAAACGACATTGCAGCGAACTACGGCGACCAGCTTCGAATCGAAGGGAACAAACTGGTGGGTACAGAGGGAGGAGAGGCAATCATATGAGAGTTGAGAGGTGCTGGTAGGGGTCGGGGGATCTCTACTTCGAAAACAATCGTGTGGACTGGAGCTTTCAGCCTTCCTTCAAGCATCCCGACCTAGCTCCCATCATCCGCCAGCAGGTCAGGAATCACTGAAGTCAGCTGGCCTCTCACCTTCCCGAAGGGCAACAAGGCCTTCCTCGAGGCGCCGGAGACTCCGACCGCAGAATGTCTGCCTCCTCCTCCTCCTCCTTGCTGGACCTGATCGCTGATGCCCGTCCAGACTCCAAGTCGATGACGCTCAAGCACACGTCCTCCCTAGCGAAAGACTTCGAGGTGCGAAGCTGAGGAGGGTGGGAACAGGCGACTGACGTTGATGACGTCAGCATTTCTCCAGCAAGAAGCTCTCGCAGACACTGCCAGTCAGGTGACTCGAGAAAGCCCTTCTGCTGCCGGACTGACATGGCCCAGGAAAATGCGATGAGGGGAAGAAATATGTACATTGAGGAGCTAGATGTTGCAGGGGAAGGACAGCGGTGGTCGTCCCGTGTACTTTGATATTCATTGATCAGTCACCAATGTGTATGATACAAGTAAACAAGGTTCAAGTCTCTCAGATGCGATGCAGCAAGTGCTTCCACGTCTCCTCTGTATGGCGGGTATGAGATGATTCAGCAGGATGAAAATACTTGAAGACTGTGTTGGACGTTGACGTCATCTTGCCTGCCAACATGGGCAAAACCTTCCCGTTGACCCTCAGCTCCAGATGTCGCTGGACCACCCGGAGGTCTGACAGGATGCTCGTCCCGTGCTGCTCAAACTTGGGCTCGAGGCAGATCAGCTCGAGGGCGTCGAAGATGTCCTCCTCGCACCCTTGGATCGTCTTCAGCGTCATGGCGGGGCACTCCAAGGCACTGAAGCGCAGGACGGCCATGGCGAGTTCCATGCAGGTGACGTCAGACGGGTAGTGTCGAACGAAGTGAAGGATGACTTGGAGGGCTTCCTCGGCGATGAGAGAGGTCATGGTCTCCTTGCGCTGGTGATCGCCCGCGTCATGCTTCTTGCTCCGAAGCTTCTTGAGAGCCGCCGGGTGCTCCTGCTCCTGCTTGTGCGAGCGATGCGCGTGCAGCTCCTTGAAACTCATGGGCGTGAAGAGCCGCTCGAGGATGATCAGGCAGGCTGAAACAATGAGTAAGAAGGAGGAGGGGAGGGGGAGGAGGGGGAGGAGGGGGAGGAGGGAAGAAAGTTACCGGCAGTGCGGATCTGAGTCATTCCGTGTAGCCTCTTGATGATGGGCAGGAACTTGTCCAGCCTGATGGGGGAGCTGAGGGTCTCGTGGGAGGCGAGGATGTGATGATCGAAGACGCTGACGATGTTGAGCATGTACAACTGAATCTTGAAGATCTCGTAGTGCTCGGAGGTGACGTGGATGGCGCTTCCAGGGCTTCAATGATGGCCTCGTCGATCTCGAGGCTCTTCTCGTCGAGGAGGGAGGTGAGTTTGACGAGGAGAGCAGTGATGACCGACGGGTCTGAGGAGAACATCCTGATGAGGTCCAACATGTCGCAGATGCGATTTGCCTGCTGTACCTCGTGCTTCTTCTGGTCGTAAGACAAGCTCCGGTCTATCTGCAGCTCCTCCACCAGCCGCGTCTGCTTCCTCAGGTGCATATCGAAGGCGCTCGAGTTGCTGTCGGTCGTGAAGATCTGGACAGAGCCAGCCATGGTGCCCACGATCAGGCTGTTCTCAACCAGGTGTAGCGCTACCACCACCCCCTCTGTGCTCAATGACGTCAGGTACCTCCTGCTCGTGCAGTTCCAGACCGTTACGCGACCTGCTCGCTGCGAGACGCCGCCCTCCGGTAGCAGACCTCCTCCCACGTACAGCACGTTGTCGGCGCTGCTCATGCACTTCACGAACACGTTCTTGCCCTTCTCGTTTTCTAGAGATCCAAGGCACATCCTGTTGTTGAGGTCCCACACCAGAATCACGTCAGATCCCGCGGTGAACAGGAGGTTCGGTTTTGACCCAGAGCTCGAAATTGGCGCGTGGATGCAGGACACGTCGGTGGTGTGGTAGAGACTCCCATTCATTCGATTGAAGTTTGATTGGAGATGTTGTATCTTCTTCTTCAATGTACTCTTGAGATTTTGTTGCTCCTGGATTTCCTGGTGTAACTCACCCTTTCTGATCGGACTGTGTGTTTTGTAAGTCTCGTTGGATAGGATTCGGATCTTTTCCTGGATGATGCTGACAAGCGTCTTGTTCTTGGACGATTCCTTGTCAAGCTCTTGCACCTCTTTGGAGGGAAGTTGACCCACCTCTTGCGTGAGATCCATCTTCCAGATTCTGATCGGATTGCCGGCTTCGTCCCATCTCCTCTCGAGGCCAGCATACAAGAGGTCGCCGACTATGTGCATGCACAAGATCTGAGCTCTCTTTGTTCTGTCCCAACTTGCAGATGGAAGGTGTTCCCCAACTCTCCAAGCAAACACCTTCCCGTCAGATCCAGCGCTGAACAAGTGCTGCTCAGAGTGTAACAGGGTCGTCACCATGCCCTTGTGCATCTTCAGTGTCTGTATGCACTCCCATTTCTGCGTCTCCCAGATCTTGATCAAGTTGTCGGAGCTCCCACTGAAGAGAAGCCCGGAGCTATACACCAGCGAAGTCACAGCCCGCCCGTGCCCCTTGAGACTCGTCAGCACGTGAGACCGCTGGAAGAAGTTGCTGGGGACGATTGAGTCTGATTTAGACAGGAAGTAATTAAGATCAACAAGCCGAGAATTGTGGAGAAAATTACATGATTGATAACTTTGTGATAAGAAGTCTGCTTTGAAAAGGAAGTACCAAACATTCACATTGTGATCGTTCCCACCAGTAGCTATGAAGTTGTTTCCATTCTTTGACCACGATGTTATGCAGAGGACACCACCCATGTGCGATTCAGCAACAGTGAGAGCATGCGCCGCTAGAGTCTTCTTTCTGGATGCTGCATCATCCGCACTCTCCTTCCTCTTCGCTTTGATCCTGAAGTATAGTTTGGTCTCAGGAGTGAATGGAAAGAGATCGTCTTTGTTGTCGCTTTCCAAGTCGTTCGTGTCAACATCGTCAAAGGAGAGCACGTTCTTGATTCCGTTTCCTTGCTCTTCAGCAACTGCGTTGCGGAGGGAAAAGATTATCTTGTCGATGGAATCTCTCCTATTCAACACTTTCTGCAAGTTGTTAGCCTCCATCTCATTCAAGATGTAATCCCGAAAGTAACGTCGAGACACAGCTTTGCGAAAGATTGATTTGGGCTTCATGTAAATGTGGAAGTCACTAGTATCACTGTCGTCAAGAAGAAAGTGTGCCAGATCACTGTAAAACGTGATCGAGTCAAGATCTTTGAGATGTTCGGCACTCAATTGTTCTTGAACCATCTTCCATAAGGTAAAGAATGAAATTGCCTTCTCTGTGAAATACAAAAATTGCAGCACTGTTGAAACAATCGCCTTATTATATTTGAATTCCAGAAATGGAATCGTGTGATATTCATAAAGGTCGTCCAAATCTTGAGGGCATTGATCAATCACGTGCCACAACACATCATCACGTGAAAGTAGATTGTCATGAAAGGCAGAGACAGTCTTTGTAAACAATGCGATTGTTTTGATGGTGGCTTCCACATACAATGGAATCCTTGAATCTTTCTTGGATGCCAGATTCTGTTTACAGGTCTTGTCCAATTCCAAATCATGTCGGTTGCACATCTCGTCGATCAGTGTCATGCGTTCATCAAAATGGAGGGGATACACGTGGATACATTGATGTCTCGTTGTGCCAGCTGTGAGTGTATACAATATCCTCACCTTCCTTTGCAGATCGGGTGCAAATTGAAAGATTGTTTCCAAAGTATTGATGTCTTCCTGCGTCACCCCATCGGCTATGATGTCAAGGGAGAAGTCCGAAGATTGCAACCATTGTCCAAACCTTTTGCAGTGAAATTGAGACATTTTGCATTCAGGGATACAAAAGGTCAGGTACTGGAGAAAGGAGACAGAGCTGTGTTGGATAGCATCTCGGTAATAGATGACCCGGTGCTTGTCGGTTGAAGATAGCGCAATGCTCTCTGCTACATGAGCCATGGTCATGCTCTTACCGACTCCAAGAGAGCCGCTCAGTCTGACCAGAGCTGAGGGGCCCTTCCTCTGAAAGAACTTGGCGATCTGATTCACCGTGTGTCTCAGTGTCTTCCAACTCACAAATAGCCTCGCCTTCGCCCTCATAGTCTGTGACTGATCTCCAATGATTACATTCGTGGCAATAGGTTTGGAAGAGTCAATCTTTGGATACAGCTCAGACACCATCGTGAGAAGGCATGGTACAATCATTTGTTTCAAAACAGCCTGCTCTTCACCGGAGTGAATTTTTGCCGAGCAATTGACATATACAAAGTTTTTTTCTCTCTCAACAAACGTGTGGCCATTTCTGATGGGAAGCACAAAGAATGAGTCATGTGAAGGGCTGTCGTTGGTCTTGACAGAGGACTTCTTATCTCTCAGTGTCTTGTTTTGCGAGTGTTCGCTCTGCGGTCCCAACGCGACGAATGAGAGCTCAACAAAGTGATTTCGAAGGAACCACTGTAAGAGAGGAAAAACCTCGCGTTCGAGCAGCCAAAGTATTTGATCAAAGCTTGAATCATGGAATACGAGATAAAACGTTGCTTTCTCCCACATAGGTCGCCTGAGTCTTGAGATTGTTAATGTTTCAGAGGGTCTGGTCTGATCGTTTTCACTGATCTTGCATTGCTCACTCGGAAGTGTCACTTTGGCATAATCATGAGCTAAGAATTTGATCGATTGTTCCTCAAAGGAACAGTTGTAATACAGTGATAGTTCACGCATCAAATCTTCTATCTTTCCTGAGAGATCCGGGCACAACACTGCATTAGATCTTGAAGAAACATAAATCGAATCAGAGCTTTTGTGAGAAATACCACTCAGTAGGAAATGATTTTCAGCCTCGTGACTGATGTCTTCAGTGAAGCGAGTCTCCATAGCTGTGGCATGGTGAGCAACCATTTTGTTTTCCTCAGGGCTCAGACTGCTCGTGACTCCGAGCTGATCTAACATCATAAGATAATCATGAATCGCTGCCCATTCTGGTGATTTGAAATTCAGACTCCTCAATTCGTCTTGGGATGCTTCTAGAAGACGAAGAAATCTTGAGGCTTCATCTAAGCTTCGTTTCAAATTCATTTCAAACTCTGATACAAGCTCACTGGACTGTTGCATCAATTCAAATATTTTGATTTCTTCAAGTCTGAAGGTATAGGCAACACTTACCAATTTCGACTTTAACTGCGACAGAGTTTTTGCAGCTCCTCGTGTGTTGTCAAATTCAGTCTGAACGCGATCCTGTAAACGGCCAATGAAGGCGATAAGTGAATCAACTCCAGAATTGATAATACATTTGCACAGGAAATAAGGATCAACTAGCAATCTCAGTATTCCTGTCAAATCTTTCCCCTGTAGCATTGAGTGAAGCAGAGCTATGTAAGCAAATGGATGATTCTTCCAGACGACGATCTCAACACTTTGAAAGACGGTAGTGGTCTGCTTGATCTCCGCTTCGAGGACCTTTGTTGATGTCATCACAATCGAACTTTGTGATTTCTTCCTGCTCAGAAGGTCTAGAAAGTGGCCACTTTTGATGAGTCGAGGTCGTTTGCGTTTCATGTGTGAAGCTTCGTCTGGAAAGTTGCTCGAGCTGGAAAAAACACTCGGCTGGGATTTTGAAGGAGAATCAGGACTGAGAACAAGCTTCCTTGATTTCGATGTAGCTGATTTAGGACGTAGCTGGTAGGTCTGCTCCAAGGAAGTTTGTCCTTTTGATGATGTTTGGTTCCTGGAAACATTTTCAGACGATTGGTCGAGATGTATCTTCCGTGACATCGGTTGAGCTGATTGTGGTCTCTTATGCCCTGCAACAACTTGAGAGCTATCTTCGTCTTTGATCGCAATATGACTGCTCTTGTAGCCGAGGTACATGGCGAGCTTACAGATGGGTTGCAGATGAGGTGAATGCAGGATCTGAAGACGATGATGAAGAACATGGTCGTGGTCATGTGGGATGAGGCTATCTTTGAAGACTGGCTTCTCGTCCATGAAAGCACATCGAGGCGGTTGACCGACCAGGTGACGGGCTGGGCGTCGTTCCTTCTTCAACCTAAGAGTCAGGTTTGCCATCATCCAGGCACGTCCTCCGTCCATTGCGATGTCTTGTCGTGATACACACTTGGCCGCTACACTTCCTCGTCAAACACCATCCAGAAGCTCACAGCCACCAAGGAAATGCTAGCGCTTCAAGGTTCCACGGGAATGAATGCTCCATACGCCGCACATGTCAGGTATGCCAACCGTGGCAGGAAGCACTTTCGAAGGTGGGCAGAGACAAGACTCACATCAGGCTTGTGCGGACAGAAGTTGCTGTCTTCTCATCGCTTCATCTCACCTCTCAGCCCCTCATTCCCTTGCAATCCTAGTCGGCTATGCGACTAAACTAACTGACAGGGCGGGCCTACATGTAGGAGAGATAATTTACTTAATTTGTTTGATGCAAGCTTGCCTCAAAATTCTGCTGTTGAGTAAAATATAATACCTTGCGGTGATTGCTGCGCCTCAAGCTGACATGCCGACCACCACACAGCTAGCAGCGGTCAGCGGCGCCATGGCGATAGGGTGAGGATGACACGCTGTTATGCATGGGTGGAAACGGTTACAGGAGGGAGGGAGGGAGGAGGGAGGGAAGCGAACAAGATGTGACCTATGCCATGAATCGAGAAGTGCACAAGACATCCCAGGAGATATGGGGGGCGAGGATCATACCATCTTCAGTCCATACCCTGATGTTCTGTTGCTTCAACAGGTTGGGTGCTTTTGGCGCGCATGGACTCAAGACAAAGGTCATTGAATAATTTCCATACACTAAGTTGCAATCAAGTGTGAGCAAATGACAGGTCGACCCTGCTATGATCAAGATTTGGGAGACAGCTTCGCATTATCACCTTGTGCATTCTGTCGCGCTCTTGGGTATTATTCCATACTACAGGATTCACATTGCTGACATTCTGTTTACAGCCGTGTCCGTCGGACATGGACACCTGAGCAAGAGATCATTGAGGTACCTGTTCACCTCATTGTCATTGCTTCTCTTGGGCTGAGAGCCATGCCAGGCTCGCTCCTCCGCTGTTCACTGCTGGGATGGTGTTATTCTCAGGTTCCTTGTAAGTGATTCGCTGCAGAGAGAGTTGTATCTTCAACATTGATTATGTTTGTTGATCAGATACTTGCTGGTTCTGACCAACAAGAAGGCTCTGGGAGCGATAACCCCGATAGGAGGGCTGTCGCTCATCGCTGGTTGGCTTTCATTGGCCTTGTAATGTGCATTCCTGGACTGACATCAATAAATACTGAGAGAACGAACTTTGCCGACCGTAAATGAAAGTGACTTTGACTTCAGTCAAGAAGAAGGTGTCAGAAGGTGCCTACGATGGCTCGGAGGCTGAAAGCCCGGCACAAGGCCCGGAGCCTCACTCACAGCACTGCAGCAAGGGTGGAAGCAGGCGCATATTGCAGTGACGATCACTGAGATACTGATACTAACTGTGAGCCTTGTTTTAACTTTGAGTAAAAATTTCAAGGGCCTGAGTGATTTCCTTGACGGTCCGTCGTGTGTTTCATGATGCCGCGTGCCGAGGCTCCCCGTCACCAGGCCCGCGCACGCCCCGGCCCGGGCCGCGGGCCCGGCCCCGGGCCCGGGGGCCGCCGAGACTCATATTGCAGCCTGGTTTTGCCCCTCATCCCCCTCATTCCTAGTTGACTGAAGGGGCAGTCCGCCATGGCGTCGTTGCTGGGTGAGTGGAGGCTGGGAGATTGGATGCTGCATGCACATCTAGAGCGCTTCTCCTTCTCCTCTTCCTCCTCCTCTTGTCAAGATTCGTCACTTCCATGTCCTCTACGTCCTCCTGACCATCTCCAAGCTCTGTGGAAGAGACCTGTCGGGTCTCGAAATGCAATGCATGCCCTTTCACTGTTCGATGGCCCGCACTGTTGGTGTCTGTCAATCCTTGTGATGTTTGTCAGACATCGGGCATGTACCGATGCTTCCTTCAAGCTTCTTTGACTGCTCGCATCCTTCAACTTGTTAGCGAATGGTTATCCCTACTCGGACATTGACACTGTGGATTGCAGGAAGGATACCCGTGTCTTGTGTTGTCGCGGAGTTTGTGGGAGTTTTTCTCTTCCAGTTCATCGGAGGAGGAGCAGACGCGAACTCGATCTCGACAGGTGCGTGCGATCTCTTGGTTCTCAGCTCTTGCAAGGGGTTGATTTCCTCCCTTCAGGCCTGGCTACGGCAGCCATTGGCAATGGGCTTGCCTTCATCGTGCTGGTCTACGCGACCTCAGGCACGAGCGGGGGACATCTGAATCCAGCCATCTCTACAGCCTTTGTAGTGACTGGAAGGTTGGTGCTCTTGAGGATAAGACGGCGGTAGACTGAGGCACTCGTCACCGACAGGCTGGGGAGGAGGAGATATTTCATCTACATTGCAGCTCAGGTTCTTGGCGCAATCTTTGGAGCTCTTGCTCTCAAGCTGGCTCTGCCTCCTGCCATGGACGAGACTCCTTTCATCACCACGGGGTCGTTGACCTTCACCCATCCGTTCCAGGTGAGGACGAGCAAGAGGGGGCGGGAGGGTGAGGGAACTACCGTCAGGTCTTCTTCCTTGAATTCTTGTGCACCTTCACCCTCGTCTTTTCTGTTTTTGCAACTGCAGTCGACAAGGCAGGAGGTGTTTCATCCTCTTCCTTCCCAATGCCTGCCCTGACGCCTCCTCGCCAGTCGCTAAGAACGCATCGCCGATCGCCATCGGGCTCGCCATCATCGTTGGAACCTTCGCCGAAGGTCCCTTCACCGGAGGGAGCATGAACCCAGCAAGGACACTGGGTAGCTCGAGCTTGTTGCTGCTTCACAGCATCTCAACTTTTCACAGGTCCTGCTTTCGCGTTCGGTATGTTCAGGCATGTCTGGGTTTACGTGCTCGCCACCATGGCAGGGGGAGCATGTGCAGGGTTGTTGTACGACAAGGTTTTCCTTAGCGAATCCCAGGTGATGAGGAGCGGAGGAGCACAAGGAGAGGATGGGCCATGACGGGGCATGCAGGATGTGGGCGACATTTTCAAGGATGGATAAGAGGAAATCCTGCTTGTCTTTGATACTCTTGCACTGTGTGCAATCTCTCTGTATATCTCCTGGATCTCGTACCATCGCGCTCAGGAAGTCATGTCACAACCACGTCGGGGTAGCAACGTCACTCCTCCAAACTTATTGTCTTGTATCTCTTTTGATCCCTACTCGTTAAATCTTACAAGGATAGGAACTCATCTCTGTTCCTCTTTGCTCTTATTTCCACGGAACGACAGGCACTTATCTTTGTTCCTGTCTTCTCTTGTTTCCACAGCATTTCCACATATCTCATTCTTACAGTCACTTTCATCGCTACTTTTACAAATCTCCATGTGGGTTGAGACCTTCGTTCTTCAGCCCTTTGAATTCTTCACTCCCCTCGAATGTCCAAATTCGTCATTCCCATCTCCGTCCATCCTGCAGTCATCACCAGCTATTTGTTGGCCGGCATTACCCTTAGCCCTCTGTAATTGTTCTTGTTCCGCCCTGCGCTATGCTCCATCACGTCTTGTGAGCGTACGCGCCTCCTATCTGCCACCTGCCCTGAGGGAAAAGAGCAAGGGGCATGCAGAGTGAGGTCTCGAGCCCAACACGTTGTCCTTGAAATCAAGCCGTAAAGTCTCCAACTACAACCCCTGATGAGACAATAATCTGCTCGCCATCGCGTTATGTCCCAACCGCCATCTGATTTTTCTTTAGCTACCTGTGCCCTCACAAAGCAGACCCAACAGTTTCTTTTATTTTCCAAACAAGACATCTCCTTGTATCCTCGCAACCTGGCAACTTTAAGCTGCTTCCATGCTGATGCCAACCAATGCTAGCACGTGAACAGATCCTACAGCGATCTGGGTCGGCTGGATGAGCCCTTCCACTTCTCTGAAGCTCACATCAAACTCTCGCCTCCTCGAGGAGTTCCCTCCGAGCCCTATGGTGCTCTCGTACCCAGCCATGTACAGCTCGCCTTTCTCCGACACAACTATCGTCACCTCTTGCCCGCACACCACTTTCACCATCGGATCGTTGCAGATGGCTGGGAGCTGGACGGGGTTCTCTATGTCTTTGCTCAGACCCGCCTTGAGGCCGAGCTGACCGTTGCGTCCATTCCCCCAAGTAATGAGGTCCCCATACTGACTCACTGCTGCTGTATGCGCTGCTCCACAGGACGCCGACACGATCTGCCGATCATCGAGAGCATCCACAGCCGTCAGGGTTGACCTGTCAACGAAATCTCCCAGACCAAGTTGACCGTTTGCGTTCAGCCCGCAAGTGAAGAGGTTCGGGGAGGTGACCTAGGAGGAGGTGAGAGGAGGGTCAGCGAGAGGAGAGACGATTCAAGCATCTTCACCTGCATGAGGACAGCAGAATGGTTCGCCCCCAGCGAGACGTCCATCACTACCCCGTCCAAGTTCGAGATCTTGGTCGGACTGTCCTCCGCTGCTGAAGTAGTTCCAAGGCCCAGCTGGCCGTTGGAATTCTTGCCCCACATGAACAAATCTCCGTACTGCGACAGGGCTGCGCTATGGAAGCCACCGGCGTGTACGCCGATGATGCTGCATGCTGCCAAGCTCGACAGTTCTTGGGGCTCAAGGACGTCGTTGGTGTTTGACACTCCAGCGTTTCCCCACTTGCCATCGCCCCAGGCATAAACTCGTTTTTCCTCGGTCAGCGCTAAACAGTGGTAAGTCCCACAGGCGACTTTCATGATCTTCACAGTGTTCAGGCTTCGTATCTCCACCGGGGTGGGCGCTGGAGCCATGTGACCCAGGCCAAGCCTGCCATGCTCGCTCCCTCCAGAGACATACAAGGAACCGGAGTCTGTGACAAAGGCAGACATGTCTGAGTTGGCTGAGATATGTACGATGCTCGTGGCGAGCAGGCTCTGCATCAACGAAGGCGATCGAGCCGCCTGCAGCCCTCGGATGCCAAGCTGACCGCACGTGTCCTCTCCCCACACGAACACGCAGCCATGTCTCTTCTGGTTGCTGGCGGAGAAGGCGGAGGTTCTCGTGGTATGGTGGCCGGTGGTGTGGCTCCTCGTGGAGCCGGAGACTGACCCTGCAGCAATCGAGCCCGAGAAGGTCGTCGAGTTGTCTCCGATGTTGGAGGATCCTGTCAGTTCGATGGTCTTCATGCGAGGCTTGAACACGATGCCTGCCATATGCTTGAACCCACACGCGATCTGGACAACCTCGGAAAAGTCTTTGATGAGGCTTGGAGCATACGTCAGAACCTTCGGGGCATGTCCCAGCTCACCCGATTCACCATTCCCCCACGTGAACACCTCCCCCTTCGCACTCATTGCTGCCGAGAAAGTGTAACCACAAGCGATCGACTTCACGTCAGGAGGAATTTTGTGTCGCTCGAGCAGAGGAGTTGGGGCCAACTTGTCCGTGATGGTTTCATGTCCCAGCTGACCGAAAGGAGAGCCGCCCCAAGACCATACTTCTCCGAACACGCTCAGAGCCAGTGAGTGCTGATCCCCCGCTGCTACTTGACAGATGTTCTTCCCGTTGAGCTCTTCGATAGACACGGGCACGTTCTTGCCAGTCCTTGATCTGCAAGAGGAGTCAGTCAACCTCATCAAGTCAACCAGCAAGCAAGGTTACGGGTCATCAAGTCCCAACTGCCCGTCGATGTTCGAGCCCATCGCAAATACTTTGTTGGCGACCATGACGACGAGCGTGTGGTTTGCTCCAAGGCCAGCGGTGCGAACCTGCAGAGGATCAGCATGAGGACGTGAGAGAGCGGAAGCTTACCTTCCCCTCGAGCCTCAGGTATTGGTTCACTCTCGGAGCGCTGCAGGACTTGGTGTCTCCATGTCCTAGTTGCCCGTACACGTTCTTTCCCCACAGCAGAATCTTTCCTGACTCGAGGATCGCAGCTGAGTGCCACCCGCCGCACAGGATCTTGCAAGGAGCTCTGCCGTCTAGGGCCTTCACCATCTGTGGAGTGCCTTTGGAGAGGTTGTGATCGAGCCCTAGCTGACCGAACTCGCCGGCTCCCCAGGAGAGAACCTGGCGTTCACTTGTGAGGGTCATGTTGTGCCACCTGCCACACGCGATGCTGAGGATGAAGTATCGTTTGAGGTTCAGCACTGGTTGTGGATTGAACGCATAGTTGATCTTGACACAATCAAAGTTCTCCAACGATCCGAGTTGACCCCTGTCGCCTGCTCCCCACGCATACACGCCACCATCGAAGGAGCGTGCGAGCGAGTGTTCACAGCCGCAAGCCACTTCAACGATCTTGGTGTTGGAGGGGAAGCTGGTGATTTCTTGCGGAGTTGAGTATCCCGTGTGGAAACCGTGACCCAGCCGTCCATTGACTCCGCATCCCCAGGTATAAATATGGTACTCACCCTCCAGGTCCACCTCATACCTCTTGTTTGCGCGGTCTCTGATCTGCTCGAAGTGTTTCTTCTCCGAGTACCTCACGAGGCACTGCAGGATCCTCCCGATATTCAGCCGATTGAAGTACTCCTTGAACGGCCCGCCCGCTCGTGCCTTCTTCTCATCGTTCTTGGCTTTTGCTATCTCTCCCGTGATGCTTGGAGGCCAGGAGAAGTAGAATCGTTGATCATCTTTGTACGAATAGAACATGGGAGGAAACTGCTTGGGCATCTTCATGATCTCTTTCAGGAGCCTTCGCCGAGCTCCAATGGCGGTGATTCCGATCAGCCGCAGGTTTTCATCTGTTTGCAGCGTTGACAAGGTCTCAAGGTCGACATCATTCTCCAAAAGGGCAGATAGCCACTTCCCATACTCAAACGAAGGCAAGCTCCTGACAAATCACTCGTCAGTCATGTTGCTTTGAAGAATGGAAGAATCAATCACTTGAGAGCTTCTGTGAGCTTGTACTCGACTTCATTCTCGAAGAAGTCTTGAACATGCAAGTCTTCTATGTTATCTTCAATGTCCAGCTGTGTCAAACAACACTGAGTCAACCTAGGATTATCATTCGATGGAGATGAATCACCTGAGAAAGGTCCAAAAGTTGAGAGGAAGCCTGATTCTTTCTCTGCTGCATTTGTGCTTTGATGTTCTGTGTTTGCATGTCTGTAATATTCCTCCATTCCACGTTTCGAAGCGGATCTTGTCGAACGATCATGCCAACATGAGCTTTCCCTCCTGAAATCGCAAAGATGTCTTGAAGCTCATCTCCGTCATCGCTGAGGGATTAGAAGTCAGTCATGCCTCAAGCTAAAGTGATTGTCGTGAGACGACTCACGTGAACGGAAGATGTTTAGGCAAGCATTCCTTTTCTTTCCCGACATTCTGCAATATTCCATGTCTCCCGGAGCCACATCCAAATAATTCGCGAATTCTTGTCATTTTCGTCATCTTCTTCAAGGAATGGTCTTGCTTCTTGACCGCATCTTCGTACAACAGTATCTCTTGTTTGTTTGCCAACCTTTCGAGGACAAACAGGCTGTAATTTCCATACGCCTCGATCATACAGACCTGGGTTCGAAATCAATACGAGAGTTCACTGGTCAGCGAAGCAAACCTTTCCCCTTTCTTCACGCATGACTTCAACTTCTTCGTCTTCTCCGGGTAGAGTTTCTTTCTGCATGTAAAACGACCCCCATTGTATATCAAAGAATCTCTCTTCAATGCCGTCTCGCAATCCACGTCTACAGAGCATGATCGGCCTCGGCAAGGTCTCCCTTTCACACATTTCTCCGTGACCTAGTTGACCAGCACTGCCGTTTCCCCAGGAATATGGCAGACCTGAATAATCTAACGCCAGCATGTGTGAATCACCGATCGACACGTCGACTACTCTAATCTTTGCGAAGAACTCAACCTCTCTGGGATATGCTTCGTTCTTGGAACTCTCGTGACCAAGCTGGTACTCGTCTCCTTTGCCCCACGTGAAGAGCCTTCCTTTGTTTGTAATGGCCGCTGACGACTCTTTCCCAGCACTCACTTTGACGATGAAAGAGTCTCCGAACCCCTCCACAATCTTCTTGAAGTAAGGCAGGGTCTTGGAGAGTGCCGTCAGCGATTCATAATCCCCGTGTCCTAGTTGGCCGTGCCATCCTTTCCCGCACGACATCACACTCCCTGTGTTGGTGGATATCAACGTATGCCAGCCTCCGCAAGCTATGCTCCTGATGTTTGCCTCTCGCAAGGATGTGATTTCATATGGGTCCGGCATGTAGCTGGATATGTGAGGTATTCCCAGTTGACCGAAGGTGTTGCTTCCCCACACAAAGAACTTGTGCATGTCAGTAGAGCATGCAGCATGATTTCTCCCAAGGCTGATTTGACACACAACATGGGAGCTCAGATCCTGAACGAGTTGTGGCACAACGATAGCCAGAGGCTTGCCACTCCCCAATCCAAGTTTCCCTTGGGCTGATTTCCCCCAGGTGTAAACTTTGCCGGTGTCTGTCAGGGCTGCTGTTGAGTCTTTACCGCACGCGATGAACACAACCTGATCACAGACCGTCAAGCCCCGAGCACTCAGCTCCTCACATGATGTCATACCGACATCTTCGCTAAAGTCTCTATTCTCTTAGGATGCTTCACGCTTTCCTCAGATCGTGTGTACTCAACACCATGGCCTAGTCTGCCGAAGACACCTTTTCCATAGGTGTAGATGTATCCATCCCCTTCTCGGCTCGGAGAATCACGCACCTGCATTTCAATGAACAACTTCTGTCTGCTTATGACAACACATTCGTTGTCACCTGTACAGTTGCGAATTCATCAAGATACTCAGTATTTGTTCCAAGAGCAGGGAGAATTTTCTCCGAAGGAAATTTCTCAAGACTTGCTCTTGAAATATCCGAAGAAAAGCTTGTAGATTTGTTGCGCGAAATCATGGCCTGCACTCCAATTTCAACAGAAGAAGAGCGCGCAGAACTTGTAACTGCTGCTCACATACCTGGGTACATCCCATTTCGGGCGAGCAGATCACTGCCATGTGGTTGTGACCGCAGAACATTCGCACGACACCCTTGATGGCATGGAAGGACTCCAGCATTCTACTGCTTTCTTCTTCCGAGCTAAAAGGTCGCCAGCGAAACAATTGTCCGGTGTCAGAAATAGCGAAATCAAAGTGAGCAGTCCTTGCAACTGCAATGATGAGATCCGATTTCGGCAGTCCCGCAACAAACCTACAAAGAGATTAGAAAAGGTTTCGGGACAGGAATACCGCAAACCTTGGTATTCTGTTCAAGTGAGGTTCAGTCTCATTTCCGAAGGCAAAGACTTTCCCGGTGTTTGTCAATGCTATGGATCGACATCCTTTCGCATCGATGTCGATCACCTTTTCATTCGCAAATCCGGTGACCAAAGTCGGGATGATTCTAAGCATCATCAACTCAGTCACTGAAAGCTTTCACCTGCTTGTTCACCTGTCTGTTGCGTCACCTAGGCCGAGTTGTCCATGGGTATTTGCTCCCATAGAATACAGTTGTCCCGATCGCAATATCACCAGGGTGTGATCATCACCACACCTGGATATCTCCGCTCAACACTTTCAACCTCAAATGCCTGTTGTGAGATCCACCTGATTTTTTGAGCTCCACATTTTCTCAGACTTGCATTCAGCCTTGGGCTATGAGCAGACATCAGGAAACATCAGAGGTTGTTTGCGGCCACCTGAATTCTTCTTTGACGCTCTTGTGACCTAGTTGACCACGCAAGCCCTTTCCCCATGTCCAGACATCACCCACAGTAGTGATTGCTGCAGTGTGATGAGCTCCGCAAGCGATGTGTACGACCTATCACGCTCGACTCAGCCATTGCAAGCGGACAGGCATTCACAGATTGTCTTCACTTTTGAGTTTTGAAGAGATGCCACAAAGCGAGGACTTTCAGCGTTGGCATCAGACCCGATGCCTGGGTCACGGCGTTAGTTCGTCATCTGCCAGCTACTGGGCATTGGAAAGAAATGCACACCTAGCTTGCCCCAAGATCCACTTCCCCAAGAGAAAATTTTCCCAGTGTCATTGAGTGCAAGGGAGTGATAATATCCAGCGGCAATCCCGACAATGTTGTTTAGAGATTGTATAATAGCCTGCAACTTGTCAAGGCTTTTCTGCTTGGATGGTTCGCTTACTGGTGTTGATCTTGAAAGCATGTGATCACCCATGCCCAATTGCCCATACACATTCGAGCCGCATGATAGGACAACTCCATCGGCACTCCTGCAAGTGAAGTTACTTAGAGTGAAAGTGTGATTTTATCAAGATACAGGAACAGCGTATGTTGCTTTCCAAGAGCACAAACTTTGACCAACACGTTTCGGAATGCTGGAACGATGTACGGCACGTGTTGTATTTCCTCAGACTGATTTCCAAGCTTTCCATTCTCGCCGTCACCCCACATGAAGACATGCGAGCCCTGCAACTCGATGTTTTCACGGATGTACCTCTTCTCCATGTGATAGTCGTAGCCTTCGCTTTCTTCTTCTGGCAGTTCAGTGCGGTAGTCCGTGACAAGAGCAGCTTCGCGTCTGAAATCACCCTCTGTGTTCTCCAGATTTGTGATCGACTCCACTTGACTATCAACTTCGTCGTCGAAGTACGATCCTTGCTCGAACGCCCTATGCACTTCATCTGCACTCACGAATGGTTGAGGAGGCTGTTGAACTGAAGTGGCGAACATGTGAGCTTGCCTTCAGCCTTGTTGCCAACTAGAAAGGTCCTTGCATCTCCTGTTGTACTGTACCCCTCCTCCTCTTCCTCCCTTTCGTCGTCTTGCTCCGGCCCTCCCTGGCCCTACGACGCAGAAGCCGTGTTTCCTCAATAGTTCTTTTTGGCCCCACTAAAGTTCATGGTCGAATCTACTAAATTTTCACACCCGAAAGGCTGTGGCCCGTCTAAAGTTCTTCCTCTGGGATCCGAAAGGCCGAAACCCGCGTTGGGGTAATTTGTACTAGGATCGTGTTCAGTCACGCACGGTTGCAGAAATGTTGCAGACGACGGACAAAAAGGCGGCACCGGAGCAAGCGGACGGCCGATCTTTGCAGCAACGTCAGAGGGAAGGAGCTTGCCCCTCCTCACCTCCCCCCTCCCCCACTCTCACTCTTATTCACTCATGCTGGGAGAACTGCTCGTGAAGAACGAAACAAGATCTTAACCAAACAAGTGAAGCTATTGAAAGTATTTCAATGAAACTTGGTAAGAACGGAAATAAGCAAATTACAAAAACAAGTTAAAGGATCAGATACATACAAAATACCAGAAAAATGCTCGTGAAAAACAATTTTCTACTCGGAATCAGCGAGCACCTGCAAGTAGAAACTTGCTGGATCATTCAGCGAAGAATCTGTTCCATCCCTCTCCATGACCACGAGACCATTTTTGATTGCAATCTCCTCCAGAAAATCGGTGGAGGGCAGAAGGGAGGGAACGAGGAAGCGGTTTCCGGCTTGCTCCTGCCTCACAAACTCTTCTCCGTTAGCATGAGTGATCACGATTCGACCTGCTGGATGCAGGAGACTCTTTGCATGCCTGATGACCTCCTGTTGGTTGACAAAGAACTGTATAGAACCATTGAACAAGATGGTATCATACTTCTTGCATCCTTCTCCAACAGGTAGTTGCAAAAAGTTCGCTTTCTCGAACAAAACTCCTGGATGTTGGGATTTGGCTGATTCAATCATATTGCCGCTTATGTCAATCCCATGATACTCACCCGCTGCATGTTCGCAATCATCAAGAAACTTCAAAACAGAGCCCGTGCCACACCCCACATCCAGAAGACTGCATTCCGGTCTGTGCAAACAGGATTGTGCAATCGCTATCATCTTCCTTTCGAGAACAGAGTCTACAGTTCCGCCAGCCTTGGGCAGGAAAGCGGCAACCGTATCCCACGTTATCTCCACAAGACGCTCGCGGAGTTGGGCCGATGATTCACTTCCACTCTCTGCATTCGATGATTTGGAGCCCAAGCTCTGCATCTCAGAATAAAGCTGGGGCTCGCTGTTCTTCATCTCGATGATCTTCTGATTGAAAAACTTGGATTGTGCATGGGCGACATTCCCATTGCTTTCCAAGAGCAGGCGTTGGGCTAAGTCTTCCGATGGCAATATGCTCCTTTTCGATCCAATTGACTTCGAGCTCGATGCTGTTTTGCCGAAGCCGCCAGCAGTCCTTGTTTTGACATGTTGATTCGAAGAGACTGATTTTTTCATCACCACAAGAGGGGGTGCATTATGCCTCATATGAGTCTTGCATGGAAAGCTAAAACATTGACAAAGATCGAAGAACCACGAGGCAAACAGCAGGCACCATCTCAGAGCACTTGAAAGATGAAGGGACATCAATCCGAAATTTCGAATTACGAATCGCGGCAACTTCTTTTAGCCCAGCCAGCCAGTATATCACACCTGTTCTGCAAAAAAATCTCTTTGGATGTGATAGTTGAAGTTTATATGTCTTCTTGCTTCACTTTCACTCTCTTCTTCGCTCTCCCGTCTCCTCGTTTCCCTCTTCCCTGTCACCCTCCGTCCCCCGCTCCGCTGCTCGCAGATTTCTTTACAGCTCAGTAACCCCCCCTCACCCCACCCCCTCACGTGAGCAGTCTTAAACCATACTACCCCCAATATTCCTCCTCATGACCCTACCCAACCCTTTCAATCCGGCCCGTGATACCACTACCCCACCATCCAAGAATAGCACCTTCTGTTCCTGCAAATCAAACCCCGTGCACCCATGGTACACCCCCCAACTCATTATCAAAAGAGGGGGTAGTCAAACAAATTCTAGTAACCCCCACCCACCCACATCAAAAAGGCGGCTGGGTATCATCCCTTCCGGACTCGGTTGAGATTTTTTTCTTAGTTTTACAATTAATAAAATTTGTTCTGCTCGAAGCTTCTATTCTTTACTCAAAGTTAAGTTAAAAATCAGTACGAGGACAATGTATTAGTAATGGTGCCTCGACGGTAAAGTGAAGGTCTAATAACTTACACCGCCCGGCACGCCGTCGCTGAGTACACTGGCCGGCCAGTGCCCGCTGAGATGTTATAGCATCAAGAAGTTCAGCATGCCAAACGGTTCAAGCAGCGGCAGCCTAAGCGGCCAGTGTCCGATACGAATCACTAATGACTTGATCGAACATTTACTAGCTACTAACTTAATCAGAATTGGTGTGATGACAATGTTAGTGGCAGCGCTTGATCCAAACGGTAGTGTAAACTTAGAATCGGCTACTGGCAATCACTGTCAACTGCACAGGCCGCGTGCCTGAGTCAAGACTCGTATGGAAAGAAACCTCAGGCTCTGAACTCCTCCGTTTGCTTTAGCCGGATAGCCTTCATTCCTTCCATGCTGTACCACGGTACGATCCATGTGTGCCTAGAGCGAATTCGACGTGCAATCTTCCAACGATTAGTGTTTGCGACCTTACGGTAATCTCGATGCATCATCACGCGAACACCAATCTGAGACGCAGTTGATGGTCGGTTCATGCTTATTTGTGCAGAGGAGAATCCTGCTTGACCCCTTTCGCCTAGCTTCTCCCGTAGTGAGCTGGTCGTCCTCCAGGCTTCAATTTGATCCTGTACCATGGCACATCCTTTTGCACAAGGCTGAACGTGATGTCATCAGTGTCGGATCAAGTATCTATAGCGCTTGTAGCGTTGGTGCGATTCAGCTGAACAGAGCGCAGCGAATTCCTTCAACGTTAGCTGTACTTCACAAATGTGCCCTGCCAGCCCGAAGGACAAGGCTTCATCTGTGAGGAAATGAAAGTTCAAGAGCACGGCTCTGAAACCACAGCTTTCTTGCATGCTGGGATGGTTGAAGGGAAGCGTCATCCTATCCTTCACCCTCACGATGTGCAGTGCATCATCATCTTTGATAAGCTGAACCAGTTTCAACAGATGGTCCATGGAATCCACCACGAGCCTCTGGCGGCAAATGTCAACGACGCGAGAGCCATCTCCTTTGTAGCAACGAAGTGCTTTCTCTATGGCTTGCTCAGAAGACTTGAGGGTTGCCCCTGCCAGGAGCAGGCCGCCTGGCTCTCTTCTGATGTCAGGCCGTCAGAATCAGCGAGCTGATCGACCCACTGGCTAATCTTGTCATGCAGAAGGCATTGCACACAAGCAGCCTGCGCGTACAGGCGGTCCAGCGAGCTTACGGGCGATCTTAAACGACACCACCTTTTCAATTGTTGATAGCAAGATCCCTTCGGTGTTCCTCTCTCGTCAGAAAAACTTGATTCTGATCCAAGCCCCATTCTACAGGTACACTCTTCGTAGTGCCTGGCTTCACTCCGGAGGGGAATCGGAAACTCATTTAGCTCCTCCCTCAACAGGTCGATGAGGCGTGCATTCTCACTCAAACTGCTCATGGAAAGCCAAGCTGAATCATAAGCGTTCTTGTCTGTGAGGGCAAGCTTGCGTATTTCCGCTGCGATCCGGCTACGGTAGACCAAGATCAACGCGCTCACAGAGCAAACTGAAACAGCATAAATGATGTTCACATTGTTCGCAAGCCTCATCCCGATGATCGCCCAAGCACTGTACAATACCAAGAGACTTCCCCAGAAAGTTCGATCATCATCGAACAGCTGGATGCTCAGCGCCATGAACACCGTGAGGATGATGTGAAGCAAGATCGAGCCACGGTTGTATGGATCGTAGATAGCAAGTACAGTCTTGACACACCCTGCAATGATCATTCCACTCTGCAGCACTCTTTTGGCAACAAACTCTTGTTTTGAGAGTCCAAGAAAGGCTGGAAGACCGAACGTGAATGTTCTGATGAGATTGATAGTTATCAACAGGCAAGTTTTCAGACGCGGAGCACTCATGTCAAAGACTTCGACTTCGTTTCTCATGAAGGTTGTTGGGTAACTTTCATCAGAAAGAATGAAAATCCTCCTGGTGTCGTGATATGAAATCAACCAGTCGAAGGAGAACGACGAGGACCCAAAGGTTTCCCATCGCAACCGGTCATCCGATGCGGTAACATGGAACAGCACGGGATCTAGCTCCGGATTTGTGGATTCTGTCATGAAGTAGAAGCCATTTGCTTGTACAGGTTGCTCGAAGGAGAGGAGGATGCTACCATCCGGTTGCCATGTCATGTTGTGCCTCACCGACTTTTGCCACAGTGAATTCCTGACGTCGACTCCGTCCTTGAGAATTCCAAAGGTTTGTGCGTGAGCATACGTCGAGTTTCCTCGTGATCGAATCCCTTCCACTGAAAATCGGTAATAACGGAAACTTCTTATCCCATTCACCTTCAAAATTTGTATCCACCTCAGGCAAATAGAAAAATACATGGAAGACAACATGGCCAGGATCATGAGAAGCGGAGCTCGACCAAGTGCTGCCTGAAGAGGTCTTGCGCAGAAGAAGGCTGATGCATCATGAGCTCTGTGCAGTTCTCTTTCCCGCCGTTGCATGCGGATGTCTAAGCTAATGTCTTGCGATGAGAGTCGCTTGAAAAGTCGAATGACGGCCCCTCCGCACCATTTAAAGTTTCCACTAGATCCAGACATGTTCTCAGCAGCTTACTTGAACTACCTTACCTCTATTCCTGTAACTCCCTCCTCTTTCTTAACAATCCCTCACTTTTGTTTGTGCCTTTTGTTTATAGCCCTGTTTGGAGTTTTCTTCTTGAACCGCCTTCCGTTTGGTCCTTTGTGTCCAATCGTTTTCTCGTGTCTACCTCAAGGCATCATATCTTACTGTTGTCCCCTCCTCTCGCTTCATCAAAGACCATCTCCCCTCGTCCCTTACAACCTCGTCTGACATTCTGGCCCTCTTCGCCCTCCATTTTCCTTCAACAACCCCCCACCCCTCCTCTGCAAACTGCACAGTTCTCATGGTACCCTACCCAGGCTATTCCAACCCCTTTCGAATAAAAAGAGGCTAGTGAGGACCCGTGGTTTTATAAGACACTTTCAATCCACCGGTATCTGTTCCGACAGATAGTACCCCCACCCCCACCCCACCCCCGAGCATCACATTTTTTATTACTTCGGTGGCCCTCCTTTACATACCCCAGCCATACAAGGGCATTTTATATTTCTTGTGACTACCTACCCTCGTTGCTCTCTAGTGACCCCAAGTTAACAGAAGGATCCTTCTGTACCCCTCGTCTCTCCCATAACCTCCACTACCCTAGTAATGAGAAAGTATGATCGGTTACAGCACCGCCCTACCCTTCAAAGAACATGTACACCCACCCCCACCCCTGTAGCACTTTCCCGAAATCTATTATTAGTGTTGTTAAAATATTTTATTGTAGGCTATCTCTTATATCTGCGACAAAAGTCATAGCATGGTCATAGCAGAGTGGGGGGCATAGAGGAGAATCCAGTACTATAAAAGCTACTTTTGACTCTTTCCTCGTGATCATTATTAATAATTATCCTAAAAGATAATAATGAATTATATTCTCAACACCACCCCTAAGATTTCGAGAAAGTACCCCACCCATAAGACGAAAGGACTCCGTAATACCCCCCCCATTTCGTTTGGATTTGCCTAGAACGTGCAGACCACAAAGCACCCCCCACCATCTAAATATATCCACCCTACCCCCTTTCGACTGTGAAAATGTCTCCCACTCGCACGTCGTCATCCTTCTGGTCCTTTACTCAAAGTTAAGTTAAAAATCAGTACCCTTGTATGTCTCCATAACCTTGAGATTCCCGTCACGGCTCGCTATCTTCTAACGGCCCTATCTGTCACTGCTCGGACTTGTACCTCCGAGCCCGGCGGCCCGGCACCGGGGGAAAGCCCGAAGCAGGACCAACTCCGAGGCAACGGGTCACTGAGCCAGACTACTAGGGCTTTTACTCAAAGTTAACTACTAGGGACTCCCTTTGATGAGTAAACATTTGATGCTTTGAAAGGAAATGGAGGGAAGGGAAGGTGGAATGCTGCTGCGGTGATCGAGAGTTCATGTGGAGGACGCATATCCTTGTCTTCCCATCTTGAAGTTACTCTGTCCTTCTCTTGTCTTCCCTGTATCTCTGCTGCTTCTCTGCAGTTCATCCGCTTGGCCTAGTTTCCTCTCGCAGCTTCACATCATTCTTCCTCTTCTGGTCGGACTTGTTGTCTCATCAGTGTGGGGATCATCTGCAGTAGCCATGGAGAGCGAATGCGATATTTTTCAACGCCGTCCTCTTGCCAATGTGACCAACTCAAGCTTGGGACACAAACGAAGGCTGAGCCTCGGGAAGCGACGGACGGAGACTGCATCGTCTCCGAACAGTGGCACAGCGTCAGCTTCTCCTTGCCAGCCTCCTCATGCATGTGGACAGAACAGCTCAAGCATTGGTTCACCGTGCGATGTCCGGAAGCATGATGATTTCAGGCTGGATTCGTCATGGACCTGCTTCATCTGCAATCAGAGCTGGGAGGATATATCCTTAGAAGATCGCAATCAGCACGTCAACAACTGTATTGATGCTCCCTCCTTGCCCAGTCCAGGGGATCTCAACCAGCTCTCTCCTCCCGTGAACCCCCCAGCATCTCCAGAACAAGAGGAGACCCAAGCAAGTGTCAAGAAGCAGCGAACAGTGAGCGCAATGTTGCATGAAGAGCCAGGGGTCGGGTTTGAATCTCCTGTCCGACGAATGGGGCAGGGGCAGGGGCAGGGGCAGGGGCAGGGGCAGGGGCAGGGGCAGGGGCAGGGGCAGGGCGAGGGCGGGGCAGGGGCAGGGGCAGGGGCAGGGGCAGGGGCAGGGGCAGGAGCAGGAGCAGGGGCAGGGGCAGGGGCAGGGGCAGGGGCAGGGGCAGGGGCAGGGGCAGGACGGAGAACTTCGTAATTGGTTGGAAGTCCTGGGGTTGGAGAGCTTTTTCGAGGTGAGTGTAGCAGCAGGTTTCGGCCTTGTGACGATCCATGACAGACTTTCGTCCTCCACGACGTGACGGACATGTCCTGCCTGAGGGCGCTGACGTCAGCCGACCTGAGGTATCGCTGCCTCCTTCGAGCTTGACCTTGATCCGACCCCGTTGTAGGGAGATGGGCCTTGACCTCGCCTCGCACGAAGACTTCCTCCTGCTTGCCGACAGCATTGAAGCTCTCAAGCACGACGATGCCCTCCCTTCCCCGCAGCGTCCGCCTCTCGATCCCCACCACGGCTACGAGCCCGAGCAGGAGCTTCACAGCGTGCATGACAGGCAGGTCGGCGGAGAAGGAGCGGGTGGACAACAGCTGACGGCTGCTAACACTCGTCCGATCTTCGCCTTCTTCGGAGGCAAGGGATCGATAGCACAAGCCCCCCCTCAGACCCTCAAGAGCCCTGCAGGAGGGCAGGGGAAGAAGGGAAAGTCTCCAGCGCAGAAGCCGAAGAAGACGAGCATGTGGAGTGAAGATCGGGTAACAGGTAGCAACGCGTTTCATCACAGTGTGCCGGGAGCCAGCTCCTTCACCGTCGACAACTTCCACGTGCGGAACTCTGTTGTCAAGCACTACATCCTCTCCCACTTCCATGCCGATCACTACGCCGGGCTGAGGAAGAAGTTCAACTCAGGTAAGATCTACTGCACGCCCGTCACTGCAAGGCTGGTGAAGTTGAAGATCGGAGTGAGCGCGGACCACCTGGTTGCCGTGGCTTATCACTCTCCGCTACTCATCGAGGGGACCCGCGTCACCTTCCTTCCTGCAAACCACTGTCCGGGCTCGGCACTGATCCTCTTTGAGACTCCCGATGGCAAGTGCCACCTGCACACCGGAGACTTTCGCTTCCACCCAAAGTTCAGCGAGGACCCGGTCTTGTCCTCCTTCACATCGACTGGGAGCAGGAAGATAGATCATCTCTTCCTCGACACCACCTACTGCAGCCCTGAGCACGAGTTCCCTGCCCAGGAGGACGCGATTCGTTTCGTCGGGGAGCTGGTCAAGTCGAACGCGTTTGCCAACAGGGAGACTTTGTTCCTCGTCGGCTCCTACACCATCGGCAAGGAGGAGGTCTTCCTGCAGGCGGCGCGGGAGAGCGGCTGCAAGCTGTACGTCCATCCCGCCAAGAAGAAGGTCCTCGAGTGCCTCGAGCTGAAGGAGGAGGACCAGCAGCGCCTGACGACGGTGGCGCATGAGGCCAGGCTGCATGTAGTGCCCATGGGATGCATCAACTTCAAGCAGATGTCGGCCTACCTGGGGATGGCAAAGGGGAAGTACAAGACTGTCGTCGGGATACGACCGACCGGATGGACGTTCTCTGGGGGACCGTGCGGGAGAGGGGGAAGAGGAGGAGGAGGAGGAGGAGGAGGAGGAGGAAGAGGAGGAGGAGGAGGAGGAGGAGGAGGAGGAGGAGGAGGAGGAGGAGGAGGAGGAGGAGGAGGAGGAGGAGGAGGAGGAGGAGGA